TATTTTGCTGCTACTCTTCTTATTAGAAGAAAAAGGGTAGTAAATAAAATTTTCCATATGATTTTATTCCTCAATATTGATTAAATCTGGCTCACACAGTTTTGAACTAGGATAAGACATGATAAAAGCATATGTCCTTAAAAATTAGAGACTTGCATTCCAAGATACAGAACACACAATGGAAAAATGCAGAACACAAAAAGGCAGGCAGAAAGAACTGTCCCAGGAAAATTTACAAATATGAGCTCTGCATCATTCATTAAAGTCAATTTGTACTCCAAATTCTAGATGGTTGTTCTAAAAAATACGGTAAATGCTGCAAGATCATATAGATGCGCTGCATGATCAATAAGCCTAATTAGATGCCCTATAGCAAGAACCTATTTAATAAGCACAGAAATCTGTCATCATCGTTGATAAAACAAACTCTCTTTTGAAATTCCACCTAGACATAGCTAATCAGCTTTTAAAGGAAGATGACCATTTTATCTGCTCAATAGAAAGCAAATAATCTTACGGATGACAAAATTCTTAGATTGAATAATGTACTTTGTCATTCATTATATCGAGGAAAAAATGCCAATACTGGAACAATTTTAATAGGAAATAACATTGGTTCTCTTAATTATTCTTTTTGGCAGAAATATTAATAAGTTAATGTGTCCAAGTTTTTTTTGTAAAATACTGACCATTGCAGTAGTCCTGTAAATTGGCAACTGCAACTTCTAATCCTCTGCTAGCAGTTGCATTTCCCATAGCTGATGGGACAGGTATTCCATGTCTTCCAATATCTTCTTCAGCAAATGACCCTGAAAATTAACTGAGTTAGCATAGCACTGAGGTAAATTGGTTAAAAGCATTATATAAAAATTCAGAAGGCATCTTAATTCTTACGTAATTTCTGGGCGATTGAAGCAGCCTCTGCAACCCGGCTATCATCAGAAAAAAGAGGTGAAAGCTCCATCAAATCTCCTGGGCTGCTATTGAACTCCATTAAGTACTGCAGAAATTAATCGACATTTGGTAAATTTCCTAACGTGAAAGATGGTAGAAACCAAATGAACTGTTTGATATTTACTTTTATCAGCTCAATTGTTTGACTGGCAGTTTCTCGCTGAGCATCTGCACTCTGACAAAAAATAACAGCATCAGACTTTGAGATCACAATTCATCTATCAAACATAGTTGAAGCTTGGAAGAACTCTCTACCTGGAGATGATCACCAATCTTTGCAGCCGTCTGGCCAACACTTGAAATACGCGAATCCAACCTCGCAAAGCTATCAAACAATCCATCTACACCCTTTTCTAACTGAAAAGGAAATAAAGACAAAAGCACAAAAATTCAACCGATCATTCCAATTCAAACTCTAAGCTCGGAGCTAATCAATGTTTTTTAACCTTAAACAAAACGCTCCCAAATATCACTGGGATGGGCAATCTAATTTTTTTTTAAAAAATTTCATAAGGTTTAAAACACCAAACAGTCGCAAATTTTAGCATAACACAAACAAAATAGATCCCAGACTAACCTCACCAAGTGTCTTTCGATGCTTAGAGTCTTGAACAGAAACATCTTTCTTAAGATTGTAGAGTCTCCCATCAATCTTCCATCCAAAATAACATCAACAACAAAATTAAGACTTCAATCTAAATCCGCAAACTAAATTATCAAAAGATTAAAAAAAATCAAAGAAAAACCTGTTTACGAAGCTCAAGCAGCTCCTTACAGGAATCCTTGAACAGAGACAAGAGCTTCTCAACCTCAGGGAACAAAGGACTGGTAAGCGCCTGCGAGTATTTCGCGGCATCGGACGGCGCTCGCATGTGTCCATTAGGCAGAGAATCCGCACCGTCCGGTTCCGCTTCTTCCAACTTGAACGACGGAAGAAGCTCGTTCACGAGGTTCCCGAACAACGCATCAAACGAGAAATCACCCTAACACAGTATTAACTTCCTTCAATCAGAACCGAAATTTCATTTCCGAAATTGAACGCTGAAATGAACAAACGCACCTTGAAGTCGTCGATGTCGAGAATGAGAGGGAAGGAGGTAGCTGACGACGGCGTTTTGGTGGTCCTATCAGTCCGGACTCCATCTCTGGGCTCTCTCATGACGCAGGAAGTGATGTGAATGTGGTTCGATCTCGCGGAACGAATAAGGAATTAGGAATTGCGATCTTCTTCGGTTGTATCGTTATCGTGCGTTGGAAGGTAAACTGCAACTGTGAAAGTGAAAAGTGAAACGAAAACCCTTGACACGTTGGCGTGGATGGATCGATGACCCAGCAAAGCAAGAAGAAAACACCGAGACAGCGGAAGGAAGGAAACCTGCAACCAATATGGTAACGGGAAAATTATTGTTAATATTATTTTATGTGACTTTTAGTTATTATATATAATAAAATTAATACTACCAAATACGTAAATAAAATTAATAAATATAATTATGTCAAATATTATAAAACAATTACCAGAGTTATGTGATTTGAATAAAATTGTTCCTCTTTTCTTTTTATAAAAAATAAATAATAAATTTAAGATGCATTAATTATTAAATTTTATATATTTTTTATTATCATCATTAAATATATAAATTACTAACTATATCATTCAATATCATAGATATTTTTTAAATAAAATTTATATTTATAAAAAATAAACATATTTAATTTTTTTTTATTTTAGTAATTTAATTTTTTATTTTTTATAAAAAGGATAAGAGAGTATATAATAAAATTGATATGAAGAGATTTCATTTAAAAATTAAAAAATTTATTTTAATAATGTTAACGTCTTAAAAGTTTTACTATTCGATTATCAGCTAAAAGAAATATTTTATACACGCTAAGCGGGTAAGGAAAAGTTGAATATAATAAACAATAAAGATTTTTAATAGTGAATTCGTCAATAGATGAGAATATCAAAGTAAATGATGATGACGAAATAAAAGGAGATGCTTAGATTATTAAAGTCCAAACACTTATCATACGACAAATTGAATGATCGTTGGTTTTGAGAGATCCTTGAATTGGAAAAATGATCAAAAACAGTAATAATAATTAATTTGGATTAAAATTTAACATAAACTACACTAATTATTTAAATTAGTTGATTTAATTTATATTATCAGTCCATCGCACTCCATGAATACATTTATCGATTCGTCAGGGTTGGAAAATTAGATGTGTCATAATGCGGGGTCTGTGGTTTCCCAACATTTCCCCTCACAATGACAAAACGACATGAATGAGATTTCACATTTTCACTTGATGAACACGAGCTGTTGTAGTATGATGTTTATGTGCTCATAATTTTCTGAACACACGTTTTCAATGCATGTAAAATCGTTCAAATTGATGATTAATTAGTTTTTATTAATTTAATTATTAAGACTGGATAATAACAAAGGTAACTCTATCACGAATCAAAATTTGTTGGTTGTTCATATAGTTGGATAACTGTCTAGAACCTGATATGAAATTCACTGTCATTGTTGCTCTTCAATTAAAATATGACTCATGTTACTACTGCTTTGAAACCATCAAAGGTGGTAGTAGTTAGTCGTTGGATACTAACAATAGTTAATGTTGGATACATCATAAATATGTACTGTCAAAATCACTTTACGTAGATATTACACATCCCTTCACAACTTTCTACGATTTTACGTTTATAGAAATTTGCATGTTTATTTCTTTCAACACGATATGGGAACTCCGCAGATGATTTTTAAACTAAATTTTCATAGAAGCTAAAATAATAGTGGCAAGTAGCATCATTGTTGATGAATCAGATGATGAATTTGTTGTTAAATCATTCTTATGCACACCGTTTTCATCAATCATAAATAGAAATTTTTACGAATGAATTGGTTTTTGGTGGTGGACAGGGCGACGATTTCTGTTCTACCCACAAATGGTTGAGATACTCTTATTTAATGTGACGCGTGAAGTGGTTAACTATATCATTATTAAGTGTATTTCTCAAGTTTTATTTTCAATGCAAAGTTACAACAACTTGGTGTAGAAAGTGGATGTTAGGTATATAAATAAAATACGATTTTTATTAGATAAAAATAACAATATCTTAATAATTAAAATATTTATTAATTCTATAAATTAAACACATTATTAATGTGATATTTTTATTATTATCTAACTATCAGTTGATATTTTATTATATAATTTTGATTTTATTAACAATTAATCAAAAAATACGCTGATAATATATCAAGATATTAGGTTCTTAGTTTGATGCATCGATGCAAAGGAAATTCAATGGCAAATTCATAAATTTATTATCGTAATTGTTTTTTTCTTACATGTCTCCATAAATTTAAGTCCGGAATATAGAATTGTATTAAATCTTTTTAAAAATTGACAAGATTGTTTCATGTTGAAAATATGTGTAAACTAAGAAAGAAAAAGGAATTAAAGATAAATTTCACTTTTTTATATAAATAAAAAATTTATTGAATATAATTTTATTTTAGTTGACCCACAAAATTATAATTTAATTATGTAAAATAAATGATATATTTTAGAAAAATATATAAAATTAAAAATAGCTATTAATCATGACAAAAAAAATATACGCACATGATAAATTATTTATTTGTTGAAATATATAAAGTTTTTAACAGATATATTTATACAGACAATAAAATTTTATATATAAAAATTTCATAACTTAATATATTAAAACAATACAATAATATGAAATATTATATTTTCAATAAAATATCTTACTATATATCCTTATATTCACGTTAAAATAATCGATAATATATTCCTCTTATTTTTTTTATATGTATTTTGTTTTCCAAAACAGTAACGACTCTGCCAAAAATGTTACAGTTACTCGATCGAAGGGGGTAGAGATTGAATTACTGGAATACCCCCAGGTGTAGTTGATGTGGGTTAATAATGGAGGGGTAAAACAGTCTACAAGGTAAAAGGAAGGTTCACTTTGATTGAGAAAGTGGTTGTGATGGTGCTGCATAACACTTGGTCCAGCACAGCACAGCACGCACGCCGGGCTCAACAATAATAATCAAAACGCAGCTTTTCATTCTCTCTCTCTCTCTCTCTAAACTCTGCTCGCAACGCCGCCGTTTTGGAACCCTTCCCTTCGACTCTCTGTTTTGGTTTTCAAAAGGGGAAAAATTATTAGAACAACGCGATTTCGCAAACAATTTCACTGCGTTGAATCGAATTGGGACAACAAGGAATCGGATCTCAAGGTCAAATTCTCTGCCTCCTTGTTTCGATGCCGACCGAAGCAAATCATGATAATCCTGTTTTTTGTTTTTTCGTTCTCTAATTTGTGGATTCTTTTTTGTTGCAGATTTCAATTTGTTATGTTTTTTTGTGCTTGGTGTGTCTTTCGTTTTTGTTTATTTTTTAATGGGGTCTGATTACGGTTTCATATTTGATTTGATTGTACTGTGTTTTTTTTTTTTTTTTAATTAATAGCTCATTATCGATTTTATAAATCGTCGTGGAAACAATGGGAGGTGCATTACCCAGAGACTAAATTTAGGGTTGTGTGATCAGGGTTTAAGGGTAGAATTACTTCAATGACAGGCCGTTTATATTGTGAAGTTGAATAAGTGGGGTGGTATTGAAAGGGAAAATTCAAGGGAGAGAAGGAGGATTGTACTTTAGGGTTGCACTTTCGCTGGCAGTGATAAAGAACATAAATTATTTGTTTAGTGAGTAGGGTTTGCACAATAATAATTTGTCAATAGATAGGTTTAATCTGAGAAATAACGAATTTGGTTTGATGCTGTTTGTTGGTTATTGACGCATACAATCCTAGTGGTTTCGTGGAATTTACAGGAGTAATCTACTCATAAGAATAGATTCACAGGAAAATTGGTGGCAGTGCAATTCTAAAATCTAAAAACATTCCAAATAATGGTTTGATCCTAAAAATATATTGATGATTTACAAATGTGTGTGTGTGTGCACAAGCTTGAATTTGTATCTCCATTACTTTTATATTTTGCATCAAACCTACACCTTTTTTTTGTCATTATGGTACTGTTTTTTTGTTGCTTTGTCTACTACTCGACAGAGGTTGCTTGTTGTGACTTTCTTTATTTTCTATTCAATTTATTGATATATGTATTCTTGATCAGTGCTAAGCAGGAAGCAAAATTGCTTTTAAATATAAAGAAACAGAGGATAACGTAAGGCCTTGTTCTTGATACTGTTCTGAATTTGTTGGATGGCGGAAAAATCATGCATCAAGCGCCTTCAAAAGGAATATAGAGCCCTTTGTAAAGTATGTTCAGCTTTTTTTCTTAAATTGTGCTTCTCTATTTATGTTCGCAGTTTCTATGCTTTCCTGTCCTGTTGGTACAGACCATATTGTTATGCTTGTTCTGTTATCTCACTGGTTCTCCTCTCTGTCTGTGTGTATTTGTTCAATTGTCTCAAGTTGGTGATTTGATTTTGTGGCTGGTAGCTTGGTAGGAGTTAGGACATTTAGAGTATGAGACAGGCAACACATTATTGTCTATTTTTTGCATTTTACCTCTTAATACAATTTGTTTGTAGTTTCTGATTAATATTTTCATGTTTGATTGATCCACAAATTATACTTTACAATGTTGGATTGTTTGGGCCTGTATCAATCAATTGACAAGAGATTTCCTTTTTTATTTAATAAAAATATAAATAATTGGTGGTATTTTAGAATATTTCAACTGGACGATGCTTAATTTCAACATTGTATTTGCAGGAACCAGTTTCTCATGTTGTGGCTCGTCCTTCACCAAGTGATATTCTTGAGTGGCGTAAGTTTGTTTCACACTGTTACATGTCATATATTAATTTATGTTGAGCTCTAATGTTCAATAAGAAGAAAAGAATTGTGTTGAACCTTTGTTATGTTATATATATGTTTATCAATGTTGTAGAACCTGTTACCAACTGATCACATGGCAGCAGCCTTACATTTACTTCAAAGCTTACCCTCATTAATACCATTACATTTTCAGCAAGAAAGGAAAATATGATGTCAGCAATTTAATTTTAATTTGTTTTTAAGGAGTGGTTGATACTTAATACTGATCTTGTTATATTTTAATGTCTCAGATTATGTGTTGGAGGGAAGTGAAGGGACGCCTTTTGCAGGTTTAGCAAATTGTGATTATTGCATATTGACATTTTACTTTTTCAGTCCCAATGTGCCATGTTATTTTGAAATGTCCCAATTTAAGTATTGCTATCTCAATTTATATATTATTTATGTTGGTCTCATTTTTAGGTGGATATTACTATGGAAAAATCAAATTTCCTCCTGAATATCCATATAAACCTCCTGGAATCAGGTGATCCTTCTTGCTGCAGTATGCTTGTTCTTTCTAATTTTCATTCATCTGTTCTACTGTAATTTTGATTAAGTTTATACTTTCTATAATGTAGCATGACTACGCCTAATGGACGGTTCATGACACAGAAAAAGATCTGTTTGTCTATGAGTGACTGTAAGTCTTTTATATGTTGTAGCACAAAGCAATTAGTATCATGAATTACCCATATTATTACAAGTTGATATTTCTGTGGGCTTGGCTTCTTTTGCAGTTCATCCAGAAAGTTGGAATCCCATGTGGTCTGTATCAAGGTCAGAATGTTCTAGTTATAAAGTCCTCTCAAGTTCTTTGCACTGTTTTGTTTTTTATTTATCTTTTGATTTTTTATTGTGTTTTTATGTTATTATGCACTAGGAATTGGTATCTGACTAACAGCAGATGTGTGTTATTATTTTATAGCTATATACTGATACTTTCAATTTATGAATGCAGCATACTAACAGGGCTTCTTTCATTCATGGTATGTTGTGATTTCCTCATATTGTAATTAAACTCAAGGTTCTTCCAAATCCTGTGGCTGTTCTGCGCTCTGAAGATATTACTCTTGTATTGCCTTGTTTGAATTTTCTGTGGGGGTGGTAAACTGGTTGGGGTGGAGCGTTGGCGTGAACCTAGCCTACCACTGACCCTCAAGCTGAAGTGACCAATATTACTTAAGTTTCTTGTCTTTGTTGTATATACTATAGCAAAACAAAAATTAATACCATTTTCCAACTTCATGTGGCTGGTAGACTCCTGAGTGTTAGGCGTAGATAGTGCTTGTTGACAGAGTCCATTTAATAGACTCCGATTTGTGTACCCTGTGCAGTCAATGCTTCATCACGTAAGCAGATTTTCCTTGAGGGCTTTTGACAACTGACTGACTTCTCTTTTGCAGATGGACAACAGTCCAACCACTGGCAGTGTAAACACCACCACTGCTGAGAAGCAGCGACTAGCAAAATCTTCCCTTTCATTCAATTGTAAGAAGTAAGTATGTAGCACCAGCTATTCAAGATGGAAGCAAGCAAGGTCTCTATAATTTTTGTTTCACAATTAATTCCTGCTTTGATAATTTTCCATACAGTGCAACATTCAGGAAAATGTTCCCCGAGTACGTGGAGAAGTACAACCAACAGCAGCTTTCTGAGCAAGTTGCTTCAGAGCGGGTCTCATCAGAGATGTCTCATGACAAAAGTTCAAGGCCAGTGTTGGAAAAGAAGTTGGATTCCACAGGAGAAGACATGAGAAGAGTAGATGGGTTGAAGGATGTGAGAAAAAACAGAAAACCATTTCCAACGTGGATGATGTTGTTACTCTTCTCCATCTTTGGGGTTGTTATGGCATTACCCCTACTTCAGCTGTGATGGCAGGCAGCAAAATCTCTATAGGAGGCATCAGGGTTCAACAAGGGTTCTCCTGGAACTGGGTTCTATATGTTCTGCTTAGATTTTGTCAATGTCTAACAGGATTTGTATAGGAAATGATGGACATGGAGGCCACGATAAATCTATGGGCTGATTTTACTCCTTTGTGTCTCTGTTACATGCTTGATACTTGGTGAATGCTAAGAAGTTACATGCTTGATACTTGTGTTCCTCTAAATATGTTTTGAGGTTTGTCTTCTTTGTGGTGTTGGCTGTTAAACACACTGCACTTGCTGGTTGGGTGTGGTCTACATTCTGCTTGTTAGAATGGGTAAATTATATCCGATTAAATCATATAAACGTAATTCGCAGTAAAATTTTGATCCCTTTTAAATGGTGATGTGTGTAAAGAGTGGAAAGTTAAAAAATAGAATATGCCTACTTTATATGAATTTTGTATTCTGCCCGAATTGTGATATTATGGTTTTTGTTATTTCATTTCTGGTTTGGCCATTTCTGTCAAACAATTATACTTTTTTTTTTTTCCAAAAATGAAATTTTAGAATAAATTAAAACCTGGTATAAATCTTTAAAATATTTTTTGGTACAGTGATACTTGACTCTAATGTCCACATACATTACCATGAGATTTACTCCTTGGCGTTCCAAAACCTTTTTTTTTTTATTTTGGTGGTGCCGCATAATTTTTAATTTACGCCCTGAATCTAACTTATATCACTAGTACATGCTAATATTAAAGATTGATAGTAATATGTTTCTTCTTTTTTGTAAAAAACAATCGGCACAAAGCTAAAAAGGCACATTTAGTAAATTGTCCAATAAATATAACTTTAAGGATGACAATTTTTAATTAAATACAGTGTCGATAAGCACAATTACAAAAATGAAATAATTTAACATAAATTTTAATGAAGACTTTTATTATATTTATATATCAAAATTCGTGGTTAATTATTTACCAATCAGTAAATCACTTGCCATTTCAAACGGAGATATCTCTGTATATAATTTTCCATCCCATCTTCTCTATTTTAAATCTGTAATGCTTCTTATTATTACATAAAAAACAATAACAAATGCTATTAATCAAATTAAGCAATAAAAAATAAAAGTATTTAATAAAAATGACTAGTCATGTTAAAAATATGAAACTAATAAAGTTGGATCAAGATGGCAATAATTGATTTGTTTCTTGAGTTCAAATTTTACTCTCTATATAAGAACTTTTTTAATGGATGGTTTAGAAGTGCTCTTTGATTTTAAAACACGTTTTGATTCAATAAATTTTTTAAATTTAACTTACATAAACTTTACTGTACCATATTAGAAACATAGGATTTTTTCTTGTACTATGTTAGAAATATAGAAATTAGTTTAAGCTTGTTATGACTAATGGTTAAAAAAAAATTAATAAAATGTACAATGCTAAAGAGTACGGAAGATTTGTAAAAAATGTTTTATGAATTTAAAATTAACTAATTAAAATAAGAGTTTGTGTGAATAAAAGAATTATTCAAAATTGAGGCTGGGAAAGCATCGTACTCTCCCGAAACATGCGGCACAATTGACGGAAACATCCATCGTCCCCATCAAGCAATCACCGATCCGTGTCAAAAAGTGAGTACCTTTCATTTTATTAATAATATAAAAGCAAAATAATTTGCTTAACAAAATTATTTTTTAAAATTTATAATTCACTTTAAAAATTAAGATTAAAAAAATAATTACTTTAACTTCAGTTTTAAATATTAAAAATAAACAGTTAATAATAATAAAATTTTATTAAAAAAAGTATTTATTGAATTACCAATTACTGTTATAAATATTTTCTTTTATGTAAGGATTAACGTTTAATTTTTATGTAAATTAAAATATAAAATAATATTAAATGTGGAAAATTTGTTTTGATTTAACTAAATAATAACGTTAAGTGTAAATTAGTTAAATAATATTTTTAATATTTTTTTTAAACAATAAATTTTATCAATCAAAATTTTCATTTTAATTTTTTATAAAATAAATTAAGTTTATAAAATTGTATATAATTAAAACATTAAATAATATTCTATCATTCTATTCTATTCTAATAAATGATATATTTTCAAATGTAGATAAATAATTACTAATAAATCATACATTCACAAATATTTTAAAAACATAAAATTTTCTATGTACAGTTTTGATGATAATATTATAAAAAAAAGTAAAAGTTAAATTTATATACACAAAGTCTACTTTTTGTAAGTAAAACAATTTTCATTATTACTCATTCGTACAATTTTATGTAAATAGTGTTATTTTGTTTTTAATACTCAAATGCTTTCATTACGCATTAAGTGTTAGGTGGTGACTGGTGAGGGGAACCTAAAAGAGGGATATCTCCGTAGTTAAGCAAACATGAAATTGACTCCATATCTTTACTTAAAACTTCATAGTGTGATTGGGTGAGTATTTCTTAATTTTGAATTATCTAAGTTTGTAAACAATAATTTTAGATCTTACTTTATATGTTTATAATTTTTTAATAATTAAATAAAACTTTATTAAATATTTTAAAGATAATAAATATATATAGGTTTTTATTTAATACGTACTTTATTAATTAATAAGATCATTATTAAAAAATTATAAGAGAATATAGCAAAACTCGTTTGTAAAATATATTTTAGTTAAAATAAAGTTTGAAGAGACATGATTTATATTTTTTAAAATAACATTAAAAATAAATTTGTAATAAAGTTTTCAACCTTATACAAAAGTTTTTTTTTTTTTACACTTCTAATAAAACCAACTTTTACGAGGAAAAATCAAAATAATTTTGATATGAGATATACAAAGGACATTTTTTTCCCTCACAATAATGGTTACATGCCTGTAACCCATGTTTGCTTGCATTTATCACCAATCCGAGTATACAGGCTTAGGGTAACGATTTTACATGAGTCTTTTTACTAATATTATCACTACTTTTTTTTTTCTTTTTAATTAACACGAGAGTTCATTATTTCCAATTGAATTTCCATTATGAAAATGAAATTCCAGTTTAGTTCCATTATTTTAAATTTGTCTTCTTCACCCTTTGAATTACATTGTTTTATGTTTGTTTATTAGAATTAGTTACATGAATAGAAAGAAAATTTATTTGGTTGAAGATAATGTTTTTTTCCCTTAGAAAGCAAAGGAAAAGTGAACTGGAGTGCTTAAACATGGTCCCAGTTGAGGAAAGAAATGGTTGTCATAATGTTATTCACCCACCTTCTATTGGTTAATTAACTTCCAGTTTGAAAGTTAATATATTAAAATTTATACTATTTTCTTATTGGCATTATTAGCCTAACAATTTTGTCTGGTTCTGAGTCAGGATTTGATGTACTATGTTATATAAGACATCCATTCCTACATTAATGCACCTTATATTTCACTCCAATTCTTCCTTACATTAGAAAATGTGAATGACAAGCCTAAAACTGCAATGCCATTTCAACCACCACACTTTTGTGTTATATCCATAACTGTAACTGTGACATTGATATTTTCATGAGGAGTAGTTGAACTTAGCCTTTTGTGATCCGAGCTAGTAATTTCCCCCATGTGAAGGTTAGAAGCTATTATTTTCCATTTGAAGACTATTTTACAATGAGATACATTTCTTTAATGTAGATGTAGCATCACACCCAAGGAAGATTTTTCTAGCAAACTTGGGATCTTCAATCTTCTGCTTTGCATTCTGTTGCGCTCAAGTTTGTGGTTTTTGTTGACAATGATGAAATCTCCAGCACAACCAACATATGAGGCAAGTCATTATGATGACTATGGATTGGATTTGCAACAAGACTTTTGCCAGGTACTAAGTACATTATTGTTGGTTTTTAAATTTTAACAGAGTTTGTTGCACTTTATGAACTTGTTTGATAAAGTTTGTGTCAAAAGTAAGAGATTATGTTTGATTTTTGGACAAATATGGTCCAATTGATAAAGTAGCTAAAGAGTAAAGACTTTTGCATTTGATGTTTTATTTTCATTTTTGTTTTGATCTTGCAAGTTCTCTCACTGTTTGGTTCTTTTGTGCTAGTTCTTGGAGGAAGCAAAGCAACATGGAAAGGAAGCAAAACTAAAGAGTTCATCAGTGCACCCGGAAGAATATGGAAAAACAGGATCTGAGAAAGAGAAAAGGGGGAAGAAAACATGGAAAAGTTCTCTGATTTCATGGTGGAAAGCTGAAAAGAAAAGCAAGCATAGAGAAGAACCCACCAAAAAGTCTAAATCAAAGGTCTATGGGAAAAGACATGGCCATTTTTCTGGTCCAATATATAACTCATGCAATGGTTCTGATGTGAAACACTGGCTTCCATCTTCTGGTCCTTTGACAAGTTTGTTCAAACCCACAAAGAGAGAGGAGAATGAGATACCCTATATCTCTCTCCACCAACAAAATAGCCCCCGTGTTGTACAGAACTATGGCCCCCTTTATGTGGTCACTTGACTTGTGTGTCACTAGCATAGTTGCAAATTCTGGTGACACAAGCTTCACTTGGAAAGACGAGTGAATTTGAATTAGTTTTTGAGAGGATATTGGTGGCCAATGTAACAGCTCTTTGTGAGATGAACAATTTCATATTTTTGACTTTGAATATTAGACTATGAGTTGAATGGCTTGTCCTTGGATTTGATTGAGGAAAACAAAAATTCAGAACAAGTCATCTTTGTTCCTTGTTCCACCACAGACTTCAGCTATGTGAATGGTAGTTTTTTTTATCTACTTTAAACAATAAATAATAAAAAAAAAACTAAAAATACATTGTCATTTGATTCTCATTCTCATCCCACCCAATTTCCTGTTAAAATTGAAGAAACTGTCTTCCGCAACCGAGCTTTTTCCTATCATTTTGTTTTTTGTTTTGAGTTGTAGTCTAAGTCATTATCTCCTCCCAAACAGTTTCTTTTTCTCAAAGAAGTTATTACATTGTGCTTTAGCATGTTGGTGGAAAAGGGATTTCTTAGCTGCTAAGGTCTTACAACAAGTTCAGATGCCATTAGGTAACAAAGTGAAAGCACAAAATCAGACAATGGCTTTGCAAAAAAACCATGTTTCGGGGAAGAGTAGAATTAAAATGGCAAATATTATTGATGTAAATTTCTAACATAATTTTTAATCAAATTTTTATTTATTATTTTTTAAAGAAGTAGATAATAAGACTCATAAAAAAAAAGAATTCCACTACTGAGTGTGTAAAAATACTAGTTAAGAAAAATTAATAAAAAAACATTAAAAAATTGTAAATTTTGAATCTAATTAGAATATACTTATAATGTTAAAAAAGTTATACCGTCGTCTAATTATAAATTATCACATTATATAAAATATTAATTTTTTATAATAATATCTTTAAAAGTCATACCCGTTGTGATTTTTAACATGATGATTTTTAATTAATTGACAGTGTAAAAAACCTTTTACACTAATAATGTACTGTAATTGAACTTGTAAAAATAACACAATTATACTAATAATGCTTTTTTATAATTTTTCTACTTATAATTCTTTAATTAATGTTGTAAAGATGTTATTGTTCTCCTTAGAAAAATAATATATAGCCTAAAAATGTATTTTTATTTTTTATAATTTACAAAATTTTAATTTTTTAAAAATCAATTTTAATCTCTATTTTTGTGTATTTAATATTTTTAGTCTCTTTTAGCGTGACATGAACAAATAAAAAAATTAACATGTAATTATTTTTACTTAATTATATCAGACTAAAAATATTAAATTTAAAAATTAGAAACTAAAATTAGTTTTTTTTTTAATTGACAATTTTACAAAAATATATCAACGAAAATATATTTAAGTCATGATGATAGAATCTTTTTAAGACCCCAAATGCCACTCCTTTCCCTTAGCTACTAAACTAGAGGTGTGAATGTGTGATGAACTCTCTTCTAAAGCAGCCACCAAAAAGCAAAGTGATGTGTGTGAATTGATGAACTTCTAACTAGCCCACTGAGGGTAACCATGTGATTGGAGAAGTACCTGTCCCACTAGTCATGAGTTTGAACTATGAAGCACCGACTAACTTTGGAGGCTCAACCAGTACCCAAGAAAATGGGCAAAGCCATTGAAAATCAGCTGAAGAGCAGGAACAGGTTAAGGGGGGTAAAAGTAAAAAGCCATTGGCCATGGGATGCGTGAAAAAGTCAGCATGATTGAGAAAATTTTGGATTTGTGCTTCCCACTATCTAGGCAACCCAACCAAACATTTGTCTTAGACATTAGCTTATCTCCCACTTTCATAGTGAAATGCCTAGAGATTTAATAGTGTTTCTTTAAATATAAAGTTTCAAGGTTATTTTTTTATTTTATCGTTTGTCTAAAAAGTATGTGTTAAAAAACTAAACAAATAAATTGAAAAAAAAACCATATTACAATGACCTGTGAGCTAGCATGGAAGAATCACATTGGTAGTTTCCCTAATATATCCTCTTGTCAGTAATTGCATTTTTGAAAGAAAAAAAATATTAGGTAATTCGGAACTATGCAATTTTAATCTCATGTGTGGAAATTTTACAATTATAAAAAAAAATTGTATACATGTTACTACTGAGTGATATCGTATCAGATTTAAGAAAATTTTGTTCATTCTTAGTAGTGATCTCATCTAGAAATAGAAAACTACACTCTCTACATTAGGATTTGTTTATTTTATTCTGCAAACCACAGTTGCACGATTTTTTTATTATTATTAAAACAATACTTTTCAACTTCCAAGGGTCCATTTTTTTTCTCAAAGCAAAAATTTTCTACCTCGAGCGAAACTCTCGATATGGACAGAAACAAACATGCTCATAATTTGAATAACTTGTGACTTCCATTTCGATTTATTTCATCCTTTATCATTCCATTAAATTCACCATTATATATATTTAAATATAGCAGGAAAATTGCAAGTAAAGAACAAAACTAAAAATTCATCTTGTGTAAAAGAAACTGGGTCAATCTACCCTTTCACTACAAAGAAACATGTCATTTACGTAATATAAATACATTGAACGGTTTGCTTGAAGTGCTTCAACTTCAAGCACAGAGAAAAAAAGAAGAAAAAAGAAAATCATTGTGTAACAATACATTATGTGCACAAGTATTAGAAGGGAAGTAGCATAACTCTGACACTTTTAAGAGCTATCATTCAGAAAGAGGAACTCTCCTAAAATAATTAATGAATACCATTAACAAATATCTATCCCTGCGCTTGTTCCACATCCATAGAACTAGGACTACAAGGACTTAACTTTTTGTCCCTGCTTAAAAGCCTCTTAAATGACCTCAATGTGGCTGCCATTGGTGATTTCACCTCATCTTCAGCACACCTATTCCCTGAAGGAGACAAAGGTGAAGAAGTGAACTCACTTGGTATATCAATTACCAACATTCCATTACACCTACTACGATTAACACTCTCATTAGTTGAAGAAGAAGGTGTGGAAGAAGAACAAGGAGGTTGCTGAGAAGTGCCTTCTTCTGCCAAGGAAACACCAACAGAACTAACTTGTGTCTGATTCCCCCAAACCAACACATTTGTAGGAAAATTTGAAGACTCTAAGCCACTAACGGCAGCTGAATTTTCTTGCTCTGATGACTCATTATTATTATTCACCGAGACATTCTCTTCGGCATTTGAACTACCACTTGGCTTAGAAGATTCAGAGGAGGCAACAGGGTTTCTACAAAGAGGGCAAGTAGAATGGGATTGGAACCACATATCAATGCAATCCACATGAAACCCATGGTTACATTTAGGTAAAAGCCTTGCCTTTTCACCTTGAACAATCTCAGCGAGACACACAGCACATTCCAAACCATCTTTGAATTCCTCTGGCTGAAACACCAACACTGGCAAGGACCTAAGAACTGAAGGGTCAAGCCCAGTTTGGTGATTGCCATAGATGACCGGGTCTTGGCCGGGGGCGAAGACAAACCGGCGCCGGCGCGGGCGCCGGTTGCCGGGTTGAGGAGTAATGTTTTGCTCAATACTCCACCAGAACCATTTTGCATAGAGATGAAGCACAAAGACAAACACAACCACCATGAAGAAGAAGATTATAGCCACCACCATGATCTTCCCAGTAATCGCGACTGTGCCAGATTCACCTAATGAGTCGCTTGATCCTGTCGTTGCACCCATGTTGATAACTTTCCCTTATGTTCTCTCTCTCTTGCAGTTTAAATATAAAAATGGAAGCTTTCTGTTTCAGCTGCAAATTTGAACACACCGCAGAATCAGAATCTCACAAAATGGTCAAAACCCAGATGGAAAATCACTCTGAAAATTCTGGGTTTTGCAGGGAAAATGAAAAGGAAAAAAGGGTAGTGGTGGTTTTTGGAATAAAACTTTGAGTGTTGAAATGGGCATATGAGAATTTGAGAGTGAAAAGAGAAGGGGAAGTTGAGTTTGGATTGTGAATTGGGTTTGGAACACAGAGAAAGGAATAAGAAGTTGTATAGCCTCCAGTTGGGTAGACTTGGACTTTAGAACAAAATGAGAGAAGAAGGTGATGACATTGGAGTCAAATAGTCAATGACTCAATGGTCAGAAAAATGGAAGTTTGAAATTTAATTAATTACCACTATTTAGTTCAAAAATGAGAATAAAATACGTAAATTACATTCACACCCTTTAGATTTAACCAATTATGTTAATCTTTAAGAGGGTATGAGTGTAACTTTATAAGAAAGATGGCTTGAAAATTCTAATATCTAACCCTATTTGTCCTTTAATTCAACCGCTCTTAGACAGGTCACAGGATCTTTCCTTGTATGAAACCATTAGCATTACCTTTACTTTACCTATTAGACTTAGAAATGATTGAGATTTTTCCCCCTTCCCCTTTGACCCGTCTATTGAATTAGCCACTAAAGACTCAGATAGAGATAGTTTAACGTAGAAAATGGGGGTGGGAAAAAGGGTTAAAGCTAAGATGTTGCAATTAATATTTTATTTTAATAATTATTTACTTTTATTTTGATAATTAAGATCAGTAGTAATTATTAAAATAAAATGATGAATTTAGTTGATGAATAGTATTAATATTATTTATAATATTAACTTAAATAAGATTTTCACCTTTAAAAAAATTATGCATTTTTTTTATTTTTAATGTTTTTCTTAAACGAATTATCTATGATATGTTCCCTAATTGAATAATTTCTTTGCAATTTTTTGTTCTTGTCCTTTTTAAATAAGGTATTAATTAAAAGCTTGTAATATTTTGAGAGATCAAATAAAAAAATAAACATAAAAGATCATTTTGTTAAAAAAAATACTGTGAAATTTCAAAAGTTAAGAATAGGAAAACAAATAAAAAATATTTTTTTAAAAAGTCAAAAACTTATTCATGCCTATAATATCACCAATAAATCTTATCTGAAACAAAAATCAACCAACTAATCCATCCAGCAAAATAATCATTCATTGGATTACATAGAAGTAGCTTGCTAATTGTGCAGAATATGTTGTGGTTCGCGAGTTGTTGTTATTTTATTCTCTGGAATGCTGTGCTTGTAGAAATTAAGCTACACTTCACCTAATTTATCGACCTTCAAACTTAAAAGCTTTAAAATTGACCATATTTTTGGATAGTATTAACCATATTCATGACCATTAACATCGCAACATTAATTATATGCTCTAATGACAAGTTTAAAATAAAGAAGTCCTTAATGACTTAAAACTCAAAACTACGCATGTATGACTACTGTCGAACATTCACAAAAATTAAGAAAAGATCACTAATTTAATTAAAATATAGAAAAAAGAACAATGTAGATTATATCATCTCACCCCCTCTCTCCCCTTTTCACTAATTTTTACCTCTCCCTTCTTAATTATCCTTCTTTCACGTTTCTATCTTAATCTCTAATTTTTCAATTTGATCCTTCGTCGTTGTTCTCCCCTCACCTTGCATTTACAACCATATGATATATCTCTTTCCTTGTGTGAAAGCTGCCTTGAAGACTAATTTATGATTATTATTTTAATGCAATAATGAAAAACGAGTCATGATCTTCACTGTATAGACTATTTTAGCATGTAATAGAGATTTTGAATCACATTATTTGCTTTTAAAAAAGTCGACCTCCTGTTAAACTAGACAAACTAAAATACTTTACATTAACTGGTTAATCTTGCAATAAGAAGCCAACTTGACTACAAACTTTCAATGATTAACAAATAATAAACTCAAAATACCAAAAAAAAAAAAAAACAGGTAAACTTAATTTGTTGAAATACAATAAACTTAAAGATCAATCCAAATAAATCCAACGTTTAAGAGAGGTACACAAAAAGATGAAAAAAGAGAGAGTAAAGTAACTTAAAAAAAAATAGAAATAACAAAAAAGAAAGACAATATGTATAATAAGTTTCAATCAAGACATTTTCTTTATAGAGTATATAAAAGGATGAAAAATAAGTTAAGTCATTTGTTAATTAATAGTCTTAGACTTAGTCTATCTTAAGCCTAAAAGAAATTTACATATACGTAGACTGATGTAATATAGATATTTATATCATATTATATCATGAATTAAACGGGGAATTAAGATTGTATACCTAGCACTAGAAAGAATCACTTGTCTTTAATCTCTAATAAAAATATGATAACAACAAATAATGTGAGAACAATTTTTTGATTTGACGATTAAAATTCTACACACGTTTAATAAAATTGTTTGATGAAAAATAGTTTTTATAATGACACTAAATGAGAGTGTAGATCATTCAAACTAGAAAGTTCGGTGATAGTTTCGTCATTTAGCAAGTCAAGTGACATGATTAAATTAACTGATTAGTATATTAATCTACAAATATATAAACCAATAAATTCCAACAACGGTAAACAAAGATCATTAGTAGTTTGTAAAATAAACAAATGAAAAGACAAAATTTAGTTAATGAATTGAAGTTAGTGAAAAGGTAAATACGCTATTAATTGAGGAAAACATGCATTCGGATGAGTGTGGAATCAATTGCAAACAATAATGAAGATTTTCTTGATCTTAATTTATTATTACATGCAGTAACGAAAGAATCGGCTACAAAATGAATGATTGGTATTGAATTGTTCTCTCTTTATTATTGACATGTCATTATGCGAAAATAACAATAGACACAAGGATGTGGCAGTGATAAAGAGAAAGATTAATCAAATCAACCAATATTATCATATGCATAATATGCATGGAGTATGGATTATGATTTATCACATTATCATGCCCATAATATTGATTAAAAATCAGCTAAAAAGGTTGATTAAAACAATCAAATCCCGGTTCTTTAGTTCAAATTTTATTTTTGTTATTAATCAGACTTTGGGTAAAACTTTGCCCGAAGTCCCTTGTATTTGTTTTCTCATATATGTTTTGTCATTGCATCTACTAAAGTCTATAATTGGAGGTCAAGAAAAAAAGCATATCATTGTTCTCCCATTGTCAAACTTCTTTAGCTCCTTTTTTGTTCCCATGAATTCTATTGGACAGCTATATTTAGTACGGATATTGATGAAAAATATTTTGTTGGCTTTTTAGATTCCAACCTCTTTTATGTGAGAAGGAAACAGTAAATGTCAGTAATTATATAATTTAATATATTGATAATATTAATGTTATTATTTTGAATGAAAAATGTTGTATATTAACTTTAATTTAAACTTATGATTGATATAAACTGAACATCTAATTTTAACATTTTGTTTGAATAAAAAAATTCTTTAAGTTATGGATGATATATTGCATATCCTGAAAATTCCCACAAATAATGTGGAATATAGCCTTGAGTATGATCTTTAGAGTTTACTGTTAATGGAGTGAGACCTGGGGATGGGTACCATTATACCAGCAATTATAGCCATTTTAAGCGCGTTTTTTGGCCCTGATTTGGTGCTAGGTTGAAACAATAAATAGATTTAAAAATCTATACTTGGACAAAATGATTCATCCTCCTCATTATGACAATCGATTGTATAAATTTAACTTTTTCAATGAGCTGTTAATCTTTTCTGTTTTCATGTTTCTCAATTTTATTTTTTAGAATGAAGCAAAAATTGAATATCTTGTGCATTACTATTGTTCTTTTAAATTTACTTTTTAAAAAAAAAATTGAAACAGATAGTTGAAAAACAATTTGAGCTTGACATTTTTTATAAATAAAAAGATAAGAATAACACATGTTATTATTCCCTACAAAAGGATGTCAAACTAAGAATAGCACATATTATTCTAGGTAAAAAATAAGTATATTAAGTGATTGATTGAATTTTACATAATTACATGTTAATGATTCACAATGGACCAAAATCTCAATGCATTTCCAGTTATTCGTTGTAGTTTAGAATAATAAGAACAAGGCCTGATTCCTTATATAAAAGCCCATACTCATAATGTCCTGCTTGTGAGACCAAAAATATGTCTTGCATGGCAGAGAATTAAAAAATAACTATGGAATGAAAGATTGGACGTGCCAAAGGCCTGAATAAGCGATTGATTTTTTTCACCCTTTCTTGCTTGTGGTCTACGCAGTTCACATGCATTGCATTGCTATATTAAGGCATTCGTGGAAAATATGACAAAATGATCACATATTACAAGATGTGGATTAATAACACTAACCCACCCTGTCTAGAATGATAGGACATTCTGCTCTTTTTATATAAATTATCTACATAGGATAGGCTTATGTGTACACACTCTCAATGTTTTGAAAGATCAAACTAAGTATTGAGGCAATTGAATCAAAATGATTGGAATTGGGAGGAAGTGTTGAAAGATAGGTCTTAGATTAGTTGTAAATAAAGGAGTATATAAACACAATTTTATACTTTATAGTATGATCACACTTCTTTATGAATGCACACAGATTGAAGATAACAAAACCATATCAGAGTATATATTATCAATTATTAATTTATAAACACTTGAACAGTATCACTATTTTTTTTCCTTATTCATTGCATCACTCATCGCATTTAAAACTTTTCTTTCGTCTCTTTCTATCTCTTTATGAGTCTATGAAACATTTTTAAGTGTCGATTTGAATCTTAGTATGCTATATTCTCTTGTATTAGAACCTTCTAAAGTTTCTCTGCTACCATTTCTCTTTCTTGGGGTGAAGAATAAACTTTGTTGACTGGAATGACGCTTTAATCAAATCGCTCCTTAAAGTTGGTTTTGAACTTTGGATGCAATTCTACATCCACAAAATTTTCTAGGAAGATAACAGAGGATGTAGCTTTTGATTCAGATCAATGGCCATGAGCACGAAAACAACTTATTGTGTAGATTTTGGTGAGAAGCAATGATATAAGGATATTCTAAATAGAAAATATATACACTTCATTGAATTATAACAGATAAAATACCCAATTTTACTAATTTTCTAAAGCAGGAATAAGAATTACAAATAACATTTCCCAGAATAAGCTACCCCATAATTTTCAAAGTTCCCAAATCTGATTAAAACCAATTGCTTAGCAAGATAAAAATTGCACTGAACTAAATGTGATTAGGAAGAATTGCACATTTCCCAGGGCTAAACATGCAACAACACAAAATAATAACAATTGACATGAATGGTACTAATCCTGATATACCAATTTGTATATTACATACATAGTTACATACAAGTAAAGGAATAAAGAGAAGTGTCAACGAATCAAGGGAAAACTCTCAGTGGTGCTAGATGGAAGTGTCAAGTAGAAAAGAGTTACCAATAGATCAGACAAACTCTGCACGAGATTAATCATAGATTCTCTCAAGTTTTTCACCTGTTTAAGTTGATTATGAGGAATATGGTCAGTGATTTTGTTCCTACAAAGAGGGCACGTGGGGTGGTTCTTCAACCAAGCACCAATGCAATCAGCATGATATCTGTGTTTGCATACTGGAAGAGACCGAACCTTTTCCCCTTTATAAATTTGGCATAGACACACTGAACAATAATCGCTTTCACCCTCTTCATTATCCTTCACTGTTGCAGCATAACTATAATGATCATAGAGTTTATGCAGCCTTTGAATCATGTAGTTTTGAAATGATTTAGCCACAAAAACAATGGCTGTGAGGAAGGAGAGAATGGTACTCATGTTGCCTCCTCTTGTTGTTGGAGTATAGAGAAATGACAAGAGATGTAGGATTTCAATTGCCCATTTTCTTATATGATATGTCAAGTAATCTTCAGGCCCCAGCTAGTAGTTTGTTTTAAGGAAATAAAATTGAAGAATATTCCAACTTGGTGGTTAGGCTTATGGAGATGCATCATGTGTGGCTACATGTTACCCAATTCATGGAATTTTAGGATAAGTAATTATTATTATCTTTTGCTCTTTATGCAGTGAAATAGAGGTTGAGGGCTTGTTGTGCGCAACAAAAATAAATCCTTGTACATTTAAATGTTGTATTAAAGATGTATTAAAATTATTATTATTATTATTTGTTTTCAAATGACTCTTGTATCTAAGAATATTTAATCTCATGATAGGTTTCTTTATCTTTTTTTCTCTTTTTTCTTTAAACTATATTTATGACATATATGCTTGTTTTAGTAGAACAGAAGATTACTCAAAAGTCAAAGCCCTTACCAACTTCCATTTTGCTTCTGTAATATTGCCATAGTAGAAGAAACAATTATCAAAGCCGTTATGGGTGAGTCAATAGGGAAGACATGTAAATCAGAAGTGATGCCAATTTTGAAACTTCTAAATCTTGGAAATATAAAATGACTTCACATATTATAATTTATTTATTTGTATTATTTCATTTCTTCTAAATCATTTAAACAAAGATCAAAACATTGGGAGAATATGTTAATTCTAGGTAGAGTTTTGATGTAGCCTTGGAGTTGGAGGTAGGTTGAAAGTTTCACAAACCCATTCAAACATTTGACTTTTCTGGGTTACGTAAGGATTCATTCTCGAATTATGTAAGATTGAAATTACATGTTCTCTGTGTCCTTTCTTTTCCTTCAAATTTAAAGTTACATACTAAAAACAATCTACCCTTTTCTTGAATAATCATATTCTTTCCCTTAATTATAATTTTTTTAAGCGTTATTTTTCAGTTAAAGAAACGTAAAAAAGAACGAGATGAGATAATTCTCAATGCACCACAATTAATGAGTTGGAGACTTTCTTTAAGTATAACTTTGCAAGTCTTGGAAAGATTTTAATGCAATGTTTCTTGTTTGAGAAATTTACCAACTATAATAACCTTCTCATTAAGAAGTAAACATTAAAAAAAAGTTAAAGGAAATGAAAAATATTAATTAACATCCAAATCAGGAATCATCGATTTTTGATCCCATGAGAAAAATCATTTCTTTTTACCCTTTCAGATTTATGTTAGTATGCTGATCTCAAAATTAACATATGATTTCTTTTTCTCTCTAACATGAACTAAAAATTAAAAAAGAATGATGAATTAATCTTTATCTTTCTTTCTAGAAGACGCCGTAAAGCATTATAAGATACTCATACAAGTTTTATTAATCTTTTATCTTCCTTGTAGTGAAATGTAATTGACTTGTATCTCATTAATTTCCTCTCTAATTTTCTATGGGATGCCCACACTTTCTATTGGACCAAACAGGATTTGAACGAGTTTCTTCAACATGGATACAACTCCTTGGAACCTCAATTCAAGTTCACGTTGTGTTTTCTATTGAATTCCAAACTTTCTGGGTGGATGAACCATCACCAAGGCACCAAACATATCTAGTTAAATAAATAATATGTCAAATTACTATTAAACATAGTACTATGGTTGACTACAAACAACTGTTCATGGGCATTCACCACCTTTAAATATGGAAAATATTTCTTAAATTTTCCCTTTTTCTTCGATAGATGAGATTTTAGAAAAATTATAGGAATATGAGAAACTTTTAAAATGACATCTTTAGAGCATGTTTGTTTGCATTTTTAATTTTTTTTAAAAACAAATTGATATTTTTATATTTTAAATTTAAAAATATATATTAATTATTTGTTATAATTTTTAGTTGTTCAATTTCTATATCTTTATGTTTGTATCAAAAATACCGTCGATGATTTTTAAGTTTTATATTTATGTAAATTTCTTTTCAAAATCTTTTATTTTAATATATAATATTTTCAAATCTCATTTAAATTAATAATCTCTCTTAAAGTTAACATGTAACCTAAATAATGTTTTAAAATTTGTTATGCTATTAACTTATATAGAAGTAAAATATTTTTTTTCTTTTCACACATTAGTTTTTTTTATAAAGACAAATGTGATAATGTCCAAGAAATAAATTTAATAATATTTTTTAAAAAATGATGCAATATTGTGTTTATTACAAAGTCGTTTTAGTCTTCACGATAGAACATGGCATTTTAAAAAAATACATATGAAAAGTGAGTTACTTTTGTTCTTTGTTGAAGGTTGAACGAGAAACACACTCTTATTTGAAGGTTGGAAATTGGAAGAGAAGTCTGCGCAGCAAAACCGGCTTTATTTTTCATATCTACATACCACATCTCAATATTAATAAAATTATTAAAATATTACATTGTTTTATATTTTGAAATAAAAATAATGTGAATTCAATTTATATATTATTAGATTATTAAATTTTGCAATTTTGTATATGATCAATTAAGTGATAGATTTTTTTAAATTTTAAAAATCAAAATCATATTATTATTGTTGTTTTCTTTTTGTAAATTCAATAAAATTTTATGATCGGACTAATTTTTTTATTTGAAAACACAATTATTCCATCATAACATTAAGTGTTGGTGAATAGCACGTATTTGAAGTTTAGTTTATTAAATTAATTACAAGGAAATAATCATCATATGAAAATTATCACTGCCATTAAAAATCCAGCTCATGGAGACATATTTTTGCTTCACAGAGATAAAATTTGAACACTGAAAATGTATAAACAACCAAATTCTTATTCAATATTTAAAATTATATTTTTTTATACACAGAGACTTAAACTTAATATTTAAGATGAATCGTTTGTCACTCCAACTAATTTAAGTGACTTAAAATTCTCTTTAATAATATATATTTTATTTAATAAAAAAATATTTAAAATTATATTAAATAATATTGTGACGAATATTTCAACTAAGCATTCAACGCCGGTTAAATGTTTAATAGTAAAATTGATTTCATTTGATTTAAAGTAATATATGATAATGCTATAATTATGATAACTGAAAATAATTAAAAGATATAATGATTAAAATATCGTCACGTAGCATGTTCCACTTTGTTAGAATATTAGTTTATACGATGTAATGTCGACCCACATAAAATATAATAATGAGTTTTTATTTATTTATAATAATCTATTCCATTCATCACGGTCACCTGTGGACCCGTCATTAATTAATACGAAAGAGTCACCATTAATATGAAATTGTGTGATTATGATAACATACACAATCTCTTAATATATATCCCGTGATTAAGAAAATATCTAGAAAATACAGTGACTGATTTTCATCAATAAAAAAAATTAGTGACACCCACATGACATATTATAATAGTTATGAATACAACGAGAACGCGTATGCGACTTTTACTAATTTTTTAAGCTTAATTAGTTGTAATTTAAATGGCATTAATAGTGGTGCACTTTCTTTGGTAATTATTTAGTTAAAAAGTATTTTTCAGAATAATTATTTTAGTAATTAGTATTAAATAATTTTAAAAATGGAACGTTAACAATACTTTTTTTAATAAATTTTTTATTATTGGTTAAATTTATTAAAAATAAAAAATATTAATTAAAAATAGAACACATATAATTTTTAATAAATTTTAATTAATAATAAATGATGTATTATAAAAAATTATGTTATTAGCCGTACTCATTTTAAAAAGTTATAACTTTCGTAACATTGATTAATTTTTATGTATACACTTAGACGTTACACATTGAATGACGTGAACGTGTTCGAGAGAGATCTTCGTGTGGCGTTTTTAGGAGAGACAATGAGATGGCATGATCTGCCATCTATTATCCCCTTTTTTCATTTCGCTATATTTACAATTTCGATTTTTTTATTTAAATAATACAAATTTAAAAATTATTTTCAAAAATAAAATTAATTAAAAATTATTTCTTTATGATTTTTTTTTATCACACTAGCTGTATCATACTTTTATGGTTAATATCATTTTTATTATAATTATTTTTTAAAATCATATCACATTTGAGATCGATACTCATTCTAAATTCTATTAACGACACGTGATATATGACAACTTAAGTACCAGATTGAGAAAGACACTATTTTATTATTTAAAAATTATTTAAAATTGTAAATTTTTAAAAATGTTTAAAATTATAAATATAAAAACAATTAAAATTATCTTTAGTAATAATTAATACTAAAATTAAAATAAATATCTTATAATTTATAATAATATTTTTAAAATTTATAATTTTAATAAGTTAGATAATTATAAGCTTAACTATTATTTTTATGCATACTATGTTAATTAAACTTATTTTAAATAATTTTTTTTATCAAAAATTAATACTATAATTAAAATTAAATTTCTATTATTCCTAATTTTATTTTAAATTTTTTAATTTTATAACTCAATTAATTATAAATTTAATTTATAATTTTATAAAAAATATGTCAGTTAAACTTATTCACAACTTATTTTTTTATTAATAATTAATATTATAATTAAAATTAAATTTTTATATTTTTAATTTTGTCTTTTAAAATTTATAATCGTAAATATTTTTAATTTTAAATTTAAATTTAAACATTTTTTAAATTAATATATTTAAATATTTTAAATTTATAATTTTTCTGCACATACCACATGTTATTATCAAGATGAATATTAACATGAAATATGTAATATTTTAAAAAATAATAATAAAAAATAGTATCGTCTATAAAAACTCAATACATCAAGTAACGTGATAAAAAAAAGTCTAAATAAAAAAATAAATTTTCATTAATCTTATTTTTAAAAATATTTTTAAAATTGTATTATTTAAATAAAAAGTCTACAATTTCTCTTGAATTTTTTCAAAGTTATTATTTAATTACATATTTTCAATAATTCCATTAAGTTTCTTAACTCTTTTTTAATCCTTTTATGATGATGTACATAGAGAAAATTTTTAACTTGATAGAAAGTTTTTTAAATAATCAAAGGTTTACCTTTTAAATAAGCTAGTAAACTTAATTTTATATGTAGATTAGTCGATTTAAATATTAAAATAAAATCAATATATTTTAATAGCTTGAAGGTGGCCTTTTCCAAATGAATAGACTTAAAAAAAACTTACACTTAACTTATTTAATAAATAATTTTGTCCTATGCTAAACTTATTTAATAAGATAATGAAATTAGTAAAAAAACTAAATAAATTTTATTTTTTAAAATTTTAAAGAAATTAAATAAAAGAACTACTTAAAAATATATGCATTATATTTACTTATAAAAAATGATTTATTTTTATATCAATTTTTTATTAAAATTTATAAAAAATTTAACCAAACTAAAGGATCACGCTGAGTACAATAAAAATGTTAAACTTACATTTAGGTCGTTGCTATGGTACAATTGAACATTTTTTCTTCATTTCTTGTAGGGTACATTCTAGTCTGGCGCACTCATTTGTGATTGCAAATTGCAATCATTTCTGCATAGCAAAAATGGGTAACCTATTGATAGGTATGTGTTAGCTCCACCAGTCTTACGTGTGTAGCTTAACATGTTATATTAATAGACGTGCAAGATTTCTCATAATATTATATAATAAAGTGAGTTGGAAATAAAGAGATTATTTTTCTTCTCATAAAAATAAATAAATTGAATTCTTTGACTCAACAATGGATGCGTTTGATTATTTGAAATGATGTTGTTTCTTTGAAGCCACGTTAACACTTAGGTAAAGCAGGGACCAGAGCACGTGCACATAATGAATCTTATTGATTGAAGCAAGTTTTTATTTGTTTATGGATGATTGTTAAAATGCCTATGATGTTTTAAGGTTGGATAGAGAGGTACTTAGAATTTTTTCTTTCATTGTAAATCCCTTTTCAAATAATTTGATTCCATTTTAAGCATCTCTGTTAAACAATTCAAACTAAAGGCGATGTATGATTAGTGGGGATAATCATAGTGTGTTAATATTTTCATTATTTAATTGGAGCATGTTTCATTCACTGTTTTACTGGAATCCGAATCCTCTACATTTTTTTACATAGAAAACACATTGGTAGATTAAGTTTAGTTTATTGTGGACCACAGACACTGACACAGTCAATGCTACCCCTTACTAGTGTGTGTAGTTGTGATTTTACCCTTTCGATTTCACTTTATATAAAATTTAACCTTGAGAAACTCTTTCCGTACCGTGATGTCAACGTTTCCTTTCCCCTTTGGGATTATCTTCCAATTCCTCTATGAATGCTTTGAAAGAATTGAGCTTTGGATTGTGCCAAAAAAGGTACTCAAACCCAGATAAGTCCCATGAAGATAACTATCCTAATTTGGCTATAATATATCACACTTCAACAATAGAAAAGCACGACTAGAAAGAAATTCACCGTTTAAATTCCAAGGGCAGGGTAATAAAATTATTGCCTCTTAAATACTATGCCAATATCAATGTGTTTTAGTGACCATGCATCTTAAAACCCAGGATAGTTATAAAGAACATTTGCCATTTTGCCTCTTCTCTTCCCAACAGATTACGTTTAAAAGAAGAACTTCATTAAGAACTTATAGTTTATAAGATCTTTAATTGTCAATTAATATTTGGTTAGAAAGGGACAAGCCAGAGAAAATAAATATTTTATGTGTCATGTATTACTTGATTATCAAGTCACCACTTTTTTAGATAAATATTACAAAAAATTGGTGAAAAATAGCGAACGAGACAAGTTGAATGGTTGAAGACAAAAGAAAATTGCTCATTTGCTCCTGTTTTAATATGAATATTAGACTTGAACTGACCCATTTCTGATAGATTGGAAAAAATGACAACATATATCAAATTAACCCCTTTAAATTTGAATATTACACCCAAACTAACCCGCACTTGATCTAGCAAACTAAGTTAGCATTTTTAGGCCTTTAGTTATCTTGTCAGATAATTGAAAATGAGAGATGACAACTTGATCTGCTCCTGCTTTGCTCTGCAGCTGCTCTCTGATCTTGCTTTGTTCATAAAATAAAACTTATTGTACCTTTTCAATTAAGGAACCATTCTAAAATTGAGTTTTGCTATTGGATTATGTAAATTGACATAGCAATCAAGAAATTGCTCTCTACAGAAACAATCGTTGCATAGGAATGAAAAAGGACTCAACTTATAGAGACAAAGCATAATACATGGCAAAAATAAGGTTGTTGTAGGATAAAAAGTGATTTTTCATGAAAAAAAATAGAACCATAGAAATGTGGAATAACTAGTGAACTTTGTTCTTTTAAACTTCTAGACTTGTAACATTAAATGAGTTTTTTTTTATTTTTTTTTCTCTAGAAAGAGAGAGTTATATAAATTATAAAAGTAAAAAAAAAAATGTATCATAATAACACCTATATTAAGCAACTTTGATGTAGTTGGGCCAATCTAACAGCCACTAGTTGAGACGTCCAATGGGCCCCACAACAGTTGAAGTGGGCCAGTAAACAGTCATTTTCAACGAGCAGGCTCATTTTGCTTCCTCTGTGGGCTTCTCCTCAGCACATCTTTCTCACTGCCACCCACTCACACGCACCACCGACACACACCGATCCAACTTTGGACCGGACGATTCATCGACTCAAAGACTGGCACTGATTCCGCATTCACTCGCTCCCTGACTCAGTCGCCGCTGTGGCAAACAAAGCAATGCAGATGGATTCGTCTTCCGACGAAGAAGACGACCGCCACAACCTCATCGAACAGAACGTCCGAAAGCCTCCGCCGCCGCCCCCCGCCGCGGCATTCCACGTCGAAGATTTCACCTCGCAATGCCGGCGATTCAATTTCAGGCTCCAGAAAAGGTACATTATCGCCATTCTCGCTCTCTTCATCGTTCTCCTCTTCTTCTCCGTCACCGATTTCCACAGCCTCTTCTCCACCTCCTCCCTCAAGCTCGATTATCTTTCCGATCGAATGAAGGAATCCGAATTGCGCGCCATTTACCTCTTGCGCCAACAGCAAATAGGACTATTAACCGCTTGGAATCGCTCGTTCCAATCCAATGCGTCGAATCCGAATCAATTGGAGGATCTGAAATCTGCGTTGTTTAAGCAGATTTCCATTAACAGAGAAATTCAGCAGATTCTGCTGAATCCGCACAAGACAGGGAACTTGGATGAACCTGAATTGGATTTCGGAAACGTTAGCTTGAGTGGTGTAAGTTACGATAGGTGTAGAACGGTGGATCAGAATTTGTCACAGAGAAGAACGATTGAGTGGAACCCTGGAGATGGTAAATTCTTGCTTGCTATATGTGTTTCGGGTCAAATGTCTAACCATTTGATTTGCTTAGAGAAACACATGTTTTTCGCTGCGCTTTTTAATAGGATTTTGGTGATTCCTAGTTCCAAAGTGGATTACCAGTATGATAGAGTTGTGGATATTGATCATATTAACCAATGTTTGGGGAAAAAAGTGGTGGTTTCGTTTGAAGAGTTTTCCAATGCTAAGAAGGGTCATATGCACATTGATAAGTTTCTGTGTTATTTTTCTCAGCCTCAGCCTTGTTTTTTGGACGATGAAAGGTTGAAGAAGTTGAGTTCTTTGGGTTTGTCAATGCGTAAACCTGAGGCTGTTTGGGATGAGGATACTCGGAATCCGAAGAAGAAGACGGTTCAAGATGTGTTGTCTAAGTTTGCATATGATGATGATGTTATGGCAATTGGGGATGTGTTCTATGCTGAAGTGGAACCAGAATGGGTGATGCAACCAGGTGGCCCAATTGCTCACAAATGCAAAACATTGATTGAACCTAATCGCCTTATTTTGCTTACTGCTCAGCGTTTCATTCAGACATTCCTGGGAAGGAACTTCATTGCATTGCATTTTCGAAGACATGGGTTTTTGAAATTCTGGTATACCCTTCTTCCTTTTTGAATATACTGACGATGGTCTTTTAAATTGATGACTTGATTATGATATGTTAACAGCAAACTTTGCCAGCATGAATTGCATGATTTCTGACTAGTAATGAATGCATTTTCATGGCTTATGACTATGCCCTTTTCTTTTTCATGCCTAACATAATCTCCTTGTATCAATGCTGAAAACGAATAATGAGAATCCGTCCTGCAATTTTTTTGCCCTTTTTTCCCTACCATCATATTGCTTCTGATGATTCATTTTCATGTTTACAGTAATGCTAAAAAACCAAGTTGCTTTTACCCCATTCCTCAAGCTGCAGATTGCATCTCGAGGGTGGTTGAAAGGGCCGACACCCCTGTCGTTTATCTTTCTACTGATGCAGCAGAAAGTGAAACTGGTTTGCTTCAGTCACTAGTGGTGCTGAATGGCAGGTCTGTTCCTCTTGTAACCCGCCCAGCTCGTAATTCAGCAGAAAAATGGGATGCTTTGTTATACAGGCATGGTATTGAGGGAGATTCACAGGTGAGTGACTGTGCTGCATTTGATTTTTACATGGTTTTAAACTTAAGTTAGTACTGTGACTGACCTCAATTCACCAATCAAATCTGGTCTATTGTCTTGTTTCAAATAAATAAAACTGTTAGCAAGACTACGCATATCTGTTGATCATGCTTGTTTTTTTGTTTGCAATATGTGTGCTACATCTTAAGATTCTCACATTTTCTTTTCTCCGGTTCTCCCCTTAAGGTTGAGATAATCCAAAGCTCTAAGACCACCTTTGTTTGAAGTGTCATGAATGAAATTTAATTACTCTCATTCTACCATTCAAGCCATCAATATTTTACATTCAGGAAAATGCAAGTTTAAGAACTTTAGGCATGGTATTCAACTTTGTTGGTTTCAGTTGTCCTGCAGTGCTATTTCTTCAGCATGGCTTATACTAAAATATTCTAGTGCGAACTTGTAATTGCATAGTTCTTTCCTCCCTACAATTTGCTCTAATCCATTATGCGGTTGACCACTTACTTTTATTTTCTTTTACTGCTGATGTGCATTACGAATATTTCACGCTGAAGGTGGAAGCTATGTTGGACAAAACCATATGTGCTATGTCTAGCGTGTTCATTGGAGCCCCTGGTTCCACTTTCACCGAAGACATCCTGCGGCTGAGAAAGGACTGGGGGTCGGCATCGTTGTGTGATGAGTACCTTTGCCAAGGTGAGGAACCAAATGTTGTAGCGGAAAATGAATGACAATAAAGAGGGTCTTGTGCCTTGACTCAGGAATAGGTTTGATTGGGCTTTGTCAATGTGAGTAGTGATGTATGATAATAGGATTAGGTGTTTTATTGACAAGTTTTGCTTGTTATACATATTCTTTTATCACAATGATTATGATTTGTATTTGTATTATCTACACATAAATTGAGAATTTGCCCAAAAGCAATTGTGGCATTTCGACATTCCATTTCTACTTTTCTCGTTGTAAACGGAACATATTGTTGGTACCCATGGATTATGTCTTTGGCGCTTTTAACCCGAAAGAGAAAGGAGAACCTCGACGACATGTGTGTACCAGTGTACTTTTTTAATTTCCCTATAGGTTTGATAAACTAATCATCAGATGAAGTTATTATAACCTACACTAATGATTAAAACCTACAATAGTAAGTGGTGTCCTCACATGTTATTTTCTCTCTTTCTTCAATAATTAACATACATTGTAAATAATTATCTCTATTTCACTTGCATTATTTTTTTTTAGCACACGTGCTTCAATAATATTTTTCCTAAAATAAAAGGGCTTTAGTTGTAAGAAATGGATCATGTATGAAAAATGTTAATTTTAGTTTTTAGAGTTGAGTTTTTTTATTTTTCTAAACTTAAGTATTTTATATTGGAGTCAGGTAGGACTACTAAAGAGTTGAGTTAAATACATAAAAATACTAAGTTTTTATTAAAATAATATTTATCATATTTTTATATAAAATTAGCAAAATTCAATGTTGATATCTCTCTCTTTTATCTATGTTTAATTTAAAATGTAAGTAATTAGTCCTCGTCAATGGAATAAGTAAAGGATGAGTGATCTTACAAAGATTCATAGCAAGTGAAAAGATTTATGTCATTATTTCACATGCTTGTCTTTGAATGTAATTACTAAATATTTATTCCTTATAAAATTAATAAATTTTAATTTTGGTCAATTTAATTTCATTAGAGACAGAAATCATATTTAACTATTACAACACGTTTTCCAAAACACAATAGGATTGGAAGGTATCCAAATTTGAGGGTGACTGGTTCCACAAACTGGGTGAATTGCATGGTGCACAGCAGCAGCCTCCAAATTTACCTGTCATTGTAATTTTTTAAGCGGTTTATTGGAATGATTTTTCTTTTATTGAAAATTATAAAAAGAGCCACCTGCCGTAATACCCTTATCCAGTTTCGAATTTATCATTTTGACCGGTTCACCAAGTTTCCATCTATAATCTCATCCGTTGATCTAGCTCAGAAACCCACAAGCCGTATAGGCAACCGCAGGAACCCATCCACGCGCGCTGTTATCTTCCTTCCCATGCTAATACAATCCAAACCCCTTTCTCATTTTCATTTCCACTTCTTCATCACTCACTCTTAATTCCCACATTCCTCTGTGTGGCCCCACTAACCGCGCCGATTCTCAACTTCTTCCTTTTCATTTCCTTTTTCTTCTTTCTCACTTTCATCTCTCTAAACAATATTTTTTCCTTTTCTAACCCAGTACAAAAATCCTTATTCTATTTTCTTTTTCCCTCCCTTTTCTCGAATATACTCACTATCTAGATTCTGATTTCCGTTAAAGATTGTATCTTTACCGTTAAATTTCTCATTTCTAGGGTTTTCGCCCAAAGGGTAATTGCATTTTGATTTTGGGGCATCACCATGAGAGCTAAATTGGTTGTGTTCCCAATACGAGGCAGAAACTGGTGCTTCAGCAGATCCATTGATCACTCACTCTCCGCTTCCGCTGCTTCCTCTCAATCCCCTTCAACCTTGAAAGAGTTATGGACCAACGTTACCATTGATGGTAAACCCCTTAACGCCAAAGCTGAGCTTTTTGTTGACTACATCTCCTTCAAGGTGCCATTCCTTTCTTTTCTTGTTGATTTATCTTTGTGGGTGTGTCCTTTTTAACCTGTTGCTTCATTTGGTTGTTGTGGGTTGTAGATGAATAAAGCCTGGATTGGTTTGGAAAGATCACCGGATGGATCTTTCAAGAAGAAGATTCACGGGTGAGTTTTGCATTACTGTATAATTGTGACCTTGTTTCTCGGGCATTTTCTTGTCTCTTTTCAAATGTGATTTCGGGTTTTTGCAGGTTGGGGTTGTGGCTTTTGTCGCGGGTTAAGCCGTCAGAGATATTTCTGAAATCTATATCGAAGGAAGTCACTAGTGTTGAAGTCATTTACCCATCAAGGTTGGTGGTCGCCTTGCTACTTGGCTTGTGGATGTGTTGTCTGTTTTAAATATTGGTTTTATTTTAATTTGGAAAAAAAATTCCGCTCCCTTTTAGTTGTTTATTTTTGGTTACTATGTTTAACTGATCGTACGTGATATACTTTACTCATTCTATTTTTTGTGTTGTTAAATTCTTTTTCACTTCTCTGATATTTTAAATGGATAATGGAACAATATGAGTTGTGAAATGAAAGATGAGATACACAATAATGTCTGCTTTCCATTGAGGAGGCTTTTGTTGTGGTTCTTCATTTTAAATATTGTAGACAGAACCAGTTTGCTTTTATGTACTTATTTTAAGATTTTGTTAAAGCTGTGTTCTTTTCTATAATTCTGGATTGTGGGATCATGATGTGAATAAAGAAGAAAATTTGGCACTATTGTTTTGCTTCTCCTTTTTTAAGCTTTTTAACAATTACAATATTTTGTGCAGTTTGAATGCTCAACTGGTTCGCCGAAGACTAAGACACATTGCAATGAGGTAATTCTAGCCCCTACCTCCTCCACTGGTGGTGCTGGAACAAATCACTTCCCGCATCTTGTGATTTAATTATAAATGCTGCTCCCCATTTTCATATAAACTGCCATCTATTTACAGGGGAACAATTATACACCGGAAATACTTCTATGGTTCAATTTCGTTAATTCCGCTGACCTCTGCACTTAGCGTACGTATGTGTTCAGTGAATATTAACTATAAAATATTACTGTTTTATTGACCCTTTTTTTTTGTATTTATGCTGAATATGTAGCTCATTGATATCCATATCTTAATTTTACAATGCAGGTCTTACCTTTGCCCAATGTCCCATTCTTTTGGGTTTTATTTCGCACTTATTCTCATTGGAGAGCCCTTCAGGTGCATAGTCTTCCATATTACTTTCAACTTGCAAGCTGCAATCTATTCTTTTCACTTCCTGACATTTGAGTTAATTTGTCTGTCACTATGAAGCCCTGACTCTGACACAAACACTGGACATGGATACCGGGACATGATTGATGTCCAAAATATAAGACACCACTTATATATATATATATTGCTAAGAGTCTAAGACACTTATATATATGAATTTAAATATGATTAACATGAAAAAAATTCTAAATTGAAAATTAAGATTTGTTCATTCATTTTCTTAAGACAATGCTGTTAAGATAGCTTTTGATGTTGGAGGATGAAGGTGATCTAAGTGACGTTGATCTAGGGGATGATGAATGATCATCACATCAAATTATTCATATTTTGACTTCTTGACATTTTTTTGGGGGGAGGGATAGTGCTGAATTTGAACAGTTACAGTTTTTTTTTTGTCATTGTAACTGTTATAATTTGAATCCTTATTCATTTTGCAGTATGTCACTCTGTTAGCTATACTGTGAACTATTATTTGACTCTAAAATGCTAATGTGAATATACATGATCGTGTGTTTCATTATGTTAAATGATCTTAGATTTATATTCTTTAATTATTGATGATGAATTTGAGCTTTTACATGTCATTGTTAGTTGTATATGTTAGTTTTTATATTTGATTATAATGATACAATTTGATTCGTGATACAGAGAAATGGACCTTCCAATTAACATTTTGAATCCTGATTTGATAACCTTGATTTATGTATGCTTCAAATTGAGGAACTGATACTGTATATCATAAGATTCGCAGACGTCATTTGATTTGGCAGTAAATACAGAGTTGCATGGTTCTTGTATAGTTGTCAATTTGTCATAGTGCCATTTGCTTTCTATTATTGTGCACATGTCTCTCAACTGTTTTATATACTTTTACTTAGGGAAGTGAGAAGCTGTTTCAACTAGTCTCAACTAGTGGCAAGACTTCAAACACTTGTACGAGAAAAAAGGAAACTGAGGATAAGGAATCTCAAGATGAAAGGCATAGTCCACATGAACCATATTGGGTAAGTTCAGTATTTCTACACGACCCAATTTGTTGAATCAGCCTCTTGCATATGAAAGGTAGATCCATAATGGGTCCAACCCTTCCTTGGACTCTGCCATGGTAGAAGTTTTATGGCAGAGTTTGAGAGTAATTTTAGATGGAAGGGTTAGTGAGAAAGTGATTTCAAAGCAAGGTTGAGAGTAATTTTACAGATATGCCATTGATTTTATTTGGATTAGTGAATTTATAGTGCTCTACCTCCCTATCATCTAATCCAATTCATAAACAACAGCATGAAATTCATGTAGAATTTGTTAAATTAATATGCATATGTGGGTTTTGTTATATTTAGAATACTTAACTATTCTTTGTTAATTAAACTAATAGGTTAAAGGAATTATTAAATAAAGGTGAAATAGCATTGGAGTGACAATAAGTTACAATAAACACACTTTCCACCCTTTATCTCTCTCTTCTTACTCTTAGGCTCGGAAGTAGTTATAATAGAATCATACTATTTTAAATGCAAGCTTTCGTCGTCTACTTACTAATGTCTTTTTCTTTTTTCAATTAGGTATTTCGGCCATCCAAAGAACTTGAGAATCTTGTTCGTCAAGATGCGCATGATAGTCTTAGTCAGCACGCCATCGCCAACATTTGCAAGATCTATGATTTGAACACCAAAGATGTTGTAAAATACGAGAAGTCTATTTTTTGAATCAGTTTTGTAATGCAACATATTCCATTCATTCGGAGTTTGATAAGAAATATTAAAATTCGGGATATTTTACTCTGGAATACCATTGTGTATTGAGTATTGCAGTAACAATTTTCTCTGTGTAATTTTCAATTGTATGGATTTGTACATATATTTCTATGATCTTGTCTTTTTTACCTAAAATCTTAATATTTGAGAAACATGGATTCACTTCTAATTTATTATTATTATTATTATTATTATTATTATTATTATTATTATTATTAATGTGACTTCTATATTTATTTTTATTGGCGTTCTTGTATTTTTAACTTTTTAAAAAAGGAAATCGACAACAAGATTAAAAATACTAAAATGTAATTTCTAAAGTCTGAAGAGCAAATTAAAATAAAAAAGAAAATTGGAATGCAATTTTTTTAAATCTTTGACCTCAGTAATACTACTAATAAATGATGTAGTTGAATGCAGATCTTGTAATTATTCTTCTCAAATGCAATATTGCTTTTGTTTAATTTAAATATTTTGCACAGCATTTTGAAAATATTAACACTCGTGAATAGAAAGTTCTTATCATAAGTTTGGAATCGTTTTTATGTTCTGAATAAATTGACTATTGAGCTTTTTTTTTCTTTGGCAAAGCAGGAAATTGTTTACAGTAATATTTTCATTCCAGAGGGAAAAAAAATAATCTATGCCATGTGTTTCACTCTCATAAAATTCGACAAAAGAAATGCTTAAAATTATTTTTGATCTGTAAAAATATATAATTTTCTATTGTATTTTTTTATTTTTTATTTTTATATTTGATTATATTTTTTGTCATCCACCAGAATTTAAAAAAAACAATTTTTTTATAATTTTAAAAAATAGAAATAAATGAAATTCAAATGAAGAGTTAATTTAGAGAGTGCAAAATTTTTAAGCAGGAAATGTAAATGCTCTTTTTGAACTCTCATTTATATTTTAAAGTGAAGTAAATATAAGTTTATTATAAATATTTTTTTAAATATAAAGACTTTTAATCTTAAATTAGATTAACACCCCCACTAGTCACAAATAAATAAATAAATAATGATTACCAAGTAATAGAGTTCATATCTTTTATTTATTAATATTAAAAACATAAAACAAAATTATTACTATCTTGCTCAACATTTTTACCAAGTTAACAAGGTCAATAAAATAAAATAAAATGGTTTAATAGATTTCTTTCTCTGGCTGTTCTCAATGTTCTAGTTCTCAGGCTTTGCATAAAAGGTTTTGCTCAAACCACATTGCAACTTCAATTCAATTCAATCCCCCTTTGGAGTTTACCTCTCTCGGGAGAAAGTTTGCAAATTTACGCAGTAATCGGAGAAAGAATCAACAATGGCACCTGAGCACGATGACGATCTCAAAGACGAGAAGAACCCTCGACCCCTCGACGAGGATGACATCGCCCTCCTCAAAACCTACGTAATCCTTTCTTTCTCTCCAAAACCCTAATTTCCCAATTTCCCGCTTTTTGTGTTTTAGGCTTGGCAGATCTTCGTTTATGTTAGAATCGTATGATATTCTACTTGGGTCGTTCAATTTCATGTGTCATCCCAATTGAATCGTTTTCTATTTTTCTTTTCAACTATGCTGCTATTGAGATCGCTTATTGTTTTGGGGAAAATTTACTGTGTTAACCTTCTTTCACTTAATTCTGCTTCTAGGTTGTGGGGTCAGTTAAAGTATGTAACTTTAAACTCTTTATTAATTTTTGAACTCTTGAAAGTTGAAGGTTTGCTTTGTAAAATGTAAGAAATGAAGTTTCTCTTGATCCACTTTCAGATTTTAATATGCTTTTTGGGTGCCAACAGTTGAGGGTGCTGGTGTTGGGGTTTGTGGTAGCTTATATGTGGTAATTGTTCATAAATCATGATGTGGATGCACGAAGTTTTGATCATTTTTGGAGTGATATTGCATTCATGGATATGTGGATTTGTATCTTGCTTGACAAAGAATTAAGTGTACCATATTCATAGATTTAGTTTGGAGTTGATGATGTCCTACTGATGATGTGTATAGATATGTATGGAGTAGTGATGCTGTGGAGTCTCTTTAACCTGTAATATGGATGGCTGAGGGATCGTTGTGGTTCTGAGATATTTTGCTCATATATTGATTATTGACCCAGCTTCTCCTTAAGGTTGCTGGGTAGAATGTCCATGTCTTTGATCAAAGGTTTTTTCATCATTAGTGTATTTATAAACTGGATTTTATAATATATTTTGGTTTATGCAGGGTTTGGGACCCTATTCCACTAGCATAAAAAAGGTGGAGAAGGAAATCAAAGATATGGCAAAGAAAGTGAATGACTTATGTGGTATGTGCAAAAAACATGGTTGTTTTGTCATTTCTATTTTGCTTGGTAGAGCATTGTAATCGTTTGAATTAAGGAAAATTATGTCATCAGTTTTATTTATTTCTTGGTATTGTTGTGTAACTTGTGGCCCTCTACTCTCTTTTTTTCATAGTTCCAAATTGTCCCTTTATTGAGGATATTATCCTTTTCTTTAAATTTATTGTATCTTTTTGATAGGTGATAGCATTTGTTTGTGACCAACTGAGCATAAGTCATTAATCAGGGGGAAAAAAATCAACTGAAGGAAGGGGTTTATAATTGTTATTAACTTATTATGTAGATGTGTTGCATTTATATTGGTTGTCTTAATTTCATAGACTGGATGCTATTAATGCATGCACAACTCCTTAGATGTTAGCTTCCTGTTGTTATCATAGGTATCAAGGAGTCTGATACTGGTTTAGCTGCACCAAGCCAATGGGATCTTGTTTCTGATAAGCAAATGATGCAGGAGGAACAGCCCCTTCAGGTGATTCTTTTGTTTGGTAGAGTTTTTTCTAAATGTTTTTAATATTTGTAGGAATTGCTAAATATGGCTATTGATTGAATAGGTGGCAAGGTGCACAAAGATTATAAATCCAAACTCTGAAGATGCCAAATACGTTATCAATGTGAAGCAGATTGCTAAGGTGCCTAAATTTTTAACAATCTTCTCACCCCTATATATATCAGATAGTTATTTGTTTGGTGATGTCTGATATCACCTGTTGATTAAGACATCACTTGCAGATCAACTGTCTTATGCTGTGTAAAATGCCAAGTTTTTTTTTCTTTGGAAGTTGAATCTTATATACCTTCTGCTTTGATGGTAACAGTTTGTTGTTGGGCTAGGAGACAAGGTTTCCCCCACTGACATAGAGGAAGGGATGCGTGTTGGGTATGTTTCTGATAAGCAACTTTGCTGCTAAAATATTAACTGTAGAAAGAAGTGAAACTTTATTAACAACAAATGTTGTCTGCTAGTGTGTTTAACCATCATTTTATCATTGCAGGGTTGATAGAAACAAATATCAGATTCAGATTCCCTTGCCTCCAAAAATTGATCCAAGTGTTACCATGATGACAGTTGAAGAGAAGCCAGATGTGACATATAATGATGTTGGTGGTTGTAAAGAGCAGATTGAAAAGATGCGTGAAGTAAGTCTTAGAAATTATGTTTGTTTTTACATATAAAAGAAATAATTCATGCAGCACTAAATTTTTTAATTTCCCTGCCAGGTTGTTGAACTTCCCATGCTTCATCCAGAGAAATTTGTCAAGCTTGGGATTGATCCTCCAAAGGGTGTTCTTTGTTATGGTCCACCAGGAACTGGGAAAACACTTTTAGCCAGAGCTGTGGCTAATAGGACTGATGCTTGCTTCATAAGGGTTATTGGAAGTGAGCTAGTTCAGAAATATGTTGGTGAGGGGGCTCGGATGGTTCGTGAACTATTTCAGGTAAAATATCTAGGACCTGTCTTCCAGCTTCATTATTGTTTCCATGATTGGTATTGTTTGACTAGAATTTTCTATCTCTTGTAGATGGCTCGTTCAAAGAAGGCATGCATTGTGTTTTTTGATGAAGTTGATGCAATTGGAGGTGCACGGTTTGATGATGGTGTTGGTGGTGACAATGAGGTTCAGCGTACAATGCTTGAAATTGTTAATCAGCTTGATGGATTTGATGCACGAGGAAACATCAAAGTCTTGATGGCTACTAACAGGTTGGTTGATTTGGCCATTGTATAATTTTTATTTTGCTGCAGATGTTATTTTGAGGGTGTGTCGCAAAGTGTGCACTGCCATTTTTGCTGTAATTATGATACATTGCAAATGCCCTTTTAAATTATTTTTTTCCTTGTAAAAGTTATAATTGCTGAAAGTCTGTCCATCTTGTGAGAAAAAGAAATACAAATTGAGTTTGCATTGCATCTTCCTTTCCAAATGTTTCGTTTCATGCTTCTGTTAGTTTTCAATTTGAAAGTTTTACCTATGCTAAGCTGGGTTTATTATACATGAATTTTTATCCATAATTTCTAGGCCCGACACGCTCGATCCAGCACTACTACGGCCTGGGCGATTGGATCGTAAAGTTGAATTTGGTCTTCCTGACCTAGAGAGCAGAACACAGATATTCAAGATACACACAAGAACCATGAACTGTGAAAGAGACATCCGATTTGAACTTCTTGCTCGGCTTTGTCCGAATTCCACTGGTAAGACCATCTTTCAAAATAGGTAGTTTTTAATCCAGCTTATACTTTTTGACCATCAATCTGTTAAGGATTTCAGTTTTCTGGCCGGTCATTCATTCTCATTTCCTAAAAGCTTTGCTGTTGACTTGTGCTTCATGCTCAAGTACTTGTAGAGATTGGTTTTCTGATAGATACTTTTTGTTCTCTCCAGGAGCTGATATAAGGAGTGTATGCACAGAAGCTGGTATGTTTGCTATCCGTGCCCGCAGGAAGACTGTAACAGAGAAAGACTTCCTTGATGCAGTCAACAAAGTTATCAAAGGATACCAGAAGTTCAGTGCAACTCCCAAGTATATGGTTTACAACTGAGTTTTTCTTTCATCTTTTGTTCACGTGACCATATTGGGAGCAAGTACAATATTTTATTATTTCCTGTGAAAATTGAAGGGCATGTGGTTCTTTCATGAGCAGTTTGTGAAACTCCTGTTTAAATGCAACCTTGTCTGTGGCGAACGTTAATTACATCCAAAATTGAGTAAGAGAGTAAAACATTCTTTTAGCCCTTGAAAAATATACTCAAATCCTCTAGAAACTAATTTTGTTGATTTAGTCTTTCAACGTTTGGATTCTCAATAATTTAATTCTTCCATTTATCTTAACCTAAAATTGTTATTCTATAAAATGTTAACATTATATCATAAAATTTTAGTGAATGCTGGTATTTAAATATTTTAGTTCAACATTTGTTGATAATATTTAATTCATTAACTGATATTCAAATATAGTATTCCAAAGTATAAATCAATCAGATATTTAAATAATTAAAGTGCTGCAAGTGAGAATTTTGAAATTCTGAATTGTTTTTAAAAATATTTGAAAATTTGATTGGTATGAGACATTTTTAAAGAATTAGAAATACTTTTAGTCCCAAGAATGTGAGCTTATCATCACTTATTTAATGTTTTAATACATTTCCCGTATTGTGTTTTTATTTTTCCGTTAAGTAATACGTCTAGTAGCCAGTTTAAGGACGGTATTCATTTTAAAAACAGAGAAGAAAAATAGAAATTGTCAAGCACAAAACAAGTTGTGTCTACATCGGGTGTGCTTTATAATCTCATAAGTAATTTATCATAACTGTAACGAGTTTTTGAAATTAAAATAGCAATACTGATGAAATTTAAATACGTCGTTGACTGGATTAAGGCATAGCTCATGATACGCAGCAGCTGAACCAGGATCAAATTCCCATCACTGAATATCTATCTCTTTTGGAGCATCATTAACATAGACTATATAAGAGTTTTGGTTTGCAAAACAGGAAACTGTTTCAATAGAGTCATGATCCAGTGGTAGCATACATAATTCCTTTTCACTACAAGAATTATGTAAGAGAACCAAAAAATCACTGACTAGCTGATTCATGGCATAAACAGCTCCTTCAGATGCTAAAGGAAGAAATCCGAATAAAATATTTGTAGGATCCGCAATCACTACAAGGAGATTAACTATTTATTTAGACAGAGTCTATTACAAAATATTCCACAGATAAAACCACAAAATATGATGAAAAGTTTATTATTTATTCCTAGTGATTAACAACAAATGGCAAGTGGCAACCATATTAATTTAAACTGAACTTCAATTTTTCAAATGGTTAAATTATTGAAATTTATACCACCAATAAAAGAAATAGCTCAAAAACATACAATTGTCTAGCTTCAATATCCAACGGCGCACTTAATCTAACTCGGAAACTGTCTTTAAGGTTAAAAAGAAATGATGAAAATCTGATGAATATTATTTTCTTTCTATGCAGTTCTATCAACACAAGGCTTTTGTTCCCATTTACATGTCTTGTGTTTCTTGGTTATCACCCCCACGGTTGGATCCTCCTTGATCAGTTCCAAATGTTCGCTTGCTCATGTTAGTTCGCTGCACTAACCGAACCAGCGCTTGAACCACTTCGGACATAGGTGGTCGGAATTCAGGCTCCGGCTGCCCCAAAAGTAAAATTTTAGAATAACATAATAATGCATTAATACATTGAAATGTTCTTTATCCCCAACAGTTGAACTTAGCACTTAGGAATCCAATTGGGAGCTCCCAGATGGGTTGGAGTGAGATAAGTGAGGTACAATTGTTGCGTAACAGTTCGAATAGTGCCCCGAAAAAAGTAATTAAATGCTTATCTACAAAAACAATAATATGAAACATGACTGACATTACCTGAACACAAAGAGCTATAACATCAGCAAATCGAGAAAGAGACTTAACAGGGTATAGTCCTTCCAATGCAGGATCAACCATTTTAGCCAAAGCATCAATATCATGAAGTTGAGGTGTTGCCCACCGAACCAAAGACTGCTCAAACCTTGGCCTTGAGCTGTAGAAGGATCATTTTAACAATGAGAAAATAAAATCGTGAGAATATTATATTGGTGCATAATATTAAAAACTGATAATATACCAATATTTCACCTATCAAATGGTTTTCGTCCACTAAGAAGTTCCAACATGACAACTCCAAAGCTGTAGACATCACTCTTAAGAGTATAATGACCAGACAAGCCAACTTCAGGAGCTTCATATCCAGATCCAGAATTGTTGTTCAATACCTGAACATGAGATATTCGTTAGAACTTATAGTTATTTTAGTATGTAAACTAAATGTCAATGGGCAAAAGGAGAATAGCATTCAGTAAGACAAGTATCAGTATTCTTGTCGCTGATTGGAAAAACACAATATCTATCCAATATTGAGCCTTCCCCTTGTGTCTAAAACATTTTAAGGTTTTGTCATGGTATAAAAGTCCCTATGATCAAGTGGTCTGAAGTTTAATCCTTGCTAATTGCTACCCCCATTCTTCATAATTGAATTTCTTCTTTTATTAAAAGGATGGCAATAAGGTTTAAACTTATGCCCTCAGGCCAATTACCCAAGCTTCTCACTACCAGCCGGCAAAGGTAGGATGGCTTGTGCACGGTCTATGCTTTAAGCGCAAAGTGCTCTTGGTAAGGAGAAGGTTAAAGATATAAAACTTACATTGAATCTTCACCTAATCACCTAATGAATCTTCACCTAATCACCTAATGGTTTCAGCTTTTATTTAGGAGAGACGACTCTTGACAATAGAAAAGGCAACTAGAGCCAATGGTTATTCATACAAAATATTATATGTACAACCATCTGCTTTCTTTCCCTAATTGTTATAACTCAACATAGTTGGCAGCATCAACTAAAGATTAGTGTGTAAAGAAAGAACAATAACTTTGTAACTGAAAAATGAAAATGAGTAGTGAAACCTTACAATATATAGAAAAGTGGCAACAAAAAAGATAAACTAACCTGGCCTAACGAACACATTAATTCATGGCATGTTCCTAAAAAAATAAAATCACCTGGTTTGCATTTGGAATATAGCTTGCCAATCCACTGTCGGACAGATGAGGATTAAGATCTGAATCAAGCAATATGTTGGCTGACTTTATATTCTTATGAACAATTGAAGGTGAACAAACTTCATGTAGGTACCTGGGAAAAAAGCAAGTAGAGTTAGATTGTTGTTTATCAGGGCAAAATTTTAAATCGATGCTTGATGTCCAACCTTATGTTGTCTTATATTAGAAGATCTGTTTCAACTTATATTGTATTGTTAGTAAAAGTCTTTAATTTTTTCCACATAGTAGCAATTTCCAATTTGCTTAAAGTATGAAGACTTTAGAGCTGATAGTGTATAAATTCATACATAAATTTTACAGTCCCAACTAATTTATCCTATTTTTTCATTTTCAAGATTGAAAATTAGATTTGGTAATTGTTAGATATAAAACCATTCATAAGACTTCACATAACATCTTAAGCTTTTCGAATAACTAGTTCTTTTCATGGTATTAGAATGCAGATAAACAAGCAGACAAGAGTTTGACCCTGGCAGATCCTATTTTAATGAATAAAAGTTGAAATTTTTAGTAAAAGGTAGGGTGGCATGTGAATATTGTCCACACTTCAAGCCACAAACTGCTCCTGTGCAAGGACATGTTTATATAAAACCATGCATAAGCCTTCATCTTACAACTTAAGCTTTTAAAGATAGTCAGTTCATGACAATAATAAGCTACACATTTTAATCTCATTGAAAACAAAGACAGTCACAAAGACGTACTTCCAGACAATGCACAATTAAATGAAAAAGAAAAAGCTTAATATCTAATCAATCAAGTCAGACAGGTTATCATGATCTTGAAAGCTAAGCTAAATGTAAGCAACAGGAAGAAAGATAGGAGTCAGGAGATAGAAAGCAGGAGCTAATAGGTAAAATAGAAAATTAGATTCGCTCATGAGATTTAACATGATATAAAATGAGGCAAAACTTACTTTAAAATGCATTATCAAGATCTTCTATTTACATTAATAAACTAACTTACTCTAAAGCTCGTGCAATCCCCAAAGCAATCTTGACACGTGAATTCCATATCAATGGTTTACTATACTCATCAGGTAGGTGAAGGAAGTCATGCAGTGATCCATTTTTATGAAACTCATAGACTAGGAGGTGTTGTCCATGCTCTGAACAATAACCTACAAGTTCTGTCACATTGGGATGATTCAAATGGGATATGTTTGAAACCATTTCTACAAAATCGTCAGACAAATCATTGGGAAGAACAGAAGAATCTATCTTCTTCACAGCAAGAACCTACAACATTTTCACAAGTGAGAAAAGCAAATCAAAATCATTAATAAGAAAATGCATAGATTCAAGACATGCCTACTATAGAAAAGTTTATGGTATTTGTTGGACAGTATTGACTATGGTATGCAGGTGGCATCTACATGTAGCAGGACATCTCAGATATTTTTGGTTTTGTACAGCCATATGGCTTTAAGGATGAATGATCAAGATGTGTATTCACTTGTTTTTGTATCAAAACTGTTCAGATTTTACCCCCTTCTAGTAAAATTACATAATGGCATGGTGTTGTTTTGGATTTAGTATATCTCAATCAGCAATACATATAGAAGTGGATTTACCGCAAAAACAGGTAACAAATACCTTTCCATCATCAAATTGAGCACGGTACACCCGTCCAAAAGTCCCCTCACCAAGAAGTTGATCCACACTAAAGCTTCCAGTAGCAATCTGCAGGTCAGCTATAGAATATGATTTTACATTTTCAGGAGCTTTTACAGTCTTCTTGACTGTAGTGGGCCTACTATTGACTATAGCGGGCTTTTTTGAAAATTCATCCTCGTCAAATGATTTACGACGATCAAAAGGTGGAGGTTTAAGGTTTAGCGAGGCCGCAGATGTATCAAATGACTTCAAGTCAATTACAGACGAAGCTTGCATGGAATTCATTTCTGCATTATAACAGATATTAATATGTCAATTTGAATCAGAACAGACTGAAAGCAGGATAATTGAACAGCTTGAAATTAAACTAAAAGCATTAAGACAGGGCAGTCATTTCCACAGGGAGAAAGAAGATAGGTAGCCCAGTTATTTGCTAATTAGTGATGAAGTTTGGCAAAAACAAATTAAAACAAAAATACTATTAAAGCTTTAAAACTCTCTCTAGTGTAATCACAGTTATGGTGCCAAGCATGATTCTCCCTGAAAAAAGAGTTGAATTAATTGCTACTAGCTTGCCTTGCGGTCAAAGAACATATTGTCTGCCAAAATTATAGTTGAATTGCAAAACTCACTTATCAAACTAAGCATATAAGAGCCAACAGCCAATAGAGAAGGTGGCTTTAGAAGAATGAAGGGTGAACCTAAAGAACATGAAATACATGAACACAATATATACAAGTGAATGGGCACTAGTACAATATGTACACTGGTATATACAAGTCGGTGAGTAAGCCTGCCATTCACCCTATAATAAAAAAATGAAAATGATTTTTCAACAGTATACAAGAATAAAATGCTAACCGTGCACTTCATTTGAAGAAAGAGGAGCCAGGGGCTGATTGTCAAGCTTTTCAATATCTTTAAATGACTTTTTGGATCTTCTTTTCACCAGAAAAAATGCTACTATTGCCCCAACAACCAAGATTGAGATCACAATTCCAGCAACTCCCCCGCCTCCTATACCAGATTTTTTGCTTCCTCCGTCACTTGTGCCAGCATCTGATGGGCTATGTCCACCAGATTTGTGATTTCGGTTTCTTGGTGTTATTGGAGGTGTCCCAGGAGGAGGTGGAGGTGCAGGTCCCGAGTTCCATGCATTACCATCCTTTCTGTTATTAAAATTTGACCATTTTCAAGTTTCATAGAATTTATGATGAAAAACTGAATCTTACAAAAGTTGCTGATACTGGCAATGCTTACTGTAGGTTTATGCTTTTCAATTGTTCTGGTATCCAGCCTGTAAAATGATTGTTTTCCACATTCCTGAAAAATATTTAAGAACATAAATACAACTAAAAGGTACTTCTATTGAAAAATGGTAAAAGGATATTCCACAGCTGTTATATGAAACAGAGACACACAGAATGTCGAGAGGCAAATTAGCAAGGACATCAATGGTGCCTGTAAACTGGTTGTTCTGCAGATACCTACATGAATGTAAACAAGTCAACTCAAAATGTAATCAATACCATGTAAATATTAGCAAAGAAATGAAACAAGAAAACGAAAAACAAAAGGTTAGGCATTTACATGGTGCTTATGCTTGAAAGTGAACTCAAAGTCTGAGGGAGATCACCTGTGAAAGAATTGAACGAGAGATCCCTACAACAAATAATAGATATTATAGCCACCTGGCCCTGAATTGTTACCAAACCAAATTCTAGCATACTTTATAATGAACATGAAACAAGCATGCTTACATTGTTACTCAGGAAAAAAGTGTGGATTTTTAAAACTATCAAAAGCATATGCCATAGAAAATAGTGCAATAGCCAATGTATATGGAGCAATTTTCATAGAAAAATAATGTAAATTTTCTTAAACATGGGATCTGAAATAATTTTGTGAGTTACTTAATACAAAATGCAAATTAATCCACAAAAAAAATCATAAAATAATATTGAAAATGAAAATGCTCAATATTTTATAGTTAAAATAAACTTAATAGACACCTAGGCTACTTTTTATATTGGCTAAGGGAAGGAGGAAATCTCACAACGTTGAGAGGGAAGAAAGCTTTTGAAAGTCGACAGTGAGTCCTTGCTGGAGCTGATTGTGACCAAGATTCCTACATTATCGAGATTAAATTAAAAAATGACTCCAGTTGCTTGTGAAGGAGAATTTTACAATGAGAAGTGTACAAGAAGTCAAGATGATTACACACAGGTCTATAAGCGAAGACATAGTAGAAATAAAATAAGGGATTCCCCCATTAAAGTTATTATTAGCAAGATTTCTGCATCCAAAGAAACAAGAATGTAAGATATTAAAAAAATTATAATATTAGAACAAAGTAATTGATCTCACCTAGTGGAATAAAACTTAGTTGTTGTTGTTGTATAATATCATAACAAAATTAAACAAGAAAAGTATTAACAGATATAGAAACATACAAGTGCTGCAAATTAGGAGGAAGTTGGTATGGTATGGTGGCACCAAGATTGTTGTTACTCAGGTCCCTGCAGATTTTTTTACGAGGTTACAAGAATAATAACCATATAAAACTGGTTAAATGATGAAGGAGACCATTGACATACAGAATTGTTGCAGATGTCAAGGATTGTAGCTGGTAACCCATAGATCCAGTTAGTCCAAGGCCAGGCAACTTTCTGATAAGAAGTGAAACATTACAAAGTAATAAACAGACGTCAGCTCCAAAAGCAATAACAATCAAGTCATATAAAGTGATGGGAAACTGAGACTTCACATCTCTGTGACTCGGTTGCCTGAGCAAGTAATGCCTTTCCAAGACTGTCCACAAGGATCATCGCCATTCCAATTTAGCTGGGGTGGTGAGTTCATACTTTGAAACATATTCTTTAGAGAAGCAGCTGCATCAAACATTCAGAAAAAGATGGTTGGCAAACCTCTAACATGCATAATGGAAATTTGTATGATAAATTTCTATTTTGATAGTGCCCTACTGCTCCACACCCTGTTACATATTTTGAGATATGCAGACTACTCACAAACTTCTGAACATTTTATGATAGCCTTTACAAATATAACACTTCTAAGCATAACTAAACAAATAAATCATTGATCTTCTGAGCCTGAATTCAGAAAAATGTTCACATTGAAGATTGGATGATTGATAATGTGATAACTTCACACCCTCAAACATTTCAAACATTGAGGAAGAAAATAAAAATAAAAAAACTCAATTCATCAAGGATTCTGAAATTGGTGTATTTCAGTATCTAGGGTTGAAATGACAGGTACAAGATTAAATCGTTTGGCTTCATAGGAGTTCTTGAAATATATATTATAATATTACCAACTACTGAGGAACATGAAGAAAGTCTATTACATCACCTAGTCACTTTCCAAATTAGAAAAAAGGTGCAAGGATTTTAAAGTATCGCATGCTTAAATTTATAATAGTTCATCTTTGGAGGGATAGCAGAAAATTTAATATAAGTGTCAACCAAGCAAAATTTGTATATATTCAAAGTGCCACAAAGCAGAGCAAGTTGCTGGTTAAGTAGATATGGATAACAAAACAAGAGTAAATATATGTATAGGATTGCACCAGGCATGAATCATAAGGTGCAAAAATCAGTATAACAAGCTTATTTATTCCAAGCAAGCATTTCACACCTTAAATAGATAGCTAGAGCCTATGAGACTCTACTTATTGATAAATCAGAAATATGATACAGCCCAAGATAGAATCCAGTATACTAGTGCCGTTGTTTCAATCACTTTGTTTGTAACACTTCAAATTCCACATCAGAACTGGTAGGTCAAAATTCGCTATATAAAGCTCAAAAGCCAGAACAAAGTTGACTAGAATGTTGGAATTAAGTGCAAATGCAGCTACCATATTCCCACGTCACTGTTGTTAGTATAAAGAATTCAACATGATGATACAAGAGTGTGCTGAAACCTATTATGGAGGATGAAAAGCAGCTGCAGAATGGTGGGCTTTCAACAGCCGATGATGTCAGTGACACATGGGCCAGTGCTTTACTAAGATTGTCACATTTACTCCTTAGGGGAATAAAAGCAAGACTAAATCGCACTCTTTGTTGATAAATCTTCTTATAGAATTTCAAGGTTTCTTTCTTTTTTAAAATGCATTAACCATCATGATACAAGAAGTACAAATTTGAACATCAAACAGAAAACACAAAAGTATTAAAGACAACAAGTTAATGGAAGCGAATTAAAGTAGAAGATCAATAGTCCCACTAAGCTGTTATAATAAATTTTTGAGAATAGAATTTAGAAATTAGTTCAACTGTACTTCAAGAAGAAAACATAAGAAAATGGAAACTGTATTATCACATCAAAGTTTTGATGTCCAATCCATTGTTGACAATATTATCTATAGTAAAGCAGTGAGAATTGCATCAACCGGTTACATACATAGCACACACAACACACAGTTCAAACGCAACTGAAAACCAAAAAGGAAAAAAAAAACCATATGTTGAAATCATTGGATACAAAGCATAGGTCACCCTATCAATCTGCGTAAACAGTAACATTAAGGGTAATAAAATTAATGTGTGCCGTGCCACTCAACAGATCAGCTGAAAAACTTCATAATGACCCAAAGACCAACAAAAACAAAAACAAAACTTCGGCAGAAATCAAACCAAACTACTAAGGAAATGGAAAAACAGTCAACTGAACATGATTGAAAACCAAACTAAAACACAGAGAACAAGTGAGGAAGATGAGTAACAGAGAAACAGTCTTCACTGACACAACAGTAGCACAATGCAACAGAAAGAAAGAGTGATGAAAAGTGCAAAGTTGAGAGTGAGATCAAAGAACACTCTAACCATCATTTGGATCTGTATCACCATAGATGACCAGAATGCAGGTGCTGATGATGATAAACATCAGCACCAGCCTTGGATCCAACATCATCTTCTTTCTGAATCTATCTTTGCTCCCAAAATTCTTCCTACCCAGAAAGCTAAAAGGATGTGCAATCAAACCCTTTTCACCAATTTTTAATTTTTCTTAATAATATTTTATGGGTTCAAGCTTATATATGTTGCCACCATTGCCGTTGCCGAGTAAAGCTGGCAAGCACGAATTGCAGCTACAATCCAAAGCCACGTAAGTCCTTTATTTACCTTATCACGTTCTGTATATTCTACATTTTGTAAAATTATTGTTATTTCCTTTTATAAGCTTTTTTAAAGGTGCGTTAAGGTAAAAAAGTTAATGAATTTAAAAAAAATATTATATACAATTTAATTTTATGAGTTTGATTTAAAATTATTAAAATATATTTACAGATTCTATATAAATTGTTTTTATAAATTCAAATAAACTTTCGATAAACCGTTCTGAACTCACCCTAAATAAGAAATAAATTTTTGCAAACTTTGAATCTCTGTAATGTTCCACTAGTCATTGTAAAGGACCATATCATTTTTTATTTTTCCCTCGTCAATTGAGTAAGCCAATTTAACCAACTTTTGCAATGAACAATACTCACTAAGTTTTCTTCTTTATTATAATTTAAGTTTAACTTCGTATTTATTTTATACATGACAAATTCTAATTGTTGCTGAATGAAACAATTCACGAGTGATGTGATTTTTTGTGTCTCTTTAATCAAACATTTAGTATATGTATAATTAAGAGACTATTTTTATAAATTTTTAAGTAAAAATTATTGGACTCTTTTTTTTTTTTAGATTAACGTGGCTTATTTGTCATAAAAGTGTACTTTTTTTTTGTTATTAAATAAAATAATAGCTGTTGGTTGAAAACAACCCCCTTAATTAGTAATAAATTTCACAAGAAAATGATTCGCCCTATGTATAACTCTTATTATATGTATTATATTACACTTATCGTGTATCATATAATATATTCATACAGGCATTCTTAATGAGCAAAAACAGGTGCACGAGGCTTTTTATGCATTGCTGGGTCAAAGGTAAAAGAAATTAATTAGTGCCTTCAACAGAAAATAGAAAATGACACATTTAAGAGAAAAAGGAAAATTAGCCTAAATTAGAGGGGAAATGATAATTTCTTAATCGTGACAAACTTGATTAATCTACCTAACTTTATTTGCTTAAATGGTAAAAAAATAAATAAATAAATAAAATAAAATATCTCATTCAAATAAATAAGTATCTTTTTCTTTTCTTTTCTTTTTCTCTTCTCTAAATAAATAAACAAGTCAAACCGAGAATATCAAAAAATTATTTCCTTAGCTAAAATATACTGAAATTTTTAGATACTTCATGTAAGGAAGAAAAATAAAGATTAATTTGATTAATCTTTTATCATGGTAGAATGATCGAGTATGGAAATAATATCACTTAAAATAATGCCTTGATCCTTTTTCGCAATAATAATGAGGGGTTGATTATTTTGACTTTTGAGCATTATAAGAATGATAATAATGGGGACCATGATGTATATAATAAATGGTTTTGGTCGTATTGAACTTGGTTCATGCAATCAACATTAGAGCCTCTAGTTTGTGATTAGGAGGTTGGTTTCAATGTCAAAGTTCAATTTCACAAGATTTTTTTTTTTCTCTTTCTCAAAATCCTCTAATATATTATTTCCTTGTTTATTTTTGGGCTGAAATAAAATAGGATAATACTACTCCATGCTTAAGCAAATTTGTTCTTCTAAAATTTATTTATTTTTCACATGGTTATATATATGAACTCTCTCTGTATGTGTGCAAATGCACATGAATATATGAGATGTATCTAAACAGTGCTGATACTTGAAATTATTGAAAGAAATTAATAACATTTATGATTATTTAAAAATCATACAATTTTTAAAAAATTCTAATTATTTTTAATAAGATCTAATAATTTGTATTTATTTTCTTACTTATTTCAATAATAAGTTTTGTCAAACTTATTTTTACGTAGAAAACTCTTATTAACATAAAATGATTTCCGAATCATATTTAAGACCAGAAAAAAGTTGGTCACATGACAAAATCACGATAAAGTGTTCAAGTCTTCTCCTCCTGCAGAAACAACCATTTTTAACTCTTGATACTTGTAATATTTAATTACAGACCACTATTACCCTCTTCAAAGAAACCACGAATAAGGATGAAGAGAGGGTGTCAACTACTGAGGTAATTGACTTGGAATTAAAAACACAGTATGATTAAATAAAAGTTTTTACCATGATCTTTTAAAAAAACTGGTTTTGTAGTTTTCAGGGAACAGTTAACTCTGAGCAGTTTCCTTTAAGTTAAAGAAATTGAATAAAAAAAACATATGGGCGTCATCTGAAACATACAGCACAGCTATTTACACCAACATCGCAACAGACAGCATATACGATATGATTGCTATATTGCGTTCTATGTTGTTTAATGGTCACTCGAAGCAATCTCTTTCTAGATACCAGTCATTTTTCTTTGATGTTGACCATAAACACTTTCCACAAAGAAAACCAAATCTGCTAAGTATACGTGTTCTGCGTCCATTTCCTACTTTATTAAAAAAGAAACAATTTTATCTTTAAAGTTATCCAATTATCCCTTTTCAAAAAATTATAAGAGTATTATAAAGCAATTGAAAAGTTACAAAACTCAATGTATATTTTCTAATTAATTTTTAAAAAACTATAATGCATTATTAATTTTTTAATATATATATTTTGTTATTGATTGGCTTTTTGACAAGGACAAGGAGAGTTGAAGAAAGAGGCAGAATTTGATGTGTGCCCCAATTTTTCTTTATGTAAGAGAAGGTTTAATTGCAAATAGAAAGAGAAAGTTGGATGTCACAACCCCATAACATGTTGCGTTCAATATCAAACAATCTGTGACAAGCTGCCACGTAGGATACCAACACCCACCGCCCACTCACCTCCTCCCCTTCTCAGATCACTCTTGTGTGTCGGTGGCGTTTTTATGATCATTGACTCGTATTTAATGCAAGTGTTAGGAGTTTATTATGACCACAATACTTAATTATAACAAGAAATCAAAATTAATAAACATAAAATGTGGAAACTTAATAAAACTCCTTATAATGTTATTATATATTAAGATGAAAACATATTTTGCATTCTATCGATATATTTAACTATGTATTTTTATCGCTCGCACACATACACATATATAAATTAAAACACGGGTCATGTTGAATGAAAGTATAAAACGTGAAAATTGTAAATAAATAATTAAGGTTAATTTTACTTAATTTATAGTTAAAATTATTCTTTAGTCATCGCGGGATGTCTTGCTATCTTTAGGACCTTCATTTGTTGGTCGTGTGTCCAACTTCAGTTAGAGAAACTTTGTGACATAAATCATTAAATCGAATCATTAATGTTGTATATATGACCATTGGTCCAAATGTCAAATAGTTGATCGATTTTATGTCGAGTTGTTCATTCAAGGGTTAGAGGCTGATTCTTGAAACGTTGGTTTGAAGTATTTGATCACACAGGTTGATCCATTCAAACACATGCGCGTCCTGTTAATTGTTTTGTCTGTGTATTTTAGTGACATAAAACTGGATTTTTAGGGTGATAGGTGAATGGTTAAGACGCGCTTTCATATAGTTGAAATGTAAGAGTTGTTTCAAGTAAAATTAAACTTGCGTTTAAGTTTAGATCATTACCAGGTCTGTTTGGGAAAAGACGCGTGGCCATATGTTTCACTTAATGTGAACTCAACCCTATCCTCTAAGTGACCCGTTTAAAAATAAATGAATCCGTGGATCATAATATTGGAACCAAGCATTCTAATAGGCTTAGGACCACTTCAATCTACCTTTCAATGTTGTTGTGTCCTTAATTTGCATAGATATTAGATGACAAGGGTTTAGTTAAGTTTAGTCATATCCTTTCATCGTTTTTAATTATAATTATGTGTAACTATATTCTTAACGAGAGTGTGGCGGGATTATGAAATAGTTCATCAAATAATGATAAGAATGTGATTTTAATTTCGATTGTAATTTTGCATATAAACTTAGGTGAAAGATTATTTTAATTAAAGGGTGAAAATTATTGTTATGCAGGATTTTTTGGTGTTTAGACAAGTAAAAAAAATAGCGATCAAGAAGCCACTCTAGCTAGCCCAACTTCAGGCCAAAGAATCAGAATACCCTTTTGTCTGGACAAAAAAAATAAAAAACAAAAGAATACCTTTTCCTTAGTCGCCAATTTGGGTTCTTAATTGGGGGAGATCAGAAAGTTGAACAATTAGCCAAGTTACTATAATTTTGTCCCAGTCACTGTTGAAAATAAAAAACTAAAACTTTGCCAGTGTATATTCATTGATTTTTATGTGTGTCTAAAATTGACTAATGTCCTTTAATTAATATCCTTAAAAATATAAGTTAAACTTGGTTTTAATTTTTTATTTTTTTATTTTAAATTTTACTGCTTATAATTTTTTAAAAATATTATCTATCACTACTTATTAATAGCGTGTCATACGTCTAAATATATCACATTACCTGATATTTTGGAATAATTGCTAGAATGGCATTCCTAAGAACATATTGTATATCATTCATTTTAAAATTTTGAGTACTAAAAGTAATGTAAAATTAAATTTAATCATACTTACATATACTAAAATATATTTATTTCAAGGAGAGGCATAAAAAAATAAATATAATAATTTTTACTATAAAGATACATCTAATATTTAAAATGTTTAAAATTAAGCATTAAAATATAAATATGATTCTTGAGAAGGGAAAAAGGGTAGGTATGAGGTATGGACATATTTTTCTTTTTGTATTGAACAAATTGATAATTTGAATGGAATGCAGTTGTTGACAGCACATGGTGAGATGTTAGAGAGAGAAAGTGAATGAAAGAAATGCCTATGATTACGAATTAACAATGAAACAATATTTAAAAGAAAAAAGAAATGGAAAGAAAAGCCACAACAGATCAGATAATAATGTCGCTCTGTGCAGCCACCACTTGTAATTTAGCCAACTAAGCTCCTCTCAGACAACCCTTTTAAAGCACTCACCTGTTCCTTAAAAAAAACAAAATGTAAGTTCACTTGACAAATTATTTAACCATAATGTTCATTTATTAGTTAAGAATAAGTAAGCGATAACAGTAAAAAAAAAATTAAAAATATATTTATTTTATTTTTATAACTTTAATATAATAAATATGTATTTTTTCAAATTTTAAATTTATTTTTAAACTTGAGATTAACAAAAATTTAAGAAGAATGGTTTTATTATTTAAAAAATATATATTCATATACTAATATATTTTTCTTTTACTAATAGAGATTGATTATTTGGGTTGGACATGTTATCATGTGTCGCACCTGTGTGAGGAATGATGGATGCTGGCTTGGACATGATGTGTGTTGGCCCAAAATGCCCCATTGCCATCTAATGGATGATGACAATGATAGAGAGGGTACATTGGCATCATTGTGCTCGCACCCATAATAGCATTCCTCGGGTACACCTGGTAAAACTGGTGCCCATTCATGTAGGCCCCACCATTGCCGTAGCACAGCTTCTGTCCCCCAAACCAAACCATACCCAAACACATCTATTAGTGCACATTAATTTTGATTTTAATTACTTATTTCTTGTTATGTGTTTAATTTTTAAAAAAAATATACATATTATGTTATTATTAGTTGAGATCACGATAATATGAGACTATACAAAATTTCTTTATTAACAAATTTCACGTTATCAATAAATTAAGAACGAACTGACCAATTCAATTCAACCAAATTAAAACTATATAAACCCTACCTGATTGTAATTGTAATTTATGTCCGTGACAAGTGTGTACCTGAATAAATTAAAAATTTAAAACCAAGGTATGTAAAGTAAACAATAACAATGAGAAAAGTCAAACTTAAAAAAGAAGAAGACAGTTTTAAACGTATTTTTATTTTTAAAATATGTTGAATATTTTTTTAATCTCTATAAAATTATTTTTTTTAATTTCTATTTTTTCAAAAGATATTAATTTTAATTACTTTCATTAATGTAGTTTCATGAAAAGTGGTACATGATATCAAAATTAACATGTAATAATGTTTGAATTAATCGTACCATCATTAATAATAATTAGATGTTGAAATTGATAAATTTTAATAAAATATATATACGAAGGAAAGATTGGTACCCATAGAAGGGATGATGCAACAGGGAAACCGGTGTCCCCACCGGATAATACCGCTGCACGTGATTGGCTGGTGCGCTTGATGCGTTGCTCCTCGCTCCTCCATCGTTTGATCCTTCTGTGAGTAGCATCACAATTTTAGAACCCCATGAAGTTGAATATCACCAAAACGCCATTCACTTTTTCTTTTCCATTTCATTTTATCAAATTAATTAATCATTCCAAGAGCAACAAGTAACTTTGCACATAAACTGAAAATGTAAAGTACAAATATAATAAATAGTTATAACTATGAAATTAATTTTAAGAATATATATTAATTTTAGATATAATAGTTTGTTCACCTTGTGGTTTTGGAGGTGGCGATGAAGCAGTGGAAGGAGACTTTGAGCGACGAGCACCGAGGAAAGCCAAATTGCAATTTGCTCGACGGCCATTGATAATGAGATTTGTTGAGTCCTCGCAAGCCTTCTTCGCAGCCTCAGCCTCCTTGAACGTCACCTTTTAATAAATTACAATTAATCTTAATTGCTTATAATACTAGCTAGCTTCATATACGAATCATGCATCAATTAATTATATTGTTGATTAAAGTTAACAATACATTGTAAAACAACATATAAGTTTTTGTTGATAAATATGTATACTTACAAAGCCATAGCCTTTGGATTTGCCACTAAACTTATCGGAAATGATGACGGCTTCGAGGATCTCACCGTACTTCTCAAAGTGTTCTTTGAGGGCATCCTTAGGAGTCTCCCAAGCTAACCCTCCAATAAAAACTTTGGTAAGAGTTGTGTCTCCAAATTGTCCAACGTTGTTGTTCATCGTCGCCATGATCACTCTCTCGATCAGATCTTGTTTTTGCAGTAAGCTACTTAGTTTGATGAATTTTGTAGTTGAGTGCACCTTACGTTTGATTAGAGAATTTTGAGGAAGGTAAGGAGTTACGTAATTTTATATACAGGGAAATGGAGGGAAAGGGAGTGAGGTGGAATTGGGAAAAAAGGAATAATAATAATAAAATATTGAAAGGAAAATAATCAAAAGATAATAAAAACGAAGGACAGATAGACTATGATGAAGCATTTGGTCGTCATCAACGTGATCACACACGCCAATTCACTCACAACTCTTCTCTCTTCTCTCTTCTCATCATTTAATAATATCAAATTAAATACTAACTTTCATAATAAAAAAAGTAATATTTATATCTTTTAAAAAACACTCTAATTAACTTTTTTTCTCTGTTAATCTACTCTCCAAATATAACAACGTCGTAAATATTAAATCTTTAAATTTACAAATTCATTAACATTACATATAAAGATGAAATTAATGGTGACATGTTATGATCATTATAAATAATCATTAAGTACAATAACCATGCAGATGTAGGACCCTACTACCCTAATTGGAGAGATGCTGAACGTTCCATTATCTCAGATCTGCAGAAATCAACGGCGTCTGTTTGTGAATTATGTGATCAAATTAAGGAAGAATATTTGCTGTCTTAAAAAGATTCCCAAGAATAAAGAAGCTGTGAAACGTGACATAGACCGTGGCCAGCTACTTCATAAGAAACGTGAATCTTCTCTTATCCCTTTGATAATCAGCATCTTTACGGTGTATTATTTTAAAAAGTTTTAAATATTTCTAAATTTATAATTATATCAAAATAATTTTTAATATTTTTTTAAAATTTAATCAATACCTCAAGACACTAATTAATATTTATTATTTATAATTATTTTTAAAGTTGTGCATTTTTACAAATGTCTGTATGCTTCGCTAGCAAACATCGGGGGGGTTAGTGAACGTGCTCCACCTAGACAAGTTCAAGGAGCAATACTATATTCATAATATATTTGTATAATATTTTTACGGTTTATTTCTTAATTTCTCTTTATTATATGATCGATTCTATTATATAATTCTCTTTTTTTAATCACTCACAAATAATAATATTGTTGTAAAAAAACATTTACGAGTAGAACTATCCAAGTTTTTATATTGTATTCAAATATTTGTATTATTATTTAATAAAAATTTTAAAAATCATGAACAAAATAAAAGCATATTGACATTTATAATTATTATTCGGGGGAAAAAGAAAAGTCACAAGGATTGAATAAGAAGTACGATGTCATATATTGAATTTTTTGTCGCTATTATAACTAAAGTTAGTGCAAATAGTTTTTTTTTTTTTTAAATCCAAACACCCCACTACGAACTGTATTATTATTTGATAAAAATAATAATAAAAATATTCATAACAGTATTTCTCTCACTTCAAATTTATATGGGTAGGTGAATTTTATTTTCTGATATGTAACAGTCACTTATATAAGCAAAATTTCCCTTGTTAGTATACATGAATGGTGTTTTCTTTCATGAGTATACATGAATGGTGTTTGTGAAATTAAATGAAATAAAATTTAAAAACGTGGAAATTACATTTAGAATGAAAATATTTGAATATTAGTAGAGTAGAGATTTGGGAAGGAAAAGTTGATTTTGTTTTTCTTATCAATAAATATTTTGTGAAAGTCAAAATTCAGTCATGTTGAGGGAAATGGCTGTTTGCCTACTGAGCTGATGAGAGCCATACAAAACTTTTGGGCTTAAGATTGACACAAGAAAAAGGGTTGTTCTTTTTGTGGCCTATGCAATGATATTGGGATTTTTCTTTGGTCTATAACGAGATTGGGTTATTAAGAAAGACATCAAATGGGATCAAATAGGGGTCATGGGTGGTGGTGCAGAGAAGTATGGATCAGTAAGGTATACCTCAAAAATCATTTTAAAGTGAGAATGTGATCTGAATCTGTGATGATGTCAAATATTGCCATTCTCCCTTTCATACTCAGGTTCGAAAACCTCTCAAACTATCAAACGAATGAAATGATATAAAAAAAAGTTTCAAAATAAAAATAAATATCATTATTGTGTGCATCAAGGATATTTTATGCTATAAGTAAAAGATTAAGGTATAATTTGGACATGTTTATGCACAAATAATTTTGAAAGGAGAAAATAAGAAGATAAATATGAAGTGTATAAGGTGATTTTAACTCATAAGAAGTATTTTATCTGTTTTTTTATTTTTTCTGTGAGTACTTATGTAGAAACTTACTCAAAATAGACCTAATTCTCTTTGAGACATGAAAATTACATCATTAAACTTTTTATCTTCCATCAAAACCTTCTATGTATTTTAAAAATGGTAAATTAAATAAACTAAAGAATTAAATATACCTTCATTTTTAAAAATATAATTTAATGAAAATGTAAAAAATATTAATTGAAAAAATCAAAATATATCAATAATTTTATAGTTTCTAATTAAATAAAAATACAGAAACCATAACTATAATATCTGAAGAAAAATCTAAGACCTAATAATCTCCCTAGAAATGGCGCGAACAGTACCAATGACAAAGCTACCTACCACTAATAGCTGATTTTATTGTAAGTTGTGTATAATGTATTAATTAATAATCAAGCAATGTGGATATATAACTTTATTATATTATCAAATATTTTATTAACATTATTGATAATACGCAAAACGATTAATGGTGTTTCACAAGAGAAGGAAAGAATCTCACAAAAATATCCTTTAGCTCATTTTTTTAATATACTCTTTATCACAGAAATCATGTCTTTAGTATAATTTTTCACACCTTACATGTCCAATGCCAGGAAAGATATATGTTTTATAGATAAGAATGATACTTGTCATTTTTTAAGAAAAAGTACAGTAAAAGATTAAAAATTCACAAAAATGTATATTCTAATTCAATAATTAATGGTAAATTTTAAAATATAAGTGGGTAAACTTAAGGGGAAAAAGTGAAACATTTATCAATAGAAAAATTAAAGTGATTAATATAATACTGTAAGTAGTTGATACCTGAAAAAGTATTATAAAAGAAAATTTCAAAAATAATTAATTAAGATTTTGAAAATAAAAAAAAGTATGTTTAATGATAAAATCTTTTGTTCAACAACAACAAAAAAGGGTGTACACTAAAATAATTAATATATATATATATATATATATATATATATATATATCGAGCAAAATAAAATAGTTTACATGCAACTGGTAAAGCAAATGACCGTTGCTCCTGTATTATAGGAACTTCCTTTGAATAGTAGATATGTGTTTGTAAATAAATTCCGAATGAAAAATGGAATCATATCTTCTAGATCAAGATCATATTTTCCATCTGCATATGACTAAGTTCAAATTGACGTGTAATAAGAAGAAGAAAAAAATCTAGATGCCAGCACAAAATCAAATATTTGCAAAAATTTACCAGCTATAAAGATCATACTAAATATTACTCTTAGATTCCAATACTTTGACTAGTTAGCTAGCACCTACTGTTTCTGATTTGCATATCTTCTCTCTCTCTCTTGGGTGACTCACATAAACGTAGGATAAGTATTCAAGATGAGATGACACTTTGGCTTTGCATGACACATGAAAATTGATCATCAATGTAATCCCACGAAGGGACAATAAGATCAACCAGTAAACAATCAAGGGAAAGTAAATCCAGAATAAAATATATAATTCGGATCCTCTTGTATTCTTGAAATGCTCATGCTAGAGAAATATATTTTTATCAAATAAAAATTCACCATAATTAATTACAGGACTGATCATGACTAATTATATTTGATAAAAAAGTTTTCTCTCTCTAACATCCTATTAATCAACAAAAGGGGGGAAGAGAGACGTTGATTAATAGATAATCCAAATCCAAACATATTGACATAATCAAGATTCATCCCATTAACAAACCATCATTAATAGATAAAAATTTCTTATGAAACAGCTGGCCATTTGGCTTAATAATGAATTTGAAGAAAGAAATTGTTGGAACTTGGCAACACGAGGCAAAGTAGAATCCAACAAAACCTCCAACCCCCCTCAGAGTTGAGGTAACCTTGCCGGGTGGCTGTTCCCGTGGCTTAACACTCTACTCAATGCTTTGTCTACATTATTATATAGCATTGTCCCCTCTTTTCATCCTCACCTTTCCCATTTTCCTAATTAACCTTTCTTTGTTTTTGCACCCCACCAAGTTCTAAGTTACATCGGTAACCCAATCAAGCCATTATTTTGTGAATTTTATTAACCCTAACTTTAAAATTAAATTTAAACAACTAATAATAACATTTTTTTCAAAAAATTATTAATATCAATTCTTAGGGTTAGGTTTAAGTAATTATTAATACAATGAAATTTTTAATAAAAAAATATTTTTGAATGTTTAAATTTTGTTTTAAAAAATAAAGTCAATAAAAGTAAAAAATAAATAAATAAAACCTTTATTATAATTTAAATTTTCAATGTAATAAAAACTTTATTTTTAATAAAAATAATTATTTTTAGTTGTTTAAATTTAATCTTAAAAGATAAAGTTAAAAAAATATTTATTTTATTGCATTAACAAAATTATTACAAGACCCACGTTCATTCCCCCTTAACTTCATTGAAATTTAAACCTCTAAAGGCTGCAAATCCCTCAGTTTTCGAGCATGCCCACGTTCACTTGATCACTTCCATTTTACTCCATTCAGTCAACTTTGCATAAGGCCTTTGCTTATACATATATATATGGTAGCCCCCACGTTACTTCCTCAGGTTGTGTAGTGAGCCTTTTTTTTAGGGGTTACCCTTTGAAAAACTAGAAGGCTCTAGCTAGCTACCATTGCATATTATACCATATAAACAATCATGGCTGAACTCCAAAACTACAAGTGCAAGCAAGGAACTAAGGTCTCTACAAAGAGAAAGGGACATGGTATTAGCAGCAAGTGTGCTTCTTTGGTTAAGGAGCAACGTGCTCGTCTCTATATCCTACGTCGATGTGCCACCATGCTCCTTTGTTGGTATATTCAAGGAGATGATTGAACTCAAAACTCATTATGATTTCACCTTCTTTTTCGCTCTTCTTTAGCTATATATATGTATGTCCTAAAGTTTACCCTCTTATCCATCTATCTTCCAAAAAGGCGACTCTTTTGATTGGAGGATGCTCCTTACTACGCATATATGCTGCCGACCTAGTTGAGTTATGAGCATCACTGTGGCTGTGTCATTTTAGTCTACTTCAGTCCTTCCCTCTATTTTTTTTGACCCAGTTGGAAAAGCCCAATGGGTTTTTATGGGGGAGAGGAGAGTTTTATGGACACCCTCAGTGCTGCTTTTTACACAACATGGGCAGGCATGATCGCTATGAAGCTTACAAGGATCTAGAGCTAGAATAATTGGAATGTAGTCCTTGGCATGGACACTACTTTAGCCTTTTCCCTTATTACCAAAAACCCTTTTTCTTGTACTTCATATATTGCTCTTTATTTGACAATTGACTGTATGACTTAAAGAAGTAGCATGTGGCACCTATATAAGCTTGAAAGTACATAAAGGAAACTCATGTATGTTATATAGAAGACAAGTTGTAAAGTCACAAACCGTTACTCATAAGGTTGCTTCATCTTGAGAAATAGAGTGTCGTGTGAATATGAGGTGAGAAAAATTATGATAAGTTTGGCGTGACTATGAGGGATAGCGTGAGATTTTGGGACAAGCTTTCTTTGTCTAAGACACGATATGGCATATAACAAGTGATAAGTTCGAGTCTTTATTTCTCTCCTTAAGTTGAAGGCCTTGAGCTCGGGCACCATCTCCTCTACCTAAAATTTTGTTTTAAAAGAAGTTAGGTAACAAAAACTTTCACTGTCCCTAACTTTGTTTAAAGAACAAAATTGCCAACAACAACATATAATAAACTCGAGCAATCAAATATTGGTGCAATTTAACTTTGCATATACCAAACATACTGAAGATAAGGTGTAGATTAAAATGATAGAGAGATTTGTAGCAGATTAAAAGGAAATGATTTTGAGATGAAGATGATGATGTGACAACATTATCTGGAGGTATCATGGAATGTTTGACGAAAGGTTGATTTGACAACACAAATGTATTGGCTCTAAGTAGTCTAGATTTCCATTATATTGCCTGGCCTTGCAAAGGCAAACACATATCTTTATCCATGTTCTGTGTTATCCCAAGTTCTCAACATAAGATCCTTGGTGCGACAGCCCAACCAAGTGAGAGTTAGTAGTAGTTGCTTCTAAAATAATCTAGTCATGGGGATCTCATTTTTAATTAGGAAAATGCTACTATTACAAATCACTCGTATGCTCTAACTTTAACATTTTCAGAATGCTACAGCTGGTCAAAGAAATCGTCATGTGTTACATTATGTTCACTATCAAAAACTGCTTCTTGTGATTATTGTGCCTTTGCAGCACTATATTATTAATTCATGTGTTTGGCTTTGCCAAAGAAAAAGTACAGGAAGAACAACACCCATGTGTTTAGATGGTGTCTGAAAACTTGAATCTACCTAGGATGATAAACGAAAAATGTTTAGTAAAAAACTTCCAGTTTAATTCTAGCTTCAAAAAGTACACCTTGCTTAAAGTGGTGGTACCGGCCATGAAGCTTAAAATCAATGGAAGCAATCAAATGGGATCGGTATAAGATTTAACATGAGCTATCTAATACACATCCTATCCCTATAATTTTTGTTGTTATAAAGTTTAATACTATATTAGTTTCAAGAAATGTATTTTCTTTTCATTTTTATTTTTAATTATAAATCTGTTATTTTTATTGTTTCTTATGTAAAATCTTTAAAAATAAAAAGCATAATAAAAACAAAGTAACAAATTTATAATTAAAAAAATGCAACATTTTTTAAAACCAAATGATCCTCAAGAATTGAGAAACTTGTCTTGTTTCAAGAAGAGCATACATATCACATACCTGAGGCTGATTACTGCTCAGGCATATCAAAGTTGCACAGTAAACATCCTAGCTAAAACTTGTCTTGCATTTCCTTTTATATTAATTCTGTTGTTTTTTTTTTTTTATCTCTCTTTTCTTTTCTTTTCATCACATCAAGTAATTACATCTCACTCTCTTTCATTGCCCCATCTCACACCCCATTATTGAGTGAGACAATTATTACCCATAATAAAATATAATACTTCTATACGCAACCACATCTCGATTCTTCTGATAACATTATTTAATAACGAATAAGGTATTGTAGTTGCGATTCTTCAGTGTGTAAATGTTACCGATACTAAGGACAAGACGGTATAAAAAAATAGGTTATGTTATGCTCAGATCGGAATAAGCAACTAATAGTAAAATTTTACTACAGAATTATTTATTGTACTTTCATAACTTTAATATAATAAATGTGTACATTTTTATAAAAAAAATTATTTATAGATTGTTTGAACTCAACAAAACCCTTGAAAAATAAATAAGCAAAGTGAAAAAAGGCGTTGGAAACCAAATGAATATGCTATGCAAACTTTGAGCAAGCCTTGCAAATGATGAGTTAGCAGGAAAACTCAACAGCAATAGGAACAATAACTCACCTCACAAAACCATCTGCTGTACTAAGTGTACCATATGATCATGGCCATATCATGAATAATTTAAATGTAAGTTTCAAGCCACTAAGTAAACATACAAAAACATCAACATATGATTAATTTGTTTATGTTGATAGCAATTACCTCCTTGAATATCTAACTGGACCACGAATTTTCATTTAAAGAAAGAAAAAAATGTGAATGTAAAACCTGAACGATATCACTCTAACAGGAATTTCATCTTTATTTTTCAATCCAATCCTTGAATAGCAACATCATGTAAAGAGGAACATTCACTGCTGCAACGACAGTCAGCATTCGCAGAGTGCGGATCAATCTTTGGATTATAATTTTTGTCTTTGATTTGCCAGCTCTGGGAGGTACTCTTGCTAGAGGATCAAGCCCAATGCCTGAATCCATATCAACATTCACAGAGAGATCAGCTTCCTGAGCCATATTTTTCCTAGCAGCCGGTCGCATCACAACATTACCCCTGACAACACATAAAAGAACATAAGGAAGATGCTAAAGTTTTATAATGTCTCCAATGTGTAAGACTATTTAATTATGTTTTATGACAAACCAAATATAATACTGACAATTACAAAGTATTGAAATTGTCACATTTTTTCGATATACGGAGAATATGAAAACCAAAGTTTACCTTTCCCCTATGCTCCTTTCGTTTGAATTTACAGTAGATGCATTCAAGGGTTTCTTTACAAGATGCATTGATCCATCCGCATCCCACATCATTTCATATTCATAGTTAGCATCCTCATCCTTGTCTTTCGTTTCGCTTCTAGAAAAGATGCAAGCTAGTAGTAGTTTACCATTGCTAATTAAGCTCAAACACTGATGCCACAAACTTGTGCCACTTGTTGGCCAAAGTAGAGTAGTAAAAAGGGTCAGAACAAATAGCACAATATACCTGACAATAACAGGATGATAGAACTAATTAATGAAAAGCTGTCAAAATATCAGGTGAAAATTATATTTGCATCATTACAAACATTTAGACCTACCATATGTAAATATGTGTTTGCATCGGAAGATAACACAAATGAGTCAACAAAGCGTTTTTGGGAATGGAAGCATTTGGAAGAGTTGAGTTATCAACTGATAACAGCATGAAAGAAGGATACAAGTTTCCTTGTTGCCAACTTATAGTACCTAGGGTGAGCTGCACACTAGTGTCAGTTTAATTGTCCAAACACTTGAGGAGACTGCTCAGGTGAGAAGATCAGATTTTACCTCGCTTACAGGTCCAGATTTAGATTGATGAGTAATGGTGCACTGATCATGGTCGTGGCCAGATAAAATAAGCTTCTGTCAAAACCAAAATTTTTACTCAGAAGAGTGTTATCCTCATTATCGTCTCCACTCTTAATTCCCCTATATTCTCAGTCATCCTTCACTTCCAAGTCATCTTGACAGAGAAAATGAAAATGACCCAAGAGTTTTTATCATCATACCACAAGGTATTCTAAAAATGAAAGACACAAAATGAACGACAAAATGTTGGCAAATCCATCACGGATTAATTTTTTCCCACATCCATTTCAGGTTGGAATAGCAATTCACAACAGTCCAAAGAGAAGATAGATGACTCACAGGTTTGATTCTATCCAGTAAGTACATGGATGACTCCTCAAAAACATAATTCTGATACCTGGATGAAATAAAAGTCAAACCTCATAATTTATGAGCCATGTATACACAATTCATGCAACTTTCATGCTTCTCACATGGTTTGTAGGATGAGTAACTTACATTATATCATTAGTATCACCATTTACAGTACGATGTATCCTCTGAAATTTAAAGAAAGACTCATCAATAATTTCAAGAATGGCAGTTAAGAAAACATTCAGATTCCAGATACAACCCACAGCACCACACTATTGTGATGACCAATGCCATACTGCATAGAATATGGTTACTCTAGATTCATTTCAAGAAACTGAAATAAACTTTACCTGATTGACAATTGGGGAATTGCGGTAAAGACCACAGTAAGTATCTTCACGTCGATATAAAGGAATATGTGTTAATAAGACTCTTGGATTAACCATGTCATCTAGTAAAGTGCGAAACAAATAAGGATTACAATAGGACACATGATTCAACCTAACAATGATATTTATAGGCCAGTTCATACCAACAGAGATATTCTTCACAAAATCCCATGTTTGAGAAGTCAGATGATTTTGTGGGTGTCCTGTAGAGAAAACATAATATGTTCAGTATTTTCAGCTTTATGGAAACTCCCCAAGCAGTGACTTGTATATACAGCACACGATTGAAATTTACAATATTTCAGTTATATAAATTGTTAGATATTTAAATAGTTAAACTATGATTGCTTGTTTAAGAAATGATCTTTTGTCAAAAAATAAAACAAAAAATCCATAAAGAAAGCCTAATTCAAATGGATAAAGAATCATTGTTAAAGACATGAAGGGAGAATAAGTTCCATGTGAAACATAGTTAATGGGATGAGGTAGCTAACAGATAAAAAAACATTTATTCCAAAATGTACAACTGAGAGAGACTGGATTGATCAAATGAAAAAACTTGGAAGTAAGATAATTTAGGTGAACATATCTCACTGAAAAAATGAGTTTGATGGCATGGTACAATTAAATAAGAGTACAAGCAATTAAACATGACAGCTCAAATTTATAACTCAAATCCCAGTTTACCATCCAGAGTTTGTGCATCAATGGCAATAAAATCTGCTCTTCCAACTTTAAATCTGTAGTTCCTGATCCCAAATGTTTCCTCATAGCGTTGGATAACCTATGCTCATGCAATGACAAAAATGTTAAGAGCAAAGAAGGAACCAAAGGAGAATAAACATTTCAAGAAAGCTAAGATAATAAATTTGTTCATCACATTCCATATATTAAATTGTGAATTGTGTAAATGAACTGAGAAACTTGAGTAAAGAACAATTTGATAGAGCATTTTGCAAAACTTAAGATGTAGTTTAAAGATTGTTAGTTATCAATCACAATGAGAAAAAACAGATATTTGACATACTTTAGTGCCAAAATGTCATTTTACAGTGGTCAAAACCAGTTATCAGGCAACTTCAAAGAATTTCTGTGACATCAACAACCTACACAAAATGAAGGCATTTCATTGTTACAATCAAAATCTGCCTCGTTTTGTTTACATTTGTCTTCTGATAATATCAATAATACATAAATGTTAAGGAGATAAGTTTATACAAAAAATCTCACCCATCAGCAATCCGTATTGATCATCAATAAATCCAAATTTAAAAAAAAAAAAAAAACATATCATTGGGCATTTGACTCCCTAATAGCTATATATCCTACATGCCAATACAAGCCACCTTCTAACTACTGGACCTCGAGCATCAAAAGTTGAGCAACAGCATGTTGAAATACCTCTGGCTTTTGAGAATGAATACTTTCATAGCCAATATCATGATTTCCTGGAATGTAGTATGCGTGCATGTCTGTGTATTTTCCTTGTGCATTCAGACCAAAGATATGTCTGAAGCGATTGAAAGACTCCTGCCATCTGTTCATCCAAACGATTGTAAAAGAATTTCATATTAGGAAAGTTGAGCGAATGTGTAAAAATACAACCAAAGGAAAAAACCTTCCATGATAGATGAGTCAAACCATACATTACATGAAATTCAACTCCTTAACATACAATACAATCATTAAAGAAGTTGACTAAAGCAATTTAAGCTTTAAAAATATGAAAATCTAAGTTAAATACACAATTATTGACTAAAAAAATAATTAAATTAAAGGTTTTAGAAAAGAAAGGGATTAAAACTTAACATTAAGCACCAACTACTTGTTGCATGATTTGGTTTGAGCACAAGTCTTTGACAAAAGACTCATCCATAATTTTTTAAGAAGAATCTATATGGTGCTCATCTGATGTTGTGTTTAGGAGGGATTCTTTGTATACCATGAAAAGGAACTGCAATTATCTTCTTTTTTCTCTTTTTGTACAAAAAAATTATTCCTAAAAAAAAAAAAATACACATCCAACCAATAACATGTCACAAACTCTTTGATTAAGATGTTTTCTGATGTGAAAGGTTTAAATTGAATTCCAAAATCATCCTAAATGGAAAAAGCTAATAGGAAAAACTATACATGGCATAATAGATAACATGAAAACTAACTACAAACTTTAAAGTTAAAACAACAAATAGAAATGTTTATTTCCAGGACTTACTCTTCATCTGATAAATAAGGACCACCATCGAAGTAATCACCTAAAAACAATATGACATCAGGTTTGAAAGGCAGGACAGATGCAAAAAAAGATCTTCGCATGTTTAAATCAGTGTAGAATTCTGCAAGTTCCAGTGCAAGTGATTTTGCAGGAAGAGGTAGAGAAGTTTTATCCATGAGCTGTTACATTTAAAAAAAAGTCATAGAAAGTAATAAGAGAGATGCACATCCACAGAAACTTTCATTAATAGAATTGTATAAACATGCATATCCAATGCAGGTATATTTTTCAATAACATATGTGCCCGTTGCCCGAGAAGAAAAATTCACCTGTGGATCTGCAATAACAGCAACCTTTACATAATCAGCTTGATAATTCCCACTGTCTGTTTGAATCTACACGCAAAAAATCAACAAAATCAGGTCAGTTAGTTAGTTATGCATTTCATTGTGTTTAGCATGTGAAATTGTAATGTATCAATGCATGTACATTTTAACTCTGCTGAAAAACAAGCAATCATGCTAGCTTAAGTTCCGTTCATCTTTTCAGCAACAGCAACCAGGAACATCAAACATTCAAACTTTTAAATGTTCCACAAAATCCCATAAATAATTTCCAACCATAAACTAAATATAAATAAAGTTACAGATCCAGCACATACCCTCCTCACATTCTTTTGGTAGAATCACCACATCTAAAATTTAAAAACATATATCACTATCTTAAATTTCATAATGGACAAAACCCATAGCTATTATTTTAAATTTTCTTAAAGCTACAGCTCCATTGTTCGTCCCTCCCACTTGATAACAAGAAATTTCTGATTTTGATTGTGAACTGTGAACAATCTAAAAAATTGGGGGTGACCCAAAAATGAAATAAGGGAAAAGTTGAAGACTTTATGGTTACCGTTGAAGAAGAAGAGGTGCGAAGAAGATGGGGCCAAGAGCAAGTGAAGAGGGGTGGAACCCAGTAAGCGAACATCTCGCCATAGAGGATGGTTAGTGCCCATAAGAGGCACAGTAACACAGTTAATTCTTGCTGCTTCATCACTGATCCTCACACCTATTGACTATGGAATCTAATCAATGCCTGTTTCATCGCAAGCCTCGTCACAGCACTCTATCACAGATTACGTTACCTCTTCATCATTGTCTTTATTTTTCATTTTGTTCATTTTTTTGGTCAAACTGGTTCTGAGTCTCATCTTAGCACCGCTCAAAATTAACATTAATAAGATTGTGTTTATTTTAAAGGCTACAAATTACAAATTTATTTATGATAATTTAAACCTGAGAATATGATATTTTTCGTTTGGTATGAAATTTAAGAAATTACTTTTGGATGTATTTTATGAATTTAATTAGAATGTATTAGCAACGTAACAAAATTATATTATTATTTAATACTAAAATGTTATTGTTATAATAATTATTTTAAATTTTATATTTAAGGTAATTTTTAAAATATTATTGTGAAAAATTTAAATTAATTTTTTATTTATAACAAAAAGTGGTATTGTTTGTTTTAGTTATTTTTTATCACGTGAATCAACTAGCTAAATAATTATTCTAATAAATAGAATTGGGTTAAGTTAAATTTATATTAACTCACTTTATTATTATCAAAATTATAATTATCATTAGCTTTATCATCATAAATACAACTAGTACAATATTATTGTCATTATTATTATAATAATTGTTATTATTATATTTATCACAATTACTATCGCTTTGATCATATCTATCATTACTATCTTTTCTTTCATTCTTAATGTTGTGACTATTATTTAATTAGCTTTTTTTTTTTATGTATTTGCATTTTTTAGATTAAATATTATTTAAATTAAAATGTTTTAATTGCGTGTGTGTATGTATATATATAATTCAAGACTGCTATGCGTTTACGATCCTAGTTAATCTTCTCAAGACACCTAGCCAATTTTTATTAATTCTTTTGTGAATAAAAAAATTTAACCACATACTATGTAAAGATTAATTAAAACTACACACGTGTTGGTCATCTATCATTTGAAGATTAATTGAAATTATAAGTATGCATAATTTCTCATTTAGAAGGTGCTATTTCCTCCCTAAACTGAAGTAACAAAGGTGGATAAGATAAGGATTGTTTGGCAGGTGGCGATGGCATTTCAATAAAGATTTGGTCTGAGTCTTAGATCCCAAGAAGCCTAATATTATGATACAAAGTGAAGGATCATTGATGATATTGTAATTGTTGTGTGAGAAAAACATATTAGATATAATGTAATCCAAGAATGTTTGGGTGTGATATATTTGATTCTATTTATAGTTTTTTTAGAATTTTGAAAGAAGAAAGATAAAGAATTTTTTTAAAAATAGAAAAGGATTAAAAAAATGAAAGTTATAAAAAATTTCTCAATTTAGAGAAATTTAAAAATAAAAAATTATAAAGAATATTAAAAGGTTTATAAACATTTTAAAAAATTTAAAACAAGAATTACTTTCAAATAATTTTTTTAAAAAATTAATGCTTAAATTTTGCATAAATATTGTAATATGATATTTTGCATATACACGAATTTAGATCTTCTACGGGCACCAAATTTAATAATAATATTAATTATCTTTTGTTTACTTATTATTTTTAAAATAAAATTTTTAATTATTCAATAATCGAATCCTCTTTGATGATAATATTACTGGAAATGATCTTATCCATATACATTGAAGTTGATTATGGTTATATTTGAGTGAACTTGTAGAGAATTTTATTTTTCTTCAGTAGTGGGAACATTCATTGGACAAACTCAAACTTGACTGCAATGACTCAATAATGGTGATTGAACAACCTTGAAGACATGAATCAAGTTGTTGGACGATGTTAGTGTGATGCTATTCTTTGAAGAGCATGTAAACCGAATTATGTTTTTATTGTATTTTTTCTTTTCATTTATCTTCTTCTTTCTCTTTATTTTTTAAGACTAACAACATGTTTGTTTCACTTTTTAAAAACAGTTTTCTATTCTATTTTCTGCATTCTGTTACCTATGTTTATTTAAAAAGAACTTGATGCATTTTGAATATTTTTTATATTATTAAAAAAATTATAAGTAAAAAAATTCTTAAAAATAATATTATCACAAACTTTAGCTACTAATTTCTACTTTTTTTCCTCCTAATTATATGATTTCAAATTTGAATATTAACTATAGAACTATTGAGATTGTAATATGGTATATGTACATATACGAAAAATAACATTGTTATTGAAATCTATCCTTGATGTTACTATTAATGATTGTAAACCAAACTCCACCTATCCGTACTTATCAGGAGAAGCTTGCTTGGTTGCGGTTGGTTTCTATTGACATTTGAAAGATGAAATAGTACCCAAGCCACTATGGTCTGCTACTTCTATTCATTCCTCTCTTTTGGATATGATTTGATGCACTTTGAGGGGCACAAAGGTTTTTTTTTTCTATTAGATTCCGCGCTTGGTGAAAAAAAAAAAAATGGCTAATTTCAAATATCAATGCCCAAGTCATTATGTGTTCATTGCCCCACCACTGAAAATGAAGCTCACGTTTAATGGGCAAGAAAGACTTTCTAGTTTCTACCCGAAACAGCCAAAAAGATTGATATAGAGTCAACCTATAATCATGAGCATCGAGTATGTTACATTGATACAACATCTCCAATAAGCTTCCAACATGTTCCTCTGTTGTGTGTGTATCACATATCCTTCTAAATAATATATATCCACAAAAAAATAAATCAAATTGTTGATTGTGCTACCCTTAGGGCCATTCATCTCTTCCGGGTTTGCGTGCACTTCTGCTTTATATATATATATATATATTACTCTTTTTAAATACTTAAAATCATCTCTAAAAGTTAAATTTGAACAATAATCAACTCTTGAGTTTGATTCAAAATTAAATTCTCAAAAATATTATTTATCATAAAATTTCTTTTAAGATTTTTCTAAGTCTTCTTTTACTCTTTTTTACTAGATGTTATCTATTTTGTTCATTAGTATCTCTAGTGATTTTTTCATACATGATCACACTACAATTTTCTGTTAATTTTTTCATTATAAGTGTTATTACAATATTTTTCTAGTTTACAAAACTCATGTCTATCAGCTAACATTAATAAAACTATTTTTTTGGCCGCATATTTTATCTTGAAGCATAAAATTTCAATTTAACTCTGAAATCTAATAGTAGACAACTGTCAAGCTTCAGTCCTTGAAAGCATGTCATCTTCAATTTACATATTCAATAGTGTCAATTATTTTTGAATCACAAATTGTCAAATCATGAAGTTCATAGTTCCTCTCCTGGTAGAACATGGTTTGATTGTTTGAGCACAATGAATTCTCCTTTAGATAACAGACAGAGAAAAGAAATGGACACGAATGGTTTTCTGTCCTAGTGTCATACACGGGTGTATACGCAAAAACATGACCACTAATGTCCTTGCTTAAGCACAGAAAGGACGTGATGGCATAGGGTGCATGGATTGTTACTTCTTTAGTTATCAATTTCATTATAGATTTATAGGATGAAAAACAAGACATGTGATGAGTGAGCTAAGGCTGTTCCATATATCTGTTGATAGCAAATTTCTCTTTTGACATTTCTTTTAGTAACAAAAGTAAACCATTTGGAAATGGAATAAGAAATTAGCTTCAATTTGAGACGTCAAGTATCAGTATGTATTCTTACTTGTTTCATTGATCCATTAACACTTATCTGGAATAAAGTAATTCATTTAAAGTACACAAAAGCAGTTATTGCTTGTATATACAGAAATATGAAGTCAAGAGAGTGGAATTTGTTATATACCAGTTACCAAGTAGTTCAATTGCCCTTGAACTATGTAGCGCTAACATTTGTCAGATGAATAACTGGTCTTGTGCTGGATGGAGTGAGGTATAGTAGAAAAATTGGCATCTATTTTCCTTTGGACTTATAAACTCTACTTCGCTTTAATAAAAGGGCCTGCCATTTAGTAATGTGAATGATAATAATTAAAATTAGTGAGTTTGTGGTAATGCAGTTTTAAAATTGAGAAGTAATACATGAATGATATAACATAGCCTTGCATTGTCTAGGATGTTGTATTCATCATCAGAAAGATTAATTAGAAGCTGCTGAAATGTGAAGAAACGAAACTAATTCATAAGAATAGAAAGTTCTTCAATTGAAAATGGATGATTACATGATACAATTCACAAAATCTTTCTAGCAATAACGTTCTGGGAGGGGGAGTCAACATTTACAGTGGTAAAAATGATAATAATCTGTATTTATAGAAAAGCAAAATTTTCTTTTGCACAAGTATACATATCTACTGTCAAGATTTGTTGAGGGACAAACATTTCCCTCTGGTCTTTATTTCTGTTGGCTGTCTGATCCTACATTGTTCAGCCATTCAACAACTTCTCTGATGCTTGGTCTTTTGAAAGGATTATGGCTGACACACATGCAAGCCACATCAAGTACCTTCAGCATCTCTCCTTCAAAGCCTTTCCCTCTCAGAAGAGGGTCAAAGACTTGGTCTTGTTTTCCTTCACTCTTCATCTGCTGAACCCATCCAACCAACTCCCTTGACATTTTTGGCTTGCATACATCCACAGGCCTCCTCCCAGTGAGTAGCTCAAGCATGACAACTCCAAAGCTGTACACATCTCCTCTCAGAGTAGCCACCCATGCTTGTCCATACTCAGGGGGAATGTAACCTAATGTACCTACAAGTTCAGTTGTAACATGAGTATGATATGGAAGGATCAACCTGGACAACCCAAAATCAGCAACATGTGCCTCAAACTTTTCATCAAGGAGTATATTGCTTGACTTTATATCACGATGCACAATGTGTGGTTCACATATCTGATGCAAATAAGCCAAACCACAGCTTGCACCTTGTGCAATCTTCAAGCGAGTTGGCCAATCAAGTTGAGATGCACCGTCAGGCTTTTCATGCAACCAGTAATCCAGGCTTCCATTTTCCATGTAAGTATATATGAGAAGCCGAAAGCCATCATGCACACAGTATCCTTGCAATGCCACCAGATTCTCATGTTGTGCAGTTGACAAGGCCTCTACCTCTGCTTTGAATTCCCTTTCCATAGGGCCCAAGTCTCCTGAAAGTTTCTTGATGGCTAGGGTGGTTCCATTTGGTAATGTTGCTTTATAAACCAAACCAAAACCCCCACATCCTATTATCTTTGCCTGACTGAAATTTTCAGTAGCTTTTAGGATTTCAAATATGGTAAGGTCCTTGGTTTCATTATTTTTGTTAGGGAACAATACCACTAGGCTAGCCTCCTTGTCAACCTCAGGATGAACTCCATTGTTGGAGTAGGCAGAAATTGATTCCATTTCAATCTTGTCAGGTTCTCCTCCTGGATTGACCCTCCTCTTGGAGAGTATCCAGAGTGTCAAAACTGCTATCAAGGAAGCAATACCAAAACTGATTACAATGACAAGTCCAATCATAACTTTTTTGTTCGAGCCGCGACTAGCTGCAGTACCATTAACAGTAATAGTATTTTGTTGAGAAGGACAAGAGCGCTGAATAACTGGACCACACAACTGTGGATTTCCTTCAAAGCTGGAGTAGGAAAAAGTATCAAATTGACCACCAGTTGGTATCTGTCCCTGAAGATTATTGAATGCTACACTGAAAAAGGACAAGAAATGCAAACTTTTGAGTGAATAAGGAATTTCACCAGATAGTTGGTTCCCTGAGAGGTCTAGTTTCTCTAAATTAGTCAAGTTTGAAATCTGAACTGGTATATTGCCAAAGAAGTTGTTATTTTTCAGGTCCAGCTGATGAAGGACTTTCAGTTGGCCAATCTCAATTGGGATACTTCCACTAAGGTGATTGTTTCCTAGATATATCGCTGGAGGTAGGCTAGAAAGCTGATTATATTGCAGTAAGGAAACATTGTTTGCATTAGCAAAGACAGGTAACTCCAAGTAAGTCCTTTCTACTTTATCATTTGTCTGTTGTGATGTCAGTGCTGGGAGTCTTGTGAGCTTCTTGGGAAATGTCCCTGTGAGGAGGTTAACAGACAAGTCCATGTAGAAAAGCTGAGGAAGTGTACCCAACCAAGGAGGGATTGAACCACTAATTTGATTAAAGGACAGGTCCAAGACCTCAAGCTTCTTGAGCTTTACAAGCCAGCCTGGTATTTGACCTGTAAAATTACAACCACCCAAGCCTAGAACCTGAAGTTTTTGGAATCCATCTGGGTCTATTGTGTCCACATCTTTTGGTATCATTTCATTGAAAAAATTCTTGGAAAGCATAAGGGTACTAAGGTTCTTGAGCCCTGTGAGTATTCTCAGAGCCCCAGTGACATTCCTCAGCTTGTTAGTAGAGATTGATAGGAATGAAAGGGACTCAAGTCCAAGTATCTCAGGTGAAATCTGTCCCTCAAGCTGATTAGATGCTAGCCTTACTGCTGAAAGTGACTTGCATGCATAAAGGGTAGGTGGTAAAACACCAGTAAAATAATTGTTGCCAAGGTCAAGTGTAGTGAGTGTAAGGAATCCTGAGAAATTGAATGCTGAGAGATTTCCCTCCAAGTGGTTGACCCTTAAATTCAACACCACAAGATTGTCACAGTTCATCAGAGATGGTGGAAGAGTACCTGTCAAATTGTTGACATGAAGGAGTAGCCTTTCCAACTTGGAGAGTTTACCAATAGCATGAGGAATGGAACCTATGAAATGATTGGAGTAGAGCTCCAAAACTGTGAGGTTGGTAAGGCCAACAATGCCATCACCAATTTTTCCAGTGAGTTTATTGAGGGGTAATGAGATTTCTGTGAGAGAAACAGCATAAAAAATATCACTTGGGATAGGCCCAGATAGGAAATTGAAACCTGCTCTAAATTTCTCCAGCTTAGAACATGCTCCTAGTCCATGCTGAATGGTACCATCAAAATCATTGGAGGAATAGTCCAAAAATCTGAGAGAGGATGAATTATGGTCGTTAATGCAAAAGAGTGAAGTAGGAATATGACCTGTGAAGCTGTTATTACTAACATTGAAAGATACCAAACTCCCTCCTTCTGCTGCAGCTGCCAAGTGCTCAAGTAGAGAATTTGGAAGTGTTCCATTGAAAAAATTACTAGACAAATCCACCTCCTGGATAACAACACCACCACCACTACTATTTTTCCTTTTGCTACTGTTATCAGCAACAAAGGGTGGCAATTCACCAGAGAGATGATTATAGCTCAAATCAAGAACCAACAAGTGATTAAGCAATGAGAAAAACTGATCTTGGAGGTATCCAGATAACCTGTTACGGGAGAGATTAAGGTGAGAGAGAGAAGAGAGGTTTGTGATAGAGGGAGAGACGAAGCCAGTGAGGCCTCTAGATGGTAGCAAAAGATGTGTGACTCTGAGATCTCCATCACAAGTAATGCCTTCCCAAGTGCAACAATCAACAGAAGCAGACCAATTGAGAGAAGGGTAAGGAGAAGAAGTGGATATGTTCTCAGAGAAAGCCAAGAGAGAGAGTTTATCAATCTGGTAACAAGATGAGACTTGAACAACAAACAAGGACAGAAGAAGTAGTAAAGGTGTTATGATAGATACCATTAACTTGGAAACCATGTAATAACTTTGAATGGAATACGCAGAAAAAGAAGATGTTGGTGGCATGAGAAAAGTAGGTACCAAGGAGATGAAAATGGGGTCTTTGTAGTGATGGTTGGTCATGAAAGAGTGGAGAAGAAAGGAAGATGGAGAAGGGGGACATAAGGGGGTGAAGAACCAATGTGCGAAGAGATAGTTGGGGTGGCATGGGAATGAGGAAGACCATCCATTGACAATGGAAGCAAAATGAAGGGTGGGAGAGAGAGGCAGTGGGAAGGTGACATTGACAACTGAAGATAGAAATAGATAATATAAAAAGACCAATGGATGCTCCCCATTAAATATTTAGACATCAGTAATAATAATTTTCATAATGATAAATAAGTTCTTAAATGATAATTTATATTATAATTAATAATAAAATATTAAAATAAGTTTAAAATGTTTTATTATAATTATAAATTATTTTATATAAATTTGTTTAATAACACTCTAACGATGATCTTAAAGCTGTCCTTTTTTTTTATGACTTCTTAAAGATGTCCTATAAGTTAAAAATAGACTAAGAACATTTTTTATAAGATTAATATAGTTATTTTTATAAATAAACTTTTTTAATATAGTATTAAAGTTTATTTAAATTGAAAATTAGGTTAGACAAATGTTTAGTTCTAAACTATATGTTTAATTCTAAATATGAGAAAATGTGTTAAGAATATTTTTATAAAATTACATTTTTTGTAAGAGTTAATTAAAGTTAAATTTTGAAAAAAAATAGAGAGAGCGTTTACTTTTTACAAAAAAGGGCAGTGGAGGGAGAGTGGAATTCTGAAAGATGATGATGAATGAGATGATTGACAAGTAGTATTATGGCAATAACATAACGTGTGGAGCAGACAACAAAAGATATACAAGGCTGCTCTTATTGCTGTCTGCTCTTGCTGTTTGCTGCCACCAAACTGAAGCACCTACCAGTTTCTGGTGAATGGTGATGAGTGGTGATGGTGCTCAATCATTCTTCTTCTTATTATTATTTCTTTTATTCTCTCTCAACTCTCAACTTCTAAACATTCATTTTTTCCAATTTGGGTCTGAACATCTACAGTCAGTGCCCTGTTTGGATAGCATAGAAGATCGTGCTTGGTCGGTTAAAAATCTTTCAACTGTTGTTTTGGTGTCTGGTTAATTTTAAGTTTCTCAGAAGAATCATAATAAAAGTAGTTCTATTTCTACCAGGATATGCGTGTAAGCCTTATTAATTTTTTTTCATTTATAAAAATATTAATTAGTTGATTTAACTGCTGATTTAAAGTTATTACAACTAGATTAAAGTATAAATTTGTGTTATTTTAAAATTAATTAGTTTACTTTTAATATGTAATGATTTTTTAAAATATTAACAAATATCAACTATAAAATTATGTATTTATTAAAGTTTAAAATTGAAAAAAATTGTAGTTAGTGTTTTATGTACATTTTTTTCAGCAATTTTATTTCAGAGAAACGTTGAAAAGTGTTTGATATATCTAAAATATTCTTAATAAAGCTATATAATGTTTCTTGCAAATATTTTTATCTCATGTTTAGTTTAAATATTACTTTTTAGAAACATCAATGTTTTTTAAATATCATTTTTTATTTATGATAATAAATAAATTTTAATTGTTAATTATGTTTACAATTATTTAAAAATCAAATTAAAGTTTAAAATTAAAAAATAATGCAAGACATTTGTACACTAGAAGTGCATAATTATGTGAAAAAATAAAATTATATTTAAATATATAACTAATTTCATCGATTACACAAAAAAAAATGATATTATTTGACACATTACTACTTAAGTAAACCTAATGAGTACTAAAATTTATGGCTTACGTCGGTTTATTTCTACAGCATTACCATTAACATATAAAGGATATATATATATATATATATGAAAATGTCAATTAATTAATAGCAGTTGTGCTTCAATTAAAAGATGAAAGGAACATTGCTAACCCTCCACCAATATATACACCTTAAAGTACAATGAACCTTTTTCAGCTTATCTTGTTCTATATTAAAATACGTACATAAATCTCTCTCTCTCTCTCTCTCTCTCTCTCTATATATATATATATATATATATATACACGTATATACATAAACTTGAAGAGTTGTTGTACTTCAATGGACAGAACAATGTTGGTTTGCTTTTCCTTTAAAACACAAACCTTGATGACATTCTATTTTATTTCTATAATTATAAAACAAGAACGACTTTTAAAATAAAACATAATTAAACACTGGAGTGTCCATTTATAGAGATAAATATAAGGTTTGAAACGGATTATAATACTCACAATTGCTGTTGACTTACTACCAAGCATTTTATACGTGTAAGGATAGTGAAGGGATTTGACAGAGCAACTTGTTAATATAAAATCGAAGAAAATAAAACTTTAATTTAAAAAAAATAATAAACATTTGTTTAACTTAATATATAATTTTGAAGTATCAAGATAATAACGCTCTTAAAATCAAGGTAAAAATGAGTATGATATTATCCTCTATTTAAAACTCAAGAGAAGTGTTATATAAAAAGTTTATGAAGTTTGAATAAACAAGAACCATTTGAACTTTGAAGCATAATATTTAATTGGTTCGTGGTCAATACTTATGCTATGTATGCATGTTAGTTAATGAAATTCTGTCATTATGAGATTGGTCAATCAAGTGGAGAACCACTTCCTTTTCAAATTAAATAGCTTGCTTGCATCCTCATTGATTGAATTTTATAAATTACCATATTAAATATTGTTTTCTAGAATTTCATCTGTATTCAATATTGTTTGTCAAAAACTTATTCTAACGTATAGATATACCCACCACCAGTATTTTTATCTATTAACATATAAGAGGAATGCTTTTAAATTTAAGTGATAAGAATTATATATTAATTAAAATTATTTTAAATTATAAGTTAATCGCTAGACATGTATAAGAAGTATAGATATAATAAAAAAAAATATGCATAATTAATTCAAATAATTAAGATATTATAGTCATGAATTTCAAGATTCAACTTAAGTTCACATGTTTAAAGAATTCAAACCTGGTGACCCAAGTTGGCTAAATGATCCAATATCTATTTGCTTTGGTAAAGATGTGACAAAGAGTAACAGTACAATCCTCTTTCATCGTTGCATGTTTTACCATGACAAAATTATATAAAGCAAGAATTGGAACTTGAACATTTGGGTTGAACTAAAAGAGGAGCCTCAATGATAGATTAAATTTGTTAAAACATATAAAAAATTAAATTTTATCCATTTTAAACGTTTTTATAAGTCTAAATTAGATCCTTTTTTTTTTTAGCTTAACATGCCAACGAAATAGTCTAAATAAGTTTAATAGTCTAAATAGTATTATAAATTGTTATAATACGGATTAGGATTTGATTTTGTTAGGAGGAAGGCAATCCCAATTACAAACTCTATGAATGAAAAAAATCGAATTAATGTGACTTATCATTTCCCTTACTTTAACTTCCCAATTTTTATTCCATTGTGGATTTTAAAAACTACTTTTAAAATTTTTAAAAAATAATCAATATTTTAATTATTTTGAGGAAATATCTTTAATAGACTATACTGTTTAAAAAAATAAAAGTTTTTTTTATATTTATAACTAAACAAAAATAAACTTTTCCTTCATATAAAATTACTAACAAATAAATAATATTTTTTTTCTAAGCGTAAATAAGTGAGTCCTATTATTTGAATTATGCTCTATGGCTTTTGAAATTCAAAATTTGGTAATTTATATTTTAATTAATTTAATTTTCTTGAACTCATATTTAAAAACGCAAACATAATTTGAAATCAATTTGTGAACGATTTTGTAATATAATTAATTTTGTTTATAAACTTAAATTTAAGTCTACGTGCTATATTATAATTTTTGTATTATGTTAAAAATTTAGAAAAATATGATAAAAAGTGTCTTAAAATATTGGTTAAGAAATAAAAAATAGAAAAATTTATTAAAAATAAACATATTTTTATAATTTTTATATATTTCAACATAATTTTAATAAAATTTTATTATTTATTAATTATTTAGTCAATATTCTTGAACATTGAATGATAAGATCTAAAAATGTATATTAAACTTTTGACTATAACATACATTTTAAATAGTTTTTAAATATAAATCACATTATTTTATCAATTTTATAAATTAAGTTGATTTAAACTTATTCACACACGTCTATTTTGAGACAAGACCTGAGTTACCTTAAGCTACCATTGCATGTATAAGCATTAATTAACTTTGTGAAAAACAATAAAATAAATACTAATACATATATTTTTTTAACCGTTACTTCTGCAAAGAAAGGTGCTTACATGTATGTAATTTTTTTTTAAAAGAAAATCAAGTTTAAGCAAATTACAAACAATTCCGTCAAAGTTACTCTTAGAGTGAAAAACATTTATAATTTTTAATAAAAAATATTATTTAATATTTTTATTGTATATCTTTAAACATAAATTAAATAGAATAATTATAATTTAATTAGTTCTAGATTACTGGCAAAGGAGGTGCTAAAAGGAAAGGCCATGCTCCATTGCTGCATGCATGGATTTCCTAAAAAATTTATACTTTTGGCAAGTTGATTTCTGAGTCTTTTATTTAATATTTAGGATTAATAAAAACTAAAAACCCTTCATTTTTTTTCTTTGCTTACAAAAGAGGTTAAAAGTCCAAAGACACCACAACTAAGACCTCACTTTAGAGGTGAACAAATCTATACAGTCCAAATTCAAATAAGGTTAGAAATATGAAGAAGCCTTATCAAAACAAGAGAAATGGGTACATAATTCAAAGGTTAATTTGGTCAGCCTATCAGTACAAAAATTGGTCTCCCTATATGCATGACTGAATCTGATAAATGTAATATTTTTAAGCAGATGCCTAATACTATGAATCAGATAAAAATAATTATGAACTGTAAGAACAAGAGATATCACTTGTTTAAAGTACTTTCAATCCAAATGGTAGAGATATTATTTTGAATAACAAGCTGGAGATCAAGAAATATACCTCACAATTATGCTTCAATGGAGGAACAAGCTTCCAAACAAGAGTAGAACTCAGCCACAAGTTGTCCTTTGTCATTGCAGATAAGGCCACCACAACCAGCAGTGCTGGAATTTGGAGAAACAATACCATCAATATTAAGCTTCTGCTACTAGAAGAGAGGGTGATTCTATTTAATCTAACACTGGTTATCAAGTGTTAAGACTTTTATGGAATTTAAAAGTGAAATCCACCTTACTTCGAGGGAAGGGGAAAACCTCCACAACCACAAGGGTTCTCACAAAATATTCTCTATCTTTTATTCATGATGAAAATTATATAAATACATAAAGGAAGGAAACAAAAAATAGAGTAAATCTTAAAACAGCAAAATGATTACTTGAGTAGAGAAAAAGCTAGGAAAATCAAGTAAATCCCAACAGAATCAATTCATCTCGTATTCCTTGAATTTCTGAGGGGCTTGACAGATTTTAGGAGGATTTCTTCTCAGCTTTGGCTTGACTTTTCCAATTGTATCTTCTAAATCACTTGGGTTAGGCTCTTGAAACATATTTGGCTCTAATTCCTCCTCAACCCAATTATGGTCCATAACATCAAGTAATAGTGAGAATCACCTTAGATTTGCCTCTCTAATAAAGTTTAAAGTGATTAAAATCACAGAAAATTTGATAAATAAGAGCATTAACTTGAAAGCAGAAACTTTGAAATAATGATGCATTTTTATTTTTTCAAAGATGTCATATAACAATACAAAAAAGTCTATTCCAACCAATGGGGTTATTCCTATTATATCCTATCAGATTATGCTACAGCTAGGTAAAAAAGTCATTACTAAAAAAATAAGCCCAATTTTGAGGGAGAATAAATTATTGCCAAACCTATTTAACAAAATGGCAATCTCTAAGCACATGTATGATAGTTTCATGAGCATAATTGCACATAGGGCAAAGAGAATCACGAGCCATGCCTCTCCTATGCCTCTTTACATTGATCAAAAGCCTTCCATGAGCAACTTTTCACATAAAGAGGATCACGTTGGGAGGCCTATCCCATTTCCAAATCAATTTAAATAAAATAATATTTGAATTAAAATCATGATTATTAGTGTAAACCAAATTATAGATAGATTTAATAGAAAAAGTTCCATTCCTATTAGATTTTCAAAAAATAGTGTCCTACACCCTATATATACTAGGGGGTTTTAAACAGGAAATGGAGTTGCAGATTGAAAGGGGAAGATAATTTTTAATCTTATTCAAACTCCATTCACCTTGATCAGAAAACAAAATTACGGGGAAGTTTAAATCAGCATCTGAAATAAGATACAAAGCAAAGTTAGATAGATTAGAAATATAAGGAATCGAACTGTCTGTCTAGAATTTAGCATTTAACCCATTATCCACAACCTAACTTAACCCTTAGGAGAAGATGTGCCACATAGAACACATGCCTTTCCAGAGGTGGGAAGAGAAATTACTAGTGCTTAAATTGGGACTTTCGCCAATTTGAAATTTGTATTTACTAGAGAAGACTTGAGCTCAAGGAACAGAGGGGGAAGTAATAAATCTCTAACACAATTTAATTAAATATGCTTGATTAAGCATTTGCAAGTTCCTAAAGCCTAGATCACCTTAAGACTTAGACCTACAATTTTTTTTTTCAGCCAATAAGATGACATCTCCTACCCCAAATGAACTACCTACATAATTTATTAATTTCATTACAGACACCTTTAGGGATGAGCATGATTTGCATAAGATAGGAATGAACGCTCATAATGCAAGATTGAGCTAAAATAATTCTATCAGCCATGGAAAATGAATTTATTTTTCAAAGAGAAGGCTTTTTTCTAACCTTATCTATTATAAAGGTAAAATCCTGCTTAGAGGGTTTATGGTAACTGACTTGATCCCTAGGCTATTGCTAATTTCCTAGATAAGTACTAAGTCAAAAATTTTAGAGAAAAATACTTAGAATTTCTCCTGATTAATTTTTAGACCAGAGGTAAGACATAATAGTTTTAATGATGTTGGCATGATGCATGTCAACCTTTGCCACTAAAATAATGTCATTGGCAAAAAATAAATAGGAAATCTAAGGCTCAGAATTGCTAAAGAAGAAAGGAGTTCAGTTAGTAGACATGGCCTTATCTTTAATTAGGTGAGCTAACCTTTCCATACACAACACAAATAGATAGGAAGAGATAGAGTCCCCATGCTGATACCCCTAAGGGTAAAAAAGACTCGGTTATACTCCTATTACAATACAATGATGAATAAGATTAACTATTTCAGAGTTAAAACCAACTTTTTTAACAATATCTATAATGAACTTCCATCTCAGTTGATCATATGCTCTTTCCAAGTCAATTTTAAGGGTCATGTAACCATTTCTACATTTTAATTTACTAAAAAAATGCATGATTTTCTGAATAATTAAGGAGTTATTTATCCCTTGTCTCTCATGAATGAAACTAGATTGGTTTTTAGATATTAGATAGGGAAGAGAGCTTCTAAGTATATTAGCTAAAATTTTAGTGATAATTTTATAACTAACATTACAAAATAATATTGGTCTAAAACTTTTTATGTATTCGAAATTGTTGGTCTTAGAGATTAAGGTAATTTCAGTTTCATTAACAGTAAAAATTTTCTTAGTATTATTAAAAGTGTCTAAAACAAAATTATGAATAAAAGAACTTAAAAACTCTCATTGATTCTCATAGAAAATTACATGTAGGCCATCATAATCAGGAAACTTAAAATTTTCAATGTTAAATAAAGAAGTTTTAAATTAACGTCTTCAACTCATCAAATATGAAATTATTATACATTTATGTATATTTTCTATTCAAACAACAACTTTCGTTGAACTAATACTTTATTTTTTTCACTTTTTTTATTGTAAAAGTTTGGATAAAGTAAATATTACGGTTTATTTGTTTTTATTTATAAATTTTTAACATGTTATATTTGTAAATTATGGTAAAAATTAAATTATCAATAATCAATTTATACTAACAACTATAAATTTACGAGATAATTTTTTTAAAAATAAAATTTAAATTTAGAAAATATTAATACATAAATACAATAAAATATACATGTAACTTTATTTGGAAAAAAGACAATAAGAGAGAGTATTTGAAACTAATGTAAAAAAAAAAAATAGAAATAATGACTTTTAAAATTTATAGGAAAAATATGTTTTATTATATAAAATTAAAAATAAATAATTACTAATAATTTTGACTAAAAACATTTCAAACAATAAATTAATACGTATTATATATTTTATAAATATAAGTACTTAGAAAATTTTGGAAAGTTTATATAAAATAATAAAACAATTAAATAAAAGCATTCCTGCTAAATTGCATGATGAAAGCAGCATGACAAGATAAACTATTCATCATGCTTTGATAAATAATTAGAAGTAAGTACACAATAAGAAGAGTTGAGTTAGAAATAGTAAGATAAATGTTTAAATCTTTTATTTCTATTACTATCTAACTTTTGTTATCAATATTGTTGTTATTTCTGATTATATTATCACTATTACTAGTGATTATTTTAGCCCTTATTATAACTCGACACCATTTTAAGATAACATTTATTATTTTTGTCCTCTAAAACTCTTTATTATTATCATTATGGCCTTGCATCCAAAATCATTGCCATTTATCACTTCACTAAGTACTTGCCACAACTTTTTATAATTTAAAGATAATATATATATATATATATATATTTAATAATTATATAAATTTAATAAAAGAATAATTTGTTATTCACATACAATTTATATCATATAATTATTTTGAAAAAAAAAAGATATGATAACTGAAGTCTAATAATAATACAAAATAATACGAAGAGATGTATAATATGTTTTATGTATTATTTTGTAACTAAAGTTTTATCCTTATAATTCGTATAATAAAAATCAATCCAAATTTTTTGTCCAAATCATCACATAGCTTGAGTGCCTTCTCTCTTTCAAAATGGGCACTCACTCTTGGAGAAAGCCCATAAGGTCCACGAAGTAGAAGTTATCTATTGGGCCACATTGTATTTTATTGTGAGCCCATTTTCTACTCTTCTTTCACATTACAGGCATGAGGAATGAACAATGAACTGAACCAGCCTAATGCTGTTTTCCTTTCATTCGAGTTTTGACGAAAAAAAAAAAAAAGGTTTTGTCCTCTGTTATTTTCTCTGTTGCGATTGAATTTAAGGGAAGCATCGAATTTTTCTTTTTGGGTATATCTATATCGTCCTGAAAGTGGTTCAGTTGGAACACCGAAAACGATGTCGGCTCGATTGATGAAGAAGGTTCTGAACGAGCAACAGCACCTTCCACAACACGTGAGCGAAGAAGAAGAAGAGCACGACGATCAGCTCAACCCAGAAGATGAAGACTCCATCACTCGTTCTTCCATCAACCCCTTCGACCTTCTCAACGATCATGATTCTGAGCCCGAACACCAGGTTCCTCAAAATCTCACCTTTTTGGTTTTTTTTTAAACTCTCAAATTCATGAAGCATTACCCTTTTTATCTTTTTCAATTGGCCATCTGGGTTCTATTTTTCTGTTGCTATCATGTCCCAAGGGAATTGTATTAGCCAAAATTTGTAACTTTGATTTGTATTTGGAAATAGGTTAAATGCAAATTCAAGTTCAAGTTAACTTTTTTTTTTTTTTTTTGGTTAATTAAATGTCATCACCATATAGAGGAGTGACATTAACTTTTATTGTTTTGCTAGAAAACGAAACAAAATTCTTGAGTGTTTAGCTGAAAATTGATGCTTTAATTTTTGCTTATGCTAAGAAAGCGGGGCTAGGGAGCATGCTCATTATTCAGCTGTGATTATGTACTTTATTTCTCAACTGAATGGATAATTTGACTTTTTTGATTGCAGGGAGATGAGTTGACGTACGCTGATGAAGCATTGGTCAGATATGATGATAAAGAGGTGTCATCTTCATTGAAACATACAGCTGAGGTTTCAACATCCAATTCAAAATCGAAGAAAAAGAAAAAGAAGAAAAACAAGGATAGTGCTGTTGCCAATAAAACCAGGGGTGAAGAAGAATTGGACTCAATTCTAGAAGATTTGTCTCTGAATGTCAACTCTTCGAGTGAACAACCTGTCTCTTCAAAAGCCAATGTAGCGGATGCCAAAGACAATAGTAAATCTTTTAAACAGCATGCAGCCAGCGTATTACAAGTGGATCCTAAATATTTGAATGCTGAAAATGAGCTGAGAAGAATATTTGGATCTAAGGTTGTGAAATCTTTTGAGAATAGCAATCAAGCGAGTAGTTCTAGGCAGATGCGAGGGGTGAGGCGTGGGCATTATAATCTTAAAAAGACTGTTCTTGTCACTCCCTCAGACAATTGGCTCCGCTTTGATGGCTCTTTATCCATGGAATTTCTGGAATCAAAGAATGGATATAACTATTTCAGGTAAGGAATTAAGGATCGTTCTTATTCAATCTATTGATAATATTTTCTGCTTTGTTTTTTCTTTAAACCACTCTTGTTGTATGCTTGTATATGTTAAAGGATGAGGAGATAGTTGTAGTATCCTTTCTTCAAATGTGTGACGTGCTACCGACCAATCATAAACATGTAACGTAACCATGAAAATATGCACATGAAAAAGATTCTGTATCCAGTTTTGGGAAGAATAAAATACATATAACATACATAAAAACAGCACTTGCAAAGAATTATTGATGAATACAAAGGTTCCAATGTAAGAATGACCTTGAACAGAATTAAAGAACCTAATGGGAGTTATGAAAAATAGAGAGATGGAAAGAAGGGAATTTATATTGAAGCCTAATTATTGTTTATTTTTATTAATGACACACACACACACTGTATGCCTTTCAATTCATGATCCTTCTTTCGTTTTGGTAGAAGGGCTTACATGATTGAATTCATTGGTTTGGGCTTTTGTTATTCATATTCATTGTCAATGACCATTGGGTCAGTTGAACTTATCAATCTCTTCGAAATGGGAGTGGAGAGTAGGGTTTGAGGTTCTGTACCTGCGTGGTTTATGATAATGATTGTCTGCTTTACTCGTGAAGTTAAAATTGAAAATGTCTTTTGTAATTTGTATTCTAATTTCCTATTTCAACCTTTATGGTTAAAGGTTATTGAGATATGAGAATCATAGATGATAATAATTGCTTCTTTTTTGTAACCTTTTGAACTACTGGTCATTTCCCATTTATTCTGGTCTTTTTTATAATGTAGATATATACATTCACCATCATACACCCAACATCAAAAGGCGTTTGAAGCTGCCAAAGCAATTAATAACATAAATGGCATAGCAGTTGTATTACAGCATTGTCCTTATCATCTAGATTCCCTTCTAACAATGGCAGAATATTTTGCGGTATTGGGTGAACAACAGATGTCTGCAGATGCTATTGGCAGGTGTCTTTATGCCCTTGAATGTGCATGGCATCCCATGTTCACTCCACTGCAGGGCAATTGCCAGTTGAAGTTCCGACATGATTCAAACAAACCTATATTCACTGCTCTTTTCACTCACATGAAAAATTTGGACAGGCGTGGCTGTCATAGATCTGCCTTAGAGGTCTGCAAATTGTTGCTTTCACTAGATTCTGATGATCCCATGGGGGCTATTTTCTGCATTGACTACTTTGCTTTGAGGGCTGAGGAGTATGCATGGCTAGAAAAGTTTTCTGAAGATTATAAAAGTGATAACTCCATTTGGTTATTTCCAAACTTCTCTTATTCCCTTGCCATTTGTCGGTTTTACCTTGAGTGTGATGCCTCCAAAGATGCTTGTATAGATGCTAAAAAGGCTTCTTCGTCTGAACTGATGAAACAAGCACTAATGCTTCATCCTTCAGTCATAAAGAGGCTTGTGGCAAAAGTACCATTGAAAGATCGCACATGGACAGATATTCTCAAGCATGCCTTTTTCCGCTCAGATCAAACAGGAATTCCATCTCAAGATCACTTGATTAATATATATGTTGAGAGAAATTATCTTTTATGGAGGCTTCCTGATCTGCAAAAACTGCTAAGTGGTGCTGCAAAACTAGTGATTGAAACCTTAGAGAGTAATCAAAGTGAACTTAAGGATTGGGCTTGTGTCAGAAAAGAAGCATTTTCCTCTGAGAAAAATGAGTACGTAGCCCCCCTTTTAAAATTTGTTATTTTGCTTTAGCTAAAATTTTGCATGTTTAGTGAATCTTTGAGTCTAAAAAATTCATCAAATATTTAACTATGCTGTTTATAAACTTTCTCAATTTATTGTCTTCAAAACTTGGTGCAAATTATTTCAATTTGTAACGAGCATTCGGTTGTGACCAATTGAAATTATACATAAGAAATTGAAGCAATGCGCTGATTATCACATGACATAACTGATGAATACATTGTGAAGTTGCATAGAATCAAATCTTTTTTTAATTTTGCTTATCTCATGTCATCGATAAAAAAGAAAAAAATAAAGAGGCACATTGAATCTTATTCCTTATGAATCTGAGGATGCAGCAGTTCATTTGCTTTTGTGTGAAATGACAGCACTGTTTTAACATGTATTGATCTTTAAGCAATTCAACTAACAGTTTCTTGTTTGTTAGGTATGGACATTTGTTAGTATCTGATTTCTCTGATTCAGTTTCATCAATTCCACGAGAAAATCTGCAACAATTTATGGGCGTTCCAGGGATCAGGGAAGGTATGCAGGACGAGAACCAATTTGCTAATCAGCAGGGCAACGGCCACGCTCCTCGTGGTGTTGCAAATAGGAATGCATTAGCTGTCTTGTTTGAGTCAATGCTACCGTGGGTTACTTATGAGGATAGGGAGGATGGTGAACCTGATGATAACCAACTCGATGATCACAGACAAGACAATCAATAATTCTGGATGCATTCGGCCTTCTTGCTCTAAAGGCCTTATTTGGGTGGAGTGTTGAACTCCTCGATGAGACGTCTTTCTTGTACAGAGCGATGCCTAGGGAGCTTGATGTTTTTTGCTTTTACGTTGATCACAGTGGTTATTCTAGGAACTCTAGATCCATATAAATGCCATATATTTTGTGGTGTCTAATTTTAGGAGCATTGATGTCAAATGTTATACCTTTTCCATCATGAATTTTTATTTTGATATACTTTTGTTAACTCGGTTGTTTAATAATGTATTATCACACAAGAGTTTAGTCATGGATGCAACAAATTGAGATGTCAAATTCTTCTATGATGCAATAACACAATTGAATGATAGTGAGAAAAATGAAAACACTATTCTCAAGTCAAGGCATTGGCAACATTCATGGGGTGCCTATGTGTACGTTACCATAAATGAACACAGGCGGGTAGTAGCAAGTATTTATATATGTTGATACCAACTATTCAACAAATACTCTGTCAGCTATTGTATTCTAGCCGTGGGTAAACTTTTTGGAGAGCTTGACTGTGTAAGTGGCGAGTGAAAGTTTTGAGACGTGTATAAGTTGCATTCTTACTCTAAACAAAATCCTACGAGGCCCCTTGCGAGTTTCAAAATGCATGTGTAACCTAATGTTAGCTTATACTAATGGGAAGGCTTGTTCCTCCATTGTGATACTGCCACCAAAACAACCTAGGCTTAAATTACGTCAACATGCATTATTCCTACCATGCATCAATAAGTTGAGACCTGTGTTTGGATAATCAATTTGTTCTAGTGCTTATTCATTAAGTTGTTGTGTTAAATAATGACTTATGCAATAAATTTAACAATGAAATTTATTATAATAAGTTAAAAATAAGTTATTTCGTAAATTATACTAAGAAATTTATTGAAATAAGTTAGAAATAACTTTTGAATGATAAGCTGTTTTTCATTAGTTATTCATGAACTCTTTCAAATATGCCATAAGAACTCATAATGTTACTGGCCAGTTGGATTATCAGAACTTCTATTTAACAATACAGTAGATTCTTTCATGTTCTGATATGTTCTCAATGGCAAACTTTTTACAAACTAATGCAAAAAAGCTATTGTAACATGCTTAGGAGGAATAATAAATACTTTGCTGGCCCTGTGGCGGGTGGAACATACATTGTTCCAAGTCCTTCCAGCTCCAGCATGACATTCCTTTTCTTTTCCTCCTTTCTGCGTGGATTGGGGCAGGTTAGCCTTCAAAAACAATAGAAGAGCGTGAAGTGGAAGTGGGGGACCCGGTTTGGGATTAAGTTTCTATGATAAAGTTGTCATGTGAGAGGATTCTAATATATCATTAGGGTCACAACTATGTGCTGCAAACATCATTACAACATTGCTAAGCATTATTTTACAATATCACTTACCTTATGAAGTTTTGGATTTGCTTTCTGTCTAGTAAGTTGTGAAAGAGAAGAAATTATGTGTTATTAAAATTTCAATTGATAATTTTAAATTAATAATTATTACATCGCTCTTTATTCTCTAGAGTGTATTTTGCATTCAGAGAAGCCAAATCTTGACCTACCAACCATCCACATTAAGAGATGAATCAAGATTCAACTATTCATGCCGTTGGACATGTATGTCTGTATATTACCGAGTTATCTCTGTAATGTTCGTAAGATGCTCCATTTTCATGTACTTTTAACCACACAAGTTAAGATGAGGCAACTCAATTGTTCTTTAAAATTAAAGGCGAAGGTAAGAACTTCATAATTCATCAAATAAATTGGACGTGAATGAGGTAGCCGTGGGCTCATGGAATCACCTAATCATTGAGTGGAGTAATGGGTCATCTAATGAATCACTGTCTAGGCGTGCGTGGCCGTATGTAATGAATTTGTGTACATTTTGCATTGGCACGTATGATTTGGGGCCTTGTACATTTTTCTCTTTAGGAGGAGAGAGATTATATAAGTTGAGCTAGATAATCAATAACACTCTTTTAACACATTTTTAATTATTAGTTAAAAGTTATAAAAATATTATATACTACAAAGATTTATATAATAATTTGAAAAGAAGCGATCCAGTGTGTTCTATCATTATAATTTATTGAATTTGTGTTGAGATAGGACACAGGTTACGTATATTAAATTCATTAATTATAAACAAATTATCATTTCATACATTTATTTATACGATGATTTAACAGGAGCCGATGATATATTTATGTTCAAGTTATTTTCACTCTACTTTCTCCTATAAAAGAGGAAGTTACAAAGGCCTCGAACACAGACACAGGGAACTGCATAGGATCAGAAAGATTCGAAGGCAAGATACAATGGCTAGTGGGCGCAATGTGAAGAACGCTGTGATATCATTCTTGGTTCCTCTCCCTTCCATTCTCTTCTATCTCTCATTCCTCAACCACTATGACTCTGCAAATTCCCCTTCATTTTGGTCAACTTTGTGGGCATGGTGCTATCACCACCCTCTGCTATTAGCCAATGCTCTTTTCTTCATCAACGTCAATGTCCTCTTCTGGGTCATTGGCCAAATCCAATCTAGTCACTGGGTACATACAATTTCCCACTTTTCTTCTTCATTCACTTCACCCACATTCACATTTCCTTTAAAGTTGACACCTTTTTCTGTTAGTGATGGTGCAGATGATTGACCCATATTGGACTGTGATACCTGTGATGCTTGTTCATTACTATTCTACGCACCCTTTGGCTCACTTTGATTGGTGGAGGTCAAGGATTGTGATATTGTTGACATGGGTGTGGAGTATTCGGCTCACACATAACTACTTCAGGAGAGAAAGGTGGCAATGGGGTGCAAGGGAAGATTGGCGTTTCACTGAGATGAGTCAACAGTATGGAAATCAATGGTGGTGGGTTTCATTCTTTGCTGTTTATGTATCCCAACAGGTAAGTTTTTTCATTGCTTTCTTTTCATTCATTGGTGTTGAAATGAGGTTTAAATGAACCCCCTGAACCTGCTTGTTGAATTGCCTGTTTGGTTTAAGTATTGTTTTATTGAAATGAGTGCTTTTGTTTTGGTTTGTGTTTTTTTTTATCTTTGCAGATGTTTTTGATTGGATTGTCCCTTCCCTTGTATGCTGTTCACACTGTTAATCAGCCTTTGAGCATATGGGACTTGGTGGCTGTTGTTCTCTGTTTGTGTGGCATTGTGATGGCATATTTTGCTGATACACAGCTCTATGAGTTTGTGAATAGAAACAACAAGCTGAAAGGGCTTGGGAAACCCTTGGTTCCTGTGCTTGACAATGGCTTGTGGTATTACTGCCGGCATCCAAATTACCTTGGAGAGCAGATGTGGTGGTGGGGGCTAGTTGTGTTTTCTTGGAGCCTGGGACATGGATGGACCTTTGTTGGAGCATTGGTTAATACCATGTGTTTGGCATATGTTACTATGCTTGTTGAGGAGCGAATGTTGAAGCAAGAAAGTAGGGCAGATGCATTTAGGCTTTATCAGAAGACAACTTCTGTGTGGGTACCTTGGTTCAAGTCCTCTCCTTCAGGAGTGAAAAATAAGAATGCTTGATGTTTATTTTAGTGCAATGGTTGATCTTGTTAAGTTTTCATCTTGGTATCTTTTAAAATTTGCAATGTTCTTGTGTATTTAATGAAATCATGAATTGTATGTGTTCTAGACATGTAGGTCACTGTAATATTGTATAAAATCATAATGCATCTGCTACGTTTGGATTTATACTTCAATCTGGCGTTTCAGCTTTAAAAGGATAGTTCATAAGTGCCATGATGACTTGTGTATTTGGCCGTGGATATATTCCCACTGGTCTTTTTAGTTAGGCTTCGTTCTGTTCACGGGAAAGCCTGAAGCATAAGGAAATATTTTATAGAAGAGCTTTAATAATTGTTAGAAACAATACTATTTGCAGAGTAAAATTTCATATTGTAAAATGGTGACATCAATTTGGATGCTTTGACATGGTTGCATGTTGATATCTAGTGTATGTCCATTGTCTATATCCTTAACCTTATAAACAATGGCATGATTCAGGAGTATTACCATAATATCTAACTGTCCAAGATCCAGAAAAGTTAAAGGAATATGATACACCACCATCTAGTGTTGGAAAGAGATGTATCACAAGATCGAGCTAAATTTTCTAGCTTTGAGAGATTCAAAGTGCATGGATGCCCTTAAGAACTTTTGGATGCTCTTCATGTAACCATTGGATTTTTCTTCAACTTTAAACCACAGATACAGTGCATTATACTACATGAGCAAGTGCTATCAGGGAAGTGCTGGTGCATTTATCATTAGTAGCTATCAATGAGTTGATATCCCAAAGCAGAAAATTACATCTGAAATTAGATATAAAATTGAAAGATCCTGCTTGGATTAAATTTAATTAATGCATTATTTTTTCCCGTACTAGTTTGGCTCGCTGATGAGTGATGTGTGTTAATGAAGGTGACTTATAACCGTTAGCTTCTCATTTGATTTTGGATTAAATGCAAAATTATGGTGTTTTGCTTACTAGTCTTAACAAAATGGTTTGTGTCATGGGCAGAACAAGACTAGTAAGTGGAAAAACAATTTGAGGTATCTCAAATTCCATGTGAAGCCAAATTAACAGCTACTAGGACTTGACCATTAACATTTTCCATTTTAAAAACCAACACAAAGCTTAGGAGAAACTAATAGAAAATGGTTAAGGCTCTTATGTGAGATTACCTTTAATAAGAAATTATTAATTTAATTTCCGTATCACAATCTTAACTCACTAAAATTGAAGGACGAATATACTTACTAAATTTAAAAATAAGCTTACTTAAAAGAAGATCAATACAAATAAAAACAGGATTCTATCTGGCTTGCTCACGGGACTATGTCTTTGGTACTGTTAAATATTCCATTTGTGAATCATTAGGAGTTCATGGATTGGGGTGGTTAAGATTTAAATTAGTTATTATATAATTCTATTGACAAGTAGACGTCGTCTGTGAAATTGTTTGATTCCGAATCAGGGCTACACAGTGAATGAATCTTGACCTTATGGAGGATTTTACTATGAACATTGATTTGTCTTATTGGTACTTACGTCCAAGAGTCACTACTGGAGATGCATACTTGTGAATGTAAGTGAATATTTTATTAGATGTATTTGATAAGATTAAACCAGGTTGGTCAGGAGAAAAAGACATCAACCAATGGATGAGAAGAAAGGAGGATGGTTTTTGAGAAAGATCCTTTTCTCATGGACAAAATTTAGATATTAGTATTATCATTAATCTCTAATTAAAATCGATATTTTATCTTGATAATTATAATTCTTATTTTGATAATTAAAATTAATAACGAGTATTAAGATGAGATGTGAAATTAAAATAAATAATAGGATCAACAGTAATAATAGTTCTTTTCACTTTTCCAACTTTTTTCTTGTGTCACATGCATCTTCATTATATATTCAGACAAAAACATAAAATGCAGATCCTTTTGCTTTGGCATTTGTTTGCATTTGAATTGAGATCTCCTTCTGATTTCTATACACAGATTCACAGATAATAATAATTGCTGGTGGTATTTAATGCCACACCATCTAGGTTTCCACGCATATTAATATCGGTTTGTGGTCTGCCATTTGTTAGCTATAATTAGGTGCGTCATAAAAGTTATACACATTTTTCAGCATTACTTTCCACTTATTTTTTTTCCCTCACTTCCTTGTTCATATATATAATCATTGGCTGATATCTCAAGAATTTTAATTTTAATTTTCATAAAGTTAAGACATTAACTGTAATGTTAGCTTTTTTTGCTATAGCTAAAAAATAGTGATTATGGAGAAGAGAGAGAAAAAAAAGCAATGTGATGGAAGAAAAAAATATATAAAAAGAAAAAAATAATGGAATGTTTTTTATTTGTTTATTTTTTTTCAAAATGCAAATTATTATTGATCAGCCATTTAAAAAAATTGAATTTCATTCTTTTGAAAGTGTTTTTTTTTATTCTCTTTTTCCTCGTCAAAGGTAAGTTCCCATGGTTAAAAAAACTGGAATTTGCTCTGAGAATTACAAAGATGATCACAATTCAGAATATCATGTCATGACTCGTGAATATATCACTGGGGATATCCTATGGCAGTTGCCAGTTGGCACATACTTAATTACTTTGAATCAACTAGTCTAAGTTTATCATGACCAAGACATTTAGATAAAGTCATTCCCTAAAATTTGTTTCTTCTTAGTGTTCACATACTAATAATACTATGCATCCTGCGTTGTTTTCTTCCTTTCTCCTAAAACAAACCAATGAAACAAGTTTAGTTACCATTATTCATTACCAAGAAAATAAAAGAAAAGGACTTTGCTTTCCTTTCCAAAGTTGCTGAACTCAAAACCATATCTTCTTCCTACTTTCATCAGCATCAACATCCTTAGCTAAGACCCCAGCCCTCATCAGGTGCAAGTGCAAGTTGAGATTTTGATTGGTTTTGGGCTCCCAAATTCCCAAAACAGTGATGATCTCAAGTAAAAGAAATGCTTTTGGCACCAAGAGAAAGATGGGTCTGGATTTCAAGGTTTTGATGGTGATGGTCTCATGGTTTTGTTTGATTCCTGTATGTGTATCAACCACAAAACAAGTATACCCACCACCACAACAACATAACCCGAAGTTAAGGTTTGGTCAAAATGGAGAATTCAAGATATTGCAGGTGGCAGATATGCACTATGCAGATGGCAAGACCACACCTTGCTTGGATGTGCTCCCTTCTCAAAATGTTTCTTGCTCTGATCTCAACACCACTGCCTTTCTTCATAGAATGATCCTAGCTGAGAAGCCTAATCTTATTGTCTTCACTGGTATTCCATACTGGTCTTGTTTTTAGTTATCATTTCATTTCTTTCTAATTGTAGTTTCTTTCAGCTTTCTTTTTTTCTTGTTTTAGGAAAAAAGGACCCTTTTCCTTCTAATTTTTTGGTAACAATATTTAATGCTTAGTAATTTGATAATTTAATTAGCGGCAAGAATATGTGAACATCTTTTGGTACCGGGCCAATTAAAAATATCTTTAACTAATCAAAGACAAAGAACATGCATGTACTAGCAACTGGCTGGAAATGAGAGAAAAAAATTAGTTAGTATTTTGTTTTTGATGAAGCTTGTGATTTATTTTTATGTTTGCATAATCATCATTTCCACATCTTAGTAATTTACAGTTGCAAGTGTCTTTGATATATGATATAAACCTATGATACATATTTATTGTGGTGTGACAGGAGATAATATATTTGGGTTTGATTCGTCCGATTCAGCCAAGTCCTTGGATGTTGCATTTGCTCCTGCAATTGCATCAAACATTCCTTGGGTAGCTGTTTTGGGCAACCATGACCAGGAAGGATCTCTCTCTAGGGAAGGGGTGATGAAACATATAATTGGGATGAAAAACACCTTATCTAAATTCAATCCTCCAGAAGTACATATCATTGATGGTTTTGGGAACTATAATTTGGAGGTTGGAGGAATTGAAGGCACTGGTTTTGAAAACAAGTCAGTGCTCAATCTGTATTTTCTTGATAGTGGAGATTATTCCAAAGTTCCTTTAATTTTTGGTTATGATTGGATCAAGCCCTCCCAGCAACTTTGGTTCCAACGAACATCAGCAAAGCTTCGGGTACCGTCTTACCTTTCCATTACCTAACAATATTGTACTTAAAATATGTTTTATATTTTCATTTTCTATTTTCATAAATAATTACAATACTACCACTTCATTTCAACATTAATAGTTCAAACCTTTGGAAATTAGAAACAAATTGAAAACGTGTCAATTTTGTAACTATTCATGAAAACAAACAACATTTTCTCAAAACCAAACAGGCAGATAAACTCAATTATCCTGTTTCTCCTTCTTGTTCAGTAGCAGCTTATAAATGGAAATTTCTGTGAATCTTCGATAAACATTTTGTGGCGTATTTTTCAGTTCTCTTAATCGTTAATATTTGGATTGATCACTACTCTCTTTCTTATATTCTGCAGAAAGCATACATAAGTGGACCAATGCCTCAGAAAGAAGCTGCTCCTGGTCTTGCATATTTTCACATCCCTTTACCGGAATATACTAGTTTTGATTCATCAAACTTCACAGGTGTGAAACAGGAGCCGGATGGCATTAGCTCTGCTTCTGTGAACTCTGGCTTCTTCACAACCTTGGTTGCAGCAGGAGATGTGAAGGCAGTTTTCACAGGCCATGATCACATCAATGACTTCTGTGGCAAACTAACAGGTATACAACTTTGTTATGGTGGGGGATTTGGATACCATGCTTATGGAAAGGCTGGATGGTCTAGGAGAGCAAGAGTGGTGGTAGCTAGCTTGGAGAAAACGGAGAAAGGAAGTTGGGGAGATGTTAAGTCAATTAAAACATGGAAACGCCTTGATGATCAACATCTTTCTGGAATCGATGGCGAGGTCCTATGGAGCAAGAGCTTTGGCGGTAAGATGTCCTCTGATACTTGTACTATTTTGCTTGTTCTCAAACTATGCTACATACTGAAAGGATGGAATCTATCTTTAGAATTGTCTTTTAGAGATGCCTGTTGGATGTATAAACAAAATATGACAAGTAAATGAAAAATTGGGATAAATTTGCTTACAGAAAGTAGTTTGCAGAAAGAAACATTAAAAATGAATATCATAATGTAAAAAAGTTTTAACTCTAGACGATGGGATAAGAAGATATAGAAGAACATTGTGCTAAAGTGGGAAGATGTGTTGGGGTTGTGTGTTATTGAAGGATATCCTTCAGGAGAGCTTGTGTATTTATCCAGCATTCCACTTTGCTTGTTGGTATATAATTTGAATGATTAAATGTCCAAAATTTTGGGTAGCATCTTGCACAAGGAGAAGTTATTGATGGTTTGGATATGCATAAGGCATGTTTAAATGTATCAGAAAAATTCCCAAGATAGACGCATTAGTTCTTGTTATATATAATGTTAAGAATATTGGAACTATAGTTGGACAACACAGTGGATAAAAAGGTTCAATGATCTGTGGCTCATGTTCATCAATGTGTGAGCATATACTAACATACCCCTCTTCTTCCCCATCCATGGTAATACCTCAAAGTTCATTGTCCTTTGACTGCTCTACGTTGCTCTTATTTATTATTTTATTTATTTATGTCAGATATTAGCTATGGCATCTGTGTTACATAATTTCTTGTCTTATTTTATTTTATAACGTTATCTGGTTGGATTCATTTTTTATTTTGGTTTTCATCGCAGGTAACCCTGGCAAAATACAAAATGGTGGCACTTGAGAATTTGAAAAATGTTGCAGACATGTATTAGTATCCACGTGAAGTGTATTTATTTTGGAACTTGAAATGAGTTGCTATACGATGAAGTTTATTCACGGAAATTTAAAACTCTTTGGTATACATATCCTGTAATTCTATACTGCAATTCATGGTAGCCTTCTAACCAGGGAATTGAAAGTTCATAAACAAGGTGAAGTGATTGCTAGCGTGTAATTGCAACCATCCATACTCCATAACCTTTGTAGAATTGATCTAAAGATTTTATTAATGGCCTTGGAACCAAAAATGATTTCTTTGAGAAGATTATTGATTGTCTGAGCAATTACTTGACTGTAGATTTCAACTTGCATGGATATTTGCTAAGGTTCTGCCGTGCTAACTGATAGTGATGAACTCACAGCACAGTTGCCATTGCAATTGTTGATGATCAAGAGAGGAATAGCTCTTTTGCTTCTTAGAATCCAATGCAGCATAACTTGAACAAATCAAGTTAAATTAATTGAGAAGGTTCATAAAAGGATAAAAGAAACGCAAAACTACAAAAGGATGATTCTTGTTATTTTATATACCCGAAAATATTTTCCCCTTAAATTTCTGAAATTAAAAGTAGGAGGCAAGAGCAACTACATTGTGCTACTGCAAAATCGTTGCCTCAAACTTCTTTGCCATGCATCTGTAGCAAGTAGCAACTGGGATGTCACCTATATTTGGAAATTAATGTAGGTTCTTTGCTTTTTATTTTTTGGATATACTTTATTTTGATCTTTTAAACATTCAATCTTTTTTATTGGTACTACCATTGCATGATATTGAACATGGTTCTCAATGAGAGAAAACCTTAATGGTAATTACTTTGTGAAGGTTTCAGGGCTAAGCTCCAATTTCCAATAAGAAGGGGATGAAAAGGAAATCATATGCTTAATTTTCATATTTTTTTTCTGTGTATTTTCTCTGTGAAGTTATGAGAAGAATATAATCGATTGAGAGCATTGAGTTTCGAGGAAGTGTTTGCAAGGACTATCTAATACCCCCTGCTCTAGTTCCGTTCAGTTATTGTTGCGGTTCTATCATCCATGCAAAAATTTGATTACTTCCTGAATTTACATTCAGTGCATCTTAACATAAATAGGTATTTGTACATTGAATCATCAATCTGTGCAATACATAGAAGTAACCATTTTACAAGCTTCACCACAGAAACATTCCTCCTAAAAGCATTTAAGCTTTACTACTTAGTTAAACAGGTTTGCCAATGTTTCTCCAAAGCTTGCAATCATAGAGTTGTTCTTATCCATCTCACTTGGAAGTGAAAGCCTGTATCAGAAATAAATAAACTCAGAAAAAGCAATTCCAGATCCATAATGTTTCCTCCTGTTTTTTTTTTTATCATAAATAACTCCATTATTTTTTTCTTAATTATAAGGAAAAAAAAAAACCTATTTTAGATGCATTGATTGCTAAGTTTTTTTTATGCTTTTATTTATTGTGAAATTTGTGTTAACTCGCTTATTCATAACCCATACAAGTAAATATATTCATTTATTTAATGTATGAAACACTAATTTGACTATTTATTACTATAAATATTTTTAAAATATATTCTAAATTTATAACATATAATTAATTATTTATTTCTTATAAAAGCCAGCAGAGGGAGCAATAAACTAAAGTCAAGTTAGGTAATGAAAACATAGTTGATGCTTTACTTACAGCAAAAACAGTAGCATGGCCAGGATCTGCAAGGTGAGCAAAGAGGTTGTCAATAGGACCAGTGCCAGTGTAAATGTGCTGGAACCATGCTCCCATCACAGCCAACATGGCCAATCTCCCATTCTTGATCTCCTTTGTTCTCAACTCCTTGATCTTCTCAGGAGAACCAGATCCCCAGCCAAGTGGATCAAACCAAAGCCCACCTGGGTACCCAACATCAGTTCCTGTGAGCTTGTTGTTGGGGAAGATAGGGTCAGTGTTGACACATCCTGGCTTGAGGATATCAGCCCACCTTCTACCCTCAGCCCATCCAATGAAAAAGAGCTCAACAATGAACAGTGTGGTAGTGTCTGTGAAGTATTCCTGCGCTCCAGCACTGTACCATGAGGGGGTGTTCAGAACACCAATCTTTGTTAGGAATTCTGGGATGAAAATGCCAGCAGCACCCAACATTGCCCATCTGCAGTGCACAAGTTCTGCTTGAACATTCCATCTCAGGGTCTCAGGATCAGATCCTGTGGAATGAAATCACAACCCACTTCTGTGGTCACTCACTTGAATTCCCAACGAGGGATACAATGAGTACTGTTTCAGCTTATTTAGTGACAGCAAATTTGAACACTGGTGATAGCTTAATGTTAGAAAGGATATTTAAGATGTTTTGATATTTGTAAATAGAAATTACTATTATTAGAGATAGTGCGACCTTAATTAAAAGATTTGACTGTATATGATTAGGTGTGCGTTTGTGAATAGTACTTAATTAAGCGCTTATTCAAGAGGCTTTTTTTATCCGATAGTTTATGTCATAAATTTATTGATAAAACTTATTAAGATTGGTTAAAAATCTTATTTTGATGAATTATTCCAAAAAGCTTATTAAAATAAGTTGAATATAGCTTATGAGATTCTAAGCTATTTTTCATAAGCTCTGCACAGACCCTAGTATTTTGATACGCTAATCTGTACCTATAAATACTGCTCTAAGACACAAGAAGATTCAAACTTCTCTTCTCTTTTCTATACTTACCAAGACCAAGAGGATCAAACCCAAAATCTCCTGGCAAGCTTCCATCTAGCCATGGAGGAGGGGTGCTGCCAGGGAACCACAGAGGCCTGTCAGGGTCAGCAGCTGCACACACTGTAGTGGTGGATCGTCCTCCAACTGGTGCTGTGAAGGTGTTCACCTTCAGTTTCCTCCCACTAAGAAAAGAAGTTTTTGTGGTTCCCAAGAGTGATCCATTCTTCTGAGAACTGCATGCAATTTCATTTTCTTAAAATATTTACTTTAGTACTACTAGGTTGAATTTCAATGAATAATCAAGTTAAGGTTCACATATGTACATACGATATACATACATTAATTGGATCTGAGATTTTCATCATTTAAAATAGGACAATACACGAAACATCTGAGGTAATGTTTACATTACTGGTACATAAACACAAGTACAAATAATAGGCACGTGAAGAAACTTGCCTTGGGGTAGAGATTGCAACGGCTGTAATGGCAGATGAAGCACACGCGGAAGCCATGACAATGTTAGAGAGATAAAATGGTTTGGCTTAGTGAGTTGTTGTGTTATGTTGGTGTGTGTGATTAAATGATGAGTGGGATAGAAAATGCAATTTTGTTAAGTGTATGTATGCATGGTTCTTATCTCGAAGGATAGAATGTGAACCAGAAATTAGATGGGGGGTTGCCACGTGGCATGCAGAATCTCATAGGATAGGTTTACCTAGAAAAATCAGAATTTGGTGGTTCACATTTGTCAGACCCAAACTACATGTCTTTTGTGGCTTACATTGGAACTGACACCACAAGAGAGATTCTTCTATGTTAAATGTTTCTTTACTTACTCCAAATATGAAACTGCTTGTGGGGACTATTGATCTTAGCTAGATGAAAAATTTCTCTAACAAATGAAAACTTGACGAATTGTAACAAAATCTGACTTTATTTCGTTTACAATTAACTTCAACTGTTCATGGGTTATGTATTAACAATTGTTAATGCAAGTTTGCCAGGAGTAGTTGAGATTAATTTACACAAGAATGTTAACGCACTTTTTAACATGTTTTTATTAACTGTATTTTTTTATTATCGATTAAAATTTGTTAAAAATTATAAAAGTATGAAAAAATATTAAATTAAAAGTGAAAAAAAGTAAAAAATTATAATTTTTAATATATTTTAATTAATTAAAAATATGTTAAAATGAATGTGTTCTATTATTTATCGTGGAAATAAGGGCCAGGAAGTTGTCACTGTTTAGTATAGCATACCTGAATGATCCAAACGGGAATTTGCAAGTTTTTCCATTTTTAATTTTTCTTGCTGACGTGGTATGTGGTCACGTTGAAGCTTATTTTCGAAGCTATTAGATACTAAATTTTAGGCTTAAATTGGTTTATGGTATTTATATTTGTAATGTATTCATTTTGATTTATACCATTTTATGCGTAATTTGTTTGAGTCTATCGATCAATTTATCCATCAAATCCAATGTAGGATGAAAAAAGAAAAGAAAAGAATAAAATCTAGTTTGATTACATTTTTAAAAATTATTTTCTGTTTTTAAAATTAAAATACAGTACAATTTATATTATATTTTAATTAAAAAAATTGTTTTTGAAAATGTAATCAAAGATGCTTTCGTGAAAAAAACAAATATAAGAAATTGAATTGAAATTTAAAAATAGGAAAATAATTAATTATTTTCGTTATTTTTTTAATCAAACAAAAGAATATGAATTATTTATATTTTTAAAATTTTATTTTCTCTCGTGGAAACAAATACTAAAAAGTTTTGATTGGGTGACAGGGAGATAGAAGCGTAGGGAAGCAAACAGAGGAACACAACCCAATTACCCCTCTTTCTAAAACCCTAATCAGTAAATCTCTTTTTTCTTTTCGTTCTTCTGCTTCGAAAACCCTAAGCTGAAGTTGTAGCTGCAACAATGGGGGGAAAGAGGAAGAAGAGCGAGGATTCAGGTAACGATGAGGTGGAAGAAGAAGAACAAAGTTCGAAGAAGAAAACCAGAACGGTGAAGAAGGAGCAGCTACTCCCTTCGATGATAAAGAACAAGGCGAAGAGATCGGAGGTGCACGCGAAGCTCAAGCGTCAGAAGAAGGTGGAGAAGCGTGCTAAGGCCAAGGATCGTGACGCTGCTCAGAAGAGAGCTCTCGAGCTCGGTGAGGAGGTTCTTCATTCTCCTTCTCCCAACAATTTCAATCGTTTTCTTTTTCTTTTTTTGGATGTTTCGTGTTTGCTTTGATATGTATCGGTTTCTTCGTGTTGTTGCAGCCTCCGGAGAAGAAGGTTCCTCGTACCATCGAGAATACCAGGGAATTCGACGAGACCGTTTGCAAGCCTGATGATGAAGAGGTTTTGAACTTAGATTATGCGCTAATTATTAGTGTTGAAAACGAAGCTTTGTTGTGCATTGTAATTGCGGAATTTATGTTACTTATTTAGGGCCTGTAAACTGTTAATAACTCCAGTAAGCTGTTATCAATTTATTCCAATAAGCTTCTTGGTGTAGTTTATTAAAATAAACTGTTTTTAGCTTATAGACTATTGAATCTGTGAATGAAATAGGAGGAGTGATTGTTGGGCAGATAACTTGTTTTTGATAAGGAGCTTTTCTTTACTACTTTGAATTCAAATTTGCATGCAGCATTGCAGCTAGTTGAACATTGGCTTTTTTCTTTTGAAATTATTTATGTCGACTAATGAATTATACTTGTTTGCAGTTGTTTGCTGGAAATGATGCCGATGAATTCAGTTCAATTTTGAATCAGCAACAAACTACTAAGATATTAATCACCACTTGCCGTTTCAATTCTAGCGTATGCTTCCTATGCCATTGTTTGTATTTTCCAGTTTGATGTAATACGTTTAAAAGCATAGGCCCCTTGCTCCTTAGTTTGTTTATGTTTTTCAGTTTCACACTTTTAGGAGTAGAGGAATGTTGAGAAAATCAGGTCTTCTTTATTGTACTGAATTATTTCCATCTTTTGGTTGAAATATGACTTGATCTGCAGAGGGGACCTGCTTTTATATCAGAATTGCTTTCAGTTATACCGAATGCACATTACTACAGGAGAGGAACCTATGATTTAAAAAAGGTACTGGGTGTCTCTTCCCCTTGTGACAGAACAACGTGGGGCTTGGCTTAATTGAATTTTTATTTCTAATTCCATTTTGGATTTCAGATTGTAGAATATGCAAAGAATAAGGACTTCACTTCTATTGTAGTTGTTCACACCAATCGTAGGGAACCAGGTTGGTGGTGCTTTCCAAGAAGATTCTATCTATACAAATTTAATATAGTTAAAGATGTTTTAAAGATACTTTATGCCTTTTTTCCTTAAGATTTCAAGGCAAGACATTTTTACCAGTTTTAATGCTTTGCCCTTGTGTATTGCAGATGCTCTCTTAATCATTGGTTTACCTGATGGTCCTACTGCTCATTTCAAGCTCTCAAAGCTTGTCTTACGCAATGATATCAAGGTGTGATGTTTATAAATATTATAATATATAGTATCTAGTCTTCGGATTGGTGTTGGTATACAATAATCTGCATAATTTTCAGTCGATGAACAAATAATTTCTCTTAAAATCTTAGAGAGAGGGAGAATGAATTTGTGTAATGTTAAGTCTCAAAGTGCTCACTGTTTAAACTTTCTTTTGTCCCCTTCTCTTGCTTAATGTTCACTGTTAAAAAAAAATTCTTATAAGTCCTTCAACTTGTTACCAATATCAGATGAATTCCACTTACAATTCAAACAAAAAAGATTGGCAGATGATTTTATTAAGCATGCCATTTTTATGTTAATAAATGAATGATTTAATTTTTTGTTGCATTCATTTGGTGCCTCCTTGCAGAATCATGGAAATCCTACCAGTCACAAGCCTGAGCTTGTGTTGAATAACTTCACAACACGTCTAGGGCATCGAGTTGGAAGGTAACTCTTTTCTCTTATTCTATCTTCTACTTGTTAGACATTTATATGTTACTTGTAATGGTTTTTTCTATAATTTTGTTATATTCAGATGCTAGGGCTGATTGATATAGTTTTGTATTTCCTGTCAGTTATTTTTATAAAAATATATTATGAAGAAGAGAGGCAAAAATGAATCCAAAGCTTCCTTTCCTGTTTAGCTAATATTATTTTTCATTCACAAATATCTCCTCTGGTTCCTGTTGTTTCCATGTAATGATGGTTTGTATAATCTTTGGCCAATCATTGAAGTCTCCTTATATCTGGATTTATGTTTTTAATAGATTGATACAGTCACTTTTTCCGCAAGATCCAGAATTTAAAGGCCGACGAGTTGTCACCTTCCATAATCAGAGAGACTTCATATTCTTCAGGCATCATCGGTATATATACAAAAGGCGTACAGGCTTCTATATTATCATTTCTCTCTATTAGTGGTTTTCATTTCCTGACATTGTGTCATCTTCAATCAATACTTAAGGTACATTTTTGAAACCAAAGAAATTAAAAAGTCCGAGTCTAAAGGTAAAAAGGACAAGGATGGCAAGAGTGAGAATGTTCCTGAACAAAAAACGATTGCCCGTCTTCAGGTTGGTGTTGGCTCTTTCTTACTTGCTTTTCATTTACCGCCAGTTAAAAACTCAATAGCTGTTGTTGAGTACTGAATGCAAAAATCCATGTATCATATTTAGTTGTTATATATGCTTTCTGGTGCTTCTCATTGCTTTTCTTTGCGTGCCAAAACAAAAGTTGTAGTAGTGGTATAGTAGATGAAGTGGTTTGTCTTGCTGAGAATTAGATAATAGGCTGATGGTTCAGGCGGTTGACTTCTGTGATTTTGGGTGATCTTTGATCGGATGGTATTATGAAAGAGATACTAAGTAATGTTTTTTTTTTATCTCAGTTGTTTGTTATTTAATCTGTATGCACACATAGACTGTAGAGCATGGTAGTCAAAATCGCGAGTTAACACGTAAAATCGTACGATTTTAAGATCTGTCTCAGGTCCAACGATCCCGATCCTGGTTTGGAACTCGTTTTTGGTGGGATCTTTGGGATCGCACGATCTTCCTCGTGAAATCGTGGAATCTGCGATCCTGGGCGAGTTGTTTCTGCCCTATTTTTAGGGGTTTTTTTCACTCTTCTCTCCGATTTCTTGCCTCTTTGCAACCTGTGAAGCACACTTCTCTTCTTCCTCAGCACAGCAAATCTGTCCATTCCATTCTCTATCCTTTCAACTTCAAATCGCCTCTTTCTCCACCATTTTTGGATGCAACCAGGACTTTGCAACTTCATTCCTCTGTTCTGCGATCCCTATAGCTTTTGCTCCGATGACTATGTCTGCTTCGGCAACCTTGTCTGTGTCAGTGACTGCTCTGCACCGGCGACCTTGTTATAGCAGATAGTTTTGCTGTGGTGGCCATCGCAGCTGTATTTGCAGTCAACGTAGCCTAATTCACAGTGTGGCTGGAGTAAAAGTTGTTTAGGGTTTAGGGTGTTTTAAGGGTAAAAGCAAGACTTCTCATCATTTAAAAAAAAATTGGCTTTCCTTTTTTACCCTTAAAGTGGCTCTATTTTAAGTTTCTTTAAGGATAAAATAGTCTTTAGGGTTTAGGATTTATGAAGCAGATTTTAGGGTTTTTTAAGGGTAAAAACAAGACTTCTCATCATTTAAAAATAATTTGGCTTTCCCTTTTTACCCTTAAAGTGGGTCTGTTTTAAGTTTCTTTAAGGATAAAATAGTCTTTTATCAGAATACAATATTTAATCTATCTTTTCCCCCTCTGTTTCTGTTCTTAGTATCTCTGTTTTGAGGTGGGGTGGCTCACTTCTCTCATTTGTCCTTTGGTCTTTATATTTATACTATTTTACATGTATTTATATAATTTTGTAGGATCTTATGATTCGTGTTATGATCCTACGAGTTACGATTTTTTATTTCCTCTCTGATCCTACATAGAATCTCGATTTTAACTACCTTGCTGTAGAGAGTTAATTATCAATTTATGGCAGTAAAAAATATTATTACCTACATGTGAAGATATGATGCTTACATTAGAGATGGGTCAACTCTCTATGTGCTTTTACTTCCACTATGATCTACTGCTTCTAGTATTTGTGAAATCCTTGACTATTCTTAAAGCTGATTCACTCAGGTTTTGCATTAGTTGTATTTGTTCAGTTTTTATATTTCTAATGGCTCTAAACTTGCCTCTGCAACAATTTCACTTGAATGCAGGAATGTGGCCCTCGTTTCACGTTGAAGTTGATTAGCCTGCAACATGGAACATTTGACACTAAGGGTGGAGAATATGAGTGGGTTCACAAGGTAGTTTACTTGTTAACCAACTTGCTGTTTCAATTTTTTGGTCTAACTTTGTGAAGCATTTCTCAAGCCGCCCTAACTCGCTGCCTGTTGTTATTTTATTTTCTTCCCGTTTTCTCATTTAGCCGGAAATGGACACAAGCCGAAGGAGGTTTTTCATATGACTTATTTGGTATCATTGCATTTTGGACGTCATTTCTGCTGAATAGGTTTATCAAGAGGGTTAGTTATGTTGAAGTTGTTGCAGTCTTTCAACTTGTTTTTACATAATTCTGCTGTATTATTCTTTTTCTTTATATTTGGGGGCTAAAGTCCTGTCTTCTCTGTATACCAGTGAACAATTTTGACCTCAAATCAATTGATGGTTGGGGAAAGAGAGAACAAATTTACATGTTCCTTCTAAGCAATATGATTTGTTAACTTGAGATGATACGCTTCTTCCATATTGCTTCCCAATTTTCGTTCAGTTTTATTTATTTGCACTATTTGTGACGACTGATGAATTGATGCGCTGGGGGCTACTGAAGTCACAGAAATTATTGGCGTTGGCTATCCTTACCTTTGGATGAGAAAATTATGTGCAACATATTTCCGCGTTGCCACCAGAATCATGGTTGCGACAAGAAAGAATGCACTAGTACCATCGAGAGGTTTAACAAGTTATGTTTATTTTTACAATTAATTTTATAGTCAGTATTTTTTTTTTCAGAAAAGTAAATTTTCAATATTAAAAGTTGAAGACTTGTTTAATTTTTAAAATATTATTTATATTTCCAACTTCAATATTTTTATTTTATTATTCAAATAACTTTTTCTAGAATTTTTTAATATATTTTTAATGCAAATTAATTTTACCGTAATCTTTTTTTAAGTTTTAATGTTAGGTTTTCAATAACAATTCTATTAAAATTTAAAATAAACGAGGGGACGTTCGAATGGTTACTATTGAAATGTTAACATGTTTGGGTAAGCTTTCTTAGAGGAAACAAAATATGTAAAACTAATCAGATTTTAGAATCACTTTTAGAAGCACTTAATAAAGTAAAATTATTAACTGAAAATATTTGAGGACATTGATTTATATATATAAACATTTAAATGGCTGTTTTTATACAATAATTATTGTATCGATAGAGCTAATAAAAATCACTTTTTAATATATAATTATTAATATAAAATATGTAAATAGGGGTTAAAGTAAGTAGTTTTCTACAAAATTGCAAGAAGTGATGCAAAATGTGGCTTTCGCAATCATGCAACAAGATCATAAATTTGATGCAAAATCAATTTTTGCTTAAAAGTTGCCAACCATATTAACATGATTTTCAATTTCCACTTACAAACACAAGTTTTTCATTTAAACGTGGTTTTGATTGGTCCCAATGCCCTTATTCTTTATAACCCTGCCTTAAAAGTAGAAGAATGATGAAGGATCTTATCAAAAACAACTTTAAAGCATTACGATGTGATACAAAAGCTTGCCCTTAGTTAGGCCCACACGTTTAAGAATCAATAATCCTGTGTTCACGGATACACTAAAAAAAATATCAAGTTGCTGAGACTTGTAAGTTCACTTCATCTTTTGTAGATCTGTTTGGATCACGATATATGAAGGCTGATTATTGACCGACACATGAGATTTCCATATTCAATTTCGGAACACCACTTCATAGGATGGGTGGAGTTTATAATCAACTAGCAAGAGTTTGATAGAAAATAAATGATGAGGTTACTAATGTTGTGCCAAAACTTTGGTAAGAAAAATCTTAAAAATACACCATATAACATATTTTTTAAATAATATTTTTTAGTTTAAATTTATTAAAAAAAACAAAATTATGTAAATTTTATTCCTAGTTTAGCAAGTCTTAATACTTTTATAACTTTTAATAAATTTTAATCAATAATTTAATGATTCTCCCTTTGATAAAGTACAATTCCAACAAAATTCATCACAGAAAATCAAGGAAGATAAGACTGTCCAATCCATTGTGAATAAATAATAACAATATCTATGAAGATATTCATACCCTCAAGTAAATATTACACCAACACAATAACAGCACTCTAAAACAGATTCATATATAATGTATCACCAAAGACATATTTATAGTGCTTGTTCACGGGTGAGCCACAACTTATAGTCAATTGAGTATATCATGTCATTGGGGTTCATTATTTGAGTTATGTTGTATACCTATTTTAATTCTTCACGCAAGAGGTTGGTACGTTGCTGTGTATATATAACACCGACATTTTCAATTTGTACTTCATTCCGCGTTCCTTTAGATCGAGACTTGTGTAGGTATTAACACAACTTCTATAAAATATAAATTATAACCCAATCAACTAATTATGTAATTGTTTAATATAAAATAATGATGTATAAATTATTAATTGGTTTACTTTATACAACTCGTATGAACAAGGTTTATTCCCGAATTTGTACTTTAAATAATAATAAAAAGAAGGATCAGAAAGGGAAGATTAAAAAACTATTTGACTTGCGTTAGTGTAGCTTATAATATTCCTTTATTTGCGGGATGTAAAATAATGTGTATGCGTATAGCAATTAAAACAAAGAAAAAGATGCAACTCTTTTGGTTACGGGAAAAAATGCATGTTGATAGATTGAATAATGTTTTTTAATACATATTTTTGTTGTCACTTCATATTACATAGACTAAAAATGTGGTTATACGATGTTCCAATAGTTGTTCGAGCAACCTTTTCAAAGGCAAAATCAATGGAGTAAAGATTAGTCATTTTGATTTCTTTGATGTGAGGATTGTACATATCATTGTCATGCATTTATGCTCCTGATGGTATTTTTAGCCTTCAATTTTATGTACTGTAAGATAACTATTATGGCATATGATGGAGATGGATGACATTATTTTCAATTCCACCTCTTGCAGTAATCTATGGGCTAAAAAACTTTCAACTCATTTATTATTAATATTTTTAAAATATTATTTAAACAAACCCAAGGGTACATATAATGCTTTCGTTTTCAATCATAATCAAGCTACTATCATAGTTTTTGGCAGTGATTAAGGCGAGAAAAAAATTGTTAACTTTTTATGTTATGGGAAAGACTGCATAATATATAATAAGACATTATTATTTATGCAAATTTTATTCATTTTAATTTGTAATTTTTATCCAATGATATTGCTAAAAGACTATTAAATTTAAGAGAACAATTATTAAGTTAAAATTTTATTGACGATGGTTAAAAGGTCATATAGAGGCCGAACATGTGCATATGTGGTCAAATTTAGATGCAGTTTAATTAAAAAAAAATTGTTGGTAAACATAAATTTTCGCATGATTGATGATTAAAGTCTCATGTATAGAGTACAATCTCAATAAACCAACTAGAAATAAAGCAAAAGTACAAATATTTTTACTTTCATTAAAAGTTAAGAAAGGGTATATTTAGGTGTTTATTAGATCAATTTAAAAAAAAAAAGATATTGAAAAGACATTATTGTAGCTCGAAAGGACCAAAAAAAAAAAAAAGAATAAAGGAGAAAGAAAGAAAGTTTCATCAACATTTCATATGAGATGTGCATGTAAAATATAAAAATTATTTTGATGGTAATATTCAATGAAAGTTTATCAACATTAACTTTTAAAGACTTGATTATAAATTTTTAAAACTATAAGGACTCAGTTAAAAATTTTAAAATTATAAAAAATAAAAAACACAATGAAATTATAAATACTTATAATATAATTTTTTAATTCATTGTTAGCTTTATTATTAAGCATGCTAATCAATTATATTTATCTATATAAAAAAATTGAGACATTGAAAGAAGACCTTCTACGGTTAGGGTTAACTTAACCCTAACGTTACATTCAACCCACCCAACCTAGTTTCCTACGCAGACTACAGCCTTGACGTGCGGGTGAAGACAGTTACTTCGAGTGGATTAAGATAAAATACCAATTAATAACCTTAAACTGAAACTGATGGTTATATTATTAACTAACTAAATCTTAAGCTACTTTTTAAAATTATATATTTTTATATTATAAATATCTTTTATAAAAAATAATATGTTAAAATTAAGATTATTATAAGTGATAAATTTTTTTTCCTTAATATCTAATACAGCTGCATTTCAATAAAACTCAGACTCTACCCATTAACCCGAAATTTGAATCGTACATTTTAAATTTTAAAATTTGAAAAAATCATAGTTAATTTTAACTTGATAAAAAGGGTGAATCCCAATTGGGAAAGTTCTCGTTATTTTGAGGTCAGTGAGTGATCATGAATACGTGTTGCTAGATAAAGTGAAGTGTGGCCCCAACTATAACTACAGAAAGATTCCATTTTGAAGCGTCATCACCTATGAGCGAGCACACTGCTGTAACGCTGAAACCCCATCTTCTACTGTCTTGTCTTGTCTCCTTGTTCCATTTGCATTTTGCATTTTGCAATTTGCAATTTGCAATTTGCATTTGCCACACTCGCTAGATATATAATAATTACTCACCACAAGCCCAAAAAGGGCGGTGCCAAAACGAAAAGAAGAGATAGAATAGAAGAAGCTACATTTCATGCAATTCACTGATATCATCCCTTACCCATTTCATATTCCATCACAAAGCACATAAATTTACGTTGTTTCTGACCCGTTTTTTTTTACTGTGGCGAGGATTTTGAGAATGGTAGGTCATTCTCTCTTCAAAATTCATATAGTTTAGTTTGTGCTGAAAATGGTCTTTTCCTTTCTCTGATTTGATTTGAATTTTTTTTTGCGTGTTGGTGGTGTTGATTGGGGAAAAGGTGGGAAATTTTGAATTTTGGTGGGGGTTACTAATTTATACGAGTGGAATTTCAGGTGGTAGCTGCAGGTTCTAAGTTCAATTTGAGAAGAGGGAACGGTTCTTCTCATAACGTTATCAACGGTGATGGAGATCTTTCCAGAGTTAACAAAAGTGGGTGTTTCTCATCAATGGTAGAGGTGGATGGAGACCCTTTCTGTGTTTCATTCACCACTTTCAACATTCTGGCTCCAATTTACAAACGGATTGATCCACAGGTCTTGTCTTGTACTCTTTTCCCTTGGTTTTGTTATGTTCCTGCAATTCCTGTTACGTGAAGAGTAGTCTCAAATTGTGTGTTTTGTAAGGCTTCACTCTGAATTTGTTGTATTTTGTTGTAAGCAGAACCAGGGCCTAAGAGAAAGTGACTTCAGATCATTCTGGTTGGCCAGGAATGAAAGGATTCTGGATTCTTTGATTTCTGAATCATCTTCAATTATGTGCCTCCAGGTAGGAATTTCTCTCCTTTCTCTTTGGTGATGGAGAGAGTGCATTGTCTCTTGTGAACATGTATATATATCTTTGGTAGTGAATATATCAACACACGGATCACTGATTCTCTCCCAAGAAACTGTAACTCTTTCTAAACTATGATGTTTGTTTTGCGTTTAGGAATTTTGGGTTGGAAATGAAGAACTTGTTCACATGTATGAGGAGAGACTTGGGGATGCTGGATACCATCTCTTCAAGCTTGCTCGAACCAATAACCGTGGAGATGGTAAGTGTTTGCAGTGTTTAATTGCTTACAGTTACTAGTGGTTAGTGCTTCTGTAGGATTGTTTCATGCATTTATTTATTTTCCATAATCTAAAATATAATATGCTTTTCCGAGGATTTTTCTTGCTCTATGGCTCAAAATCTCACATGTATTATGCAGGTCTTCTTACTGCTATACATAAAGAACATCTAAGAGTTGTGAATTATAGGGAGTTGTATTTTAATGATTTTGGTGATCGTGTTGCTCAGTTGTTACATGTTCAATCAGTTGCCCCCTTTGTACAAAACCAAAAAGGCAGTTTTCACCAAGAGTTTCTGATTGTGAACACTCATTTGTTATTTCCTCATGATTCAAGTCTATCTGTAGTGAGATTGAATCAGGTATGTGAACCCAGCAATTTAAATTCATTTGTGATTTTTGTAGCTAACTTGCTTTCAATCCTTAAACTAGACTTTCATTTGCCTTCTTGTAGGTTTACCAAATATTGCAATATGTAGAATTGTATCAGAGAGAAAACAGGCTCAAACCTATTCCTATTATACTTTGTGGGTGAGTTTATTGTTTGATTTTTCCTGTGATGGTGTTTCTACTGGAATACATGTCCTTATAGGGTGGACTTCATGTTCTATCTAAAGCAGTGATTGGAACGGAAGCAAGCGCGGGCATGTATACAAGTTCCTTAGGTCACAGGGGTTTGTATCATCATATGATATTGCCAATCAATACAGTGATAGTTATGCAGATGCCCACAAGGTAAATATCCCATTATTAGATAAAATTGTACATTTGCTTTCTTGGTACTAAAAGCCTACTGTTAATAGATTTTTGTTTTGCTCGAATTTTTATGTTCCCATTTGTCCTGCAGTGGGTAAGTCACCGGAATCATAGAGGAAATATCTGTGGTGTTGACTTTATTTGGCTTTGCAATCCTAACCAATCACGTAAACCCTTGAAGACAAGTTGGGCTGAAGCTGTATTTAGCATACTAAAAGTGAGTGTCACTCACTTAGTGTAATATAGTTTTGGCTCTTTTTGTATTATTCCTAAAAGATAAACAATAATTCTAAATCTTCCTACAAAATATTCCTACTAATCCTCCTATTTACTAAATAAAGAAAATATTGAATGACTAATAGGTTTGCAATACATTGAATGTATTTATTTTTTCATTTATAATACTTTTTTGTAAGGTATTAGGAGGATCAATGTGAGGATATTGTTAGAGATATAACATTTCTGCTTAGAAGCTTAGTAAACAATGCTGATGGACGCTTTGAGTTTTGTGGACCTTCATAATCACAAGACTCCTTTTTTGTTAAGAAGTATTGAGAATATATATGCATATATGCATGACCATTTTAGTTTTGCATCTGATACTCTATATTTCTTACTTTATTTTCTTTTGGATTTCAGTTCCAGTTACGAAAAGCATCATTATCTGAAGATGATGCGTTTGCCTTTCTGAAGGGTGATAACTATGCTGATTCTGTGACGTATTTTAGTTTCTCTGAAGCACTCCGTCAGGTACTCGTTACCTGTTAATATGTGATGATATAAAATTCTAATGGCAATAGGCCACCAGCTTGTAACTTGTTACCTTCAGAATTCCCATTGTGGGATGAAATTCCATGTGCTGTGTGTGTTGTGGTTTGTTTGGATCATATTTGAAGTTGTAAAAGCATTTTTGCATTGGGCAAAAAAAATTGTAAAAGTGAAAACTTTTATTTTGTTTTGTGGATTAGATTTGTTCTGGATATAAAACTCACAAACTAATATCCATATTCATGCTTCAAAAGTGATTCTACCTTACCATCCAAACAAAATCAATTCTTTTAAACTCATCTTTTAAAATGTTATCTCCAAATACAGAACTTAGTTTTTTTCAGCTCAATTCTTTCAACATCAATTCTACCAAAATTTGAAGAAACCAGATACTACTCTGACTTGGGTGCAACGTTGAAGGCCCAAACTTTCATGACATCCCCTTCTTTACTCCCTACTTAGGTGTTTGCATCTCCTATGTAACAATAGAAAAGGTCGCAATAGACTTTACATCCTAACTTTTTGCAGGTAAAGTTGATTGGAGTGCCTTATGGACTATGCTTTCAACAGTTGCAAGATCTATGGAATCAAGCAGACGTTGATGGAAATGGTGTCATTGACTTTGAAGAATTCAAGGTACATTGTACATGTCATCATCGTCATGTTTAACTTTTTCTTGTTGAAATCTACAAATATGCATGCACTTGCGTGTGCCTAATGCAGTGTGCATGAATGTTAAAAGTTTTGTTAAAGATCATTAGTAATTGACCTTGCAGCAGAAGATTTGGAGTTCAACATGTCTGGAGCATGTGTTGGAAAATTTCAATGGGTGTATGGAGGATGCTAATACTGAGCCGGATCATGAAGCCATCGGTTTTAAGGTGAATAATGCAATGTTGTATCCACGTGAAGTGGAGAAAGGACTGTGGCCAGAAGATTACTCTCTTTCTGATCATGCTAAACTCACAGCTGTGTTTTCACCAGCAAGGATGAGATGTTCAGGGTCACAAAACTGTAGCTAGCTACTTCGTGGCAGTAATAGTATTATTTTAGACCCTATTAGAATTAACCAAAAAAATTGTTGAAATATTGAGGTATAGCCTACAGAAAATATTCAATTTTAGGATAAGTTTGGTATAGGTGTAAACAAAAGTGATCATTTTTCACTTTCATTTATAGTCCCATACCCATACCAAACATGTTATTCCATTAATCTGTCTTGTATATGCACTGTGTGGAGTCAAAAGTAGTGTATGGTGTACTCAGTTTTGGTAAGCCCTGGCCATGTTTTTTCTGGTGATGGGATAACAGTGTAGAGATATTTTTGCAATGTAAGAAATGGATGTGTATATTATCTCCTTCACTCATTGTTTGGATCTAGAGAGTTGGAAAGAGGGGGAAAAGGTCTATGACCCACATAGTTGATTTAACCCAGCATCCTATTCATAGTTAGGCTGCACCTAATCCAACTACCAACGTGTATTGTTAACCATTATATGGAAGAGTAATTTTATGTCTTATAATATTTTAAGTATCTATGTATAAATTTATAAGAATTTGTTTGATTGTGGTCTTATATTAATAAACATTTGTAATTTTTTCTTAAACATACATAATAATATAGAAGAGAAGATAGGTATATTAGGTGGTAAAAAAAATGCTAGACTTTATTTTATATTTAGAGTAGATTATTTAAACTTCCACTCTATCATGCATTTGTTATATAAAATTCATTTTATTTATAAAGGTCGGGCGTGTCTATTGTAACTCTTTTAAAATAAAATATTTTGTATTGGTTAATTAAATTAATAATATTATTATTTAAGTTAAAAATTAAATAAGGAGTGATAATAAACATTTGAGAGTGACAATAAATATTTTCATTTGATGATTTACGTATGAGAAAATTGTATGTGTACAAATTTGAATATATAATAAAGGAAAATATAAAGATAAAAGAGAGAAATATAACAAGAGATGATTGATCTGATAAAAAAAGTAAACATAAAGTTTTTTATAAACAATATATGAATAATATAAATCTTCGCAAGTTTATCAATTAGTGATCAACCATTATTTATTTCTTTTTAAGAGCTAACAAAAAAAAATACTCTTATCATTACATGTTTTGAATCGTGCATTTTTTTTACTATACATAAACCTGCTTGTATTGGACATTTGTTTTTGGTCAACAACTCACACCGTATAATGGAAAGCCATTTATAAGAACTTTAAGACCTTTCCCCCATTCTCTAGGCCCAGAAAGTATAAATACAGAAAGAGTGAGAGTCCATTGCATTAATTCTTGAACGAAATATGGGTGATAATTTTGAAGTGCTGATAACATTCTTTTTTAATTAAATTAAAGGTTTATCTTAATGATTACATTAATTTTTTAATTTAGCATAAAAGTACTAAGATACTATACTAAACTTTTCTCTTAATTGTTTAATCAGTTACTATCTATAATTGTTGAGTTCATGAATGCCATCACCACTTGGAAGTTAGCATGCTCAAAAATCTTGAAAAGAAGCTCCCTTTATGATCATCATATTTTATCTATTGACTATAAGTCAGACATTATGAGTTCATTTTTAGATCATAGTGGGGAGCATAACAAACCACCAAAAGATACTAAAAGGGCAAAGAATTGAAATAGTGGGCCAAGGAAAAATCTTGGGGATCAAAGTTAAATAATAATAAGTCACAAATCAAATTATTGGCTCTCTGCATTTTGATGAGTCACTAACTCATCTAGAAAATTAAAGATTTTTGACATATTTTATTGGATTTAAATCATAAGTTAATGCAATTAATTGAAAAATTCGATAAAATGTTCCAAGTACTAGAAAATTTAAATAGATTATTCATATTCTGATGTTGGCAATTGAATTTTTGAAGAAAATTAAACAAAAAGTGGCAATTGAATTAAAGAGCGAAAGTTAAGTACTGCAAGACACACTTTGTGGAGACATGAACTTTCGAGTGTGGGGATACGATACTGATAGAACTTATAAAAAGCATAATTTTCTGAAAAAGACAGCATCTTGAAACTTTTTATTTTTGGTCTTTTTGTGTTTTTCAAGATAGAATTTTTAGGTTTTCTAACATTTCTCTTCAGGGAATATTGGCTAGGTCATTCCTTTCCTTTCATTACTAGGATTTAGATGAAAGATATGAATATCCTTTCTTCGTTCTTCTTTACTTTGTAATGAAACAGTAGCTTTTTCATTTCTATTTGCTATAAGTTTATCTGTTGAATATGACTCTTATCTTTTCAATATATTTTAGTTTGTTTCTTTTTATTTCCATTACGTTTTGTTAAATCTCTTGGGGTTGAGTAAAGATGAACTTATACCTTTATTCATTGCAATGAATTAAGCATTGTATGTGACTCAAAATAGAAGCTTTAATCTAACTTTTTAATTCTGAACTTAATGTTTCGCTGTTCTATGTGAATGAGGTTGATGAAAAGGATTTCATTGCTGGAAAGTTGTGGACTTTCTTAGATTGGAGTTAAAATGCTTATTATGAATTGTCTAGGAATAGAAATTTATGATAATGTGGTCATATAAGTTTTATCCTTAATGTTGAACGTTTTTAGTTTACCTAAGGAATTAGAAGATTAAAAGTCGTTTTAGAACCAATTGCCAAGAGATTGGAGTTAGATAATTTAGATAACCTGACCATTAGATTGACTATATTTTGAGTTACAAGTATATTTTAAGTAAGGAGAAAGGGATAAGAGATTCTAAACTTAACCCATTTATTAATCTTTGTAAAAAATCATTTTCTCTACTTGAGTTATTTACATTCTGCAGTCCTGTTAATTATTTTCTGAATTAAATTTTGTTTTTGTCCATTTATTAATTTTAATTTCAGCACCTTTACTTTCAGTTTTACAATTCTGTTGTGTTTAATTTCGTACTATTATATATACTTTGTTTTTGGTTACCCAACTAGTTATATTCTAGTGGTTTGATACTTAACACTTATCCCTGCAGACGATAATCTTTGTAACTTCAACGATTTGGTACACTTGCCAAAGAATTTTATCACATTTCATCTAATTAACCACATATTACCTATTTTGCCTCCTTAGTTTGATTTGAAATTTATTAACAATTCTGCATCAGGGAAAAATAACAGTGTACTAGAGGATGTTATAAATAGAATAACCACTAATTGAAATATTAAATAGTTAGATTTTAATCATTACATAATAATTTATTACATACACATTTATTCAATATAATCTTAATTATTTTATTATAACTCTTTATTTTATTCTCGAAAGTTAGTCCTTTGTGCAAATGAGGTTTGTTTTTTGTCAACATAGTTCAAAGAAGGTAAATATCCAGATCAAATGCTCTATAGTCGAGTATTTCAAGCAAATCCCATAATTAATTAATATATAGTCATTAATCTTCAATTACATTGACTCATAACATTTATAACCTCCTGCCCACCAATATTTTGAAAGTAATAATTGAAGAATTTTTATAAATTAAATTGTTTCATTAGAAAATGTTAAAAATTATGAACATAAATATATTATTACTCTTTTAAATTTTTTAACCATTATCTTAAAGATAATTGTTAGTATTTTGTAAAAACAAAAAGTTAAATAACCTTAAATCCATTTGAGTTTGAGTGGAAGTGACTGGCGAGTTGTGACAGAAAGAAGATTCTTATTCCTACGCGGCAGTATTAGTTCAGACACTTTGCTACGTATCCAGACATGCCTCCTATACTACCTGCTGCTTTAGCTTACCCACACTTCAATTATAGGTCAAGCAAAAGGCATATTTATGGCTTAAAGCAATTTATTGTCTTGCATTCTGTGAAAAAAAATAATTAATGCAAATAATGTAATTATGATTTAAAATAAATAAAATAATATGAAAAATAATTTTTTAACATTAGTATAAATTTAAAAACTCTTATATTTAATTTAAAATTTTTATTTAACTTACATTTAATAATTAACGAAGTAATAAATTATAACTAGTTAGATATAAATTAAATAAAATATTTAAATTGAGTGTAAGAATTTTTAGACTGATAATTAAGTAATAAATTATAACTTGTTAAATGTAAGAATTTTTAAATTAATAAGAAGATCATGTTCATGCATGCATATATATATATATATATATATATATATATATATATATATATATATATATATACTTGAATATATCCTTTCTTGATATAATCTCTAACCAACTTTTTAATTATGGGTTAGTTTTGAACTTATAATTAATTTATTCACTAAATTGTTTTAAATACAGTGAAGATAAAAAGAAAAAAGAGGAGGATATAAACGACATATTCGTATGTCTTTTGTCCTTGGCGATAACTTCTGAGCTAAGCTGAAAGGAGGAGACTCTTGTAAACTTTCAAAGTCAGTCAATGCCTTTGCCTTTGCATTACAAATTCAGATTCACTCTCATTAGCCAATCACACAACACGCACTCTCTCTTTCCTTTCTTTATTCCTTCAGTCTTCTTAACACATTCCTCATTCTCATTCATCCTTTCTTTCTCAATTGCAAACTACAAGCACACTAGTTAGTTAATTGGTGTAGTGTTGAACATAGCAAAAGCAATGGCAAACATTGTTTCCATGCTGGATTGTGTGCCTGTAGGATTCAGATTCCGTCCCACAGATGAAGAGCTTGTAGAGTTTTACCTCAAACACAAGTTGTTGCATGATGATTTCCCTGTCCACATCATTCCTGAGATCGACCTTTGCAAGGTGGAACCTTGGGACGTACCAGGTAATGTACCCTTCATCATCATGCAATAAAAAATTGTAACTTTTCTTGTTCTTGCCTTTGTTTCAATGTTGTTTGATTCTCTTTTTTTTTGTTTCATCAGCAAAATCAGTGATAAAATCCGAAGACCCAGAATGGTTTTTCTTCAGTCCTATTGATTACAAGTATTCAAATAGTAAAAGATTTAACAGGACTACGAAACGTGGCTTTTGGAAATCCACTGGAAAAGACCGTCAGATTAAGACTAGGGGAACCAACAATATCATTGGGTTCAAGAAGACTCTTGTTTTCCATAATGGTCGTGTCCCTGGTGGTGTCAAGTCCAACTGGGTTATTCATGAATATCGTCGTGCTGTTAACTTTCCTGAAAGCCAGGTTTTTTTCTTTTGTTCAAGAAACTTTAACACTAATTGGTAATCATCTTTGGATGTGTTTGGGTAAACAGCTTAATTAAATGTTTATTTAATACGTTCTTATTGAATAAATTTGATCAAGCAGGATGATTTATATCATAAATTTGATCACGGAATTTATTGAGATAAGGTAAAAAGAGCTTATTTTGATCAGATATCAACAAGGTTATTATTGATCAAGTTAAAAATAACTTGAGTCATAAATTATTTCCATGACCATTAGTTCTGCGCCTCCTTCATACTATATTTTTTGTTGCTATAGTATGTAACTTTTCTGGCTTTGATATTATTTCCTTTCCTATTGGATTGAATGTTCTGATGGTAGAACGTTATTGGATCCTTTGGTTGAATCCTTTGTTTTGTTTTGTCCTGTCATACTCTGTTCATGAACCAGTTGTCACAATTTGGCCTTCCTTGATGACAAAGGAGCATCGGGAAAAGTTTATTTGAGCTTATAAAAGTGGTTTAGAATCTTGTGAATTTTTTATTTTAACTTATTTCGATAAAATTTACTAGGAAACTTATCAAAATAAGCTCTTTTTTCTTTTTAGTTTATTCCAATGAGTTCCCGGATAAAGTAAGTTCTCACATAACGAACTTTCATTAAATCAGTATTTAAGTTTTTTACCTGAACGTACTCAATATTCATCATCAGTTTTCGTCATAGACTGTCAATTTCTGCTACATAACTTCTATTGAGAAAATAAATGTTATTTTGCTGCATGCCCATACCACCATGTCATTCTTTTTAAGTTTTTGCTGCGCATACAGCTGTTCAGGAAATAAGGGTCGGGTTGTTTACTGTTGTTTGCTTTTAAAAACTTTTTTTTTTTTTTTTTTTTTCTGATTTCCTGTTATCTGTGAAATTGTTTTGAAATAAATCAAATAAATCTTGATTATCCTCAAAACTTTCCAGAGGACTTTTGTTTTATGTCGCTTGATTAAGAAACCAGAAAAAAATTCTGAAGGGGGAACCAATGCACTGATCTATGATCAAGGAGAGTCCAGTAGACACATGGCCTCTTCTGACCGTGAAAATTGGGCATCAGAAGAAGAATTTTCACCTGTAAGAAGAAGCATCCTTGATAAACACATTTACACTTTTGCTTCTAAAACCTGCTTAGAACTGATACTTGTTTGATATTTGTCTCAGCTAGGTGCTTTCCCTGACATAAATATGGAAAGAATCTTTGATGAAATACATCAGACACCGCTATTCTCCCCCCCAGTACAACTTGATATGCAAACTCCATTTGAAACTACTGAAGAAGAAGATGATTTCTTTAATTCAATTTGGGCTCATGAAAATTTTACAAGTGAAGAAAGCAAGCATGCTTTTGTCACTAGTTCTACCCAGTCAGAGTCATTGAGAAGGGTATTCAATGAAAGCAGTGACACAGATGCTGAAGTTGTTTCTACAATGGTAAAGATATATTGTACAAACTAAAGTCCTAATGATATTGGGAGGGTATCTGCATTTGTTTTTGAACTATTCATTGGTTCCACAGGTTAACACCATGTACACTGTTGATGTTTGTTTTGCCACATTTTTGCATTGTTTAGTGATTTTCTCCTATAGATTCTGAAAAGATACTTGGGTGAAATGTCTGTTCTGGTTTGAGTTGGTTTTGATGTTTTGTTTTGAGGGGAAATGTCTGGTCTTGATGTTTTTCCCGATGTATTTTTGGAGCACTTTAAAATTTGGCTTTTTCCATTTACTTTCTTCTGAAATTATTACAGCACGGCAATATTGTGGATACTTCCGGAGTGTGTAATGAACATCCTAGTTCAAGTGAATACCATGTCTCAAAAATGTTTAAATCAGCACATGGTTCTGTCCACGGTGGCGTGCATCTTCTATCTTCTAACAATGAAGCAAACAAAGGGAAAAAGGACACTGTCATTCGAGATGATTACTGGGCAGCGGAGACATCATCTTGTGACTCGAATGGAAATAAACCTTTAGAGATCAATTGTATTGAAATTTCTAGCTCTCCTTCCACACTAAGAAGATGGAAAACTCCACATCATCCAAGATCGGAGAACTTCATATCAGCAAGAGCTGTTGCAAGAAGATCTCAAACACATCGAAAGGTTTCAAACAAAGCAGTACACCATGTTGAGGTGAGAAAAACCAAACAGCCGAACTAGAAACTGGAGAATCGTGTCTCTGACCAAATAAGCAGACTCTTCATTTGAAGCCAATTTCATTTTAACATACTAGTCATAACAACATGTTCCATGTGATTTGTTTTGCAGGATCTGAAGGAATTGACTGTTGTGGAATCAGGAAAAGATCTGAACAATGCTCAAAATTCAAATTCGAAAGAGAATTTTCAAACTAAAAGGCATCAATCCTCTTATGTCAATAAAAAAGGTTCTTTCATCTTCTTGGAGACACCTTCATCATGCCAAAGCCTAGTACCACGCTCGGTATATCTTGTCAATGTAGTTATAGGGATTGTGTTGCTAATAGTGATTAGTTTGGATGTATTATCATGTTAGAGGTACTGGTAGTGTGTACGAAGGGCTGGTGAGTGTACCATGGTTCCTTCTCGCGAGGTGCTGGAATTTCATCATTATAAGATATGTAATGTGTATGGTTCACATGAAGTTTTCATTGATGCAAGCTTACTGCATCTTTCTTATCATAATGAAATATCTATGGTTACTACTTGTAGCTTTTTCCATTGTCATTAATTTTGCATTGCAATCTTGATACCTGTATAATCAAACTATGGAGTGAACGCCTAAATTGTTTGTATAAAGATTAATATGTGTCAATGTATTAATCCTTGGATTTTTTTATCACCGAACTAGTCACTCAAGGATATCTAAAAGTTACCAATCTTGTCCTTTTACGTCTCATTTTAATTCCCCGTAAGGATAGATGTGGTGACATTTTTAATCATTAAGGGATTAATCTGGAAACATTGCAATATTTGGAAGACCACTTCAGGGGTTTACTCCTTAAATCTTTGATAATGTGAACCTTAAGTCTTAAACAAATATATCTCGTTATGGGAATTTTGCTGAATTTTAGTGAGATGAGCTTTCATATTTGTAGCTAAACTAGTTGGTATTGTAGACTGTAGAGTCATACAGACAACATATCTGAATAAGCCTACGCTGTTTGATGCTGTTCAAAATATGCTTGTATGTGTCAGGTCAGTTGTTCAATATGTAGTCAGCATCAGGAACTCATTTTCTTTTTCAATGAAGATCTGTAACTAAATTATAACAAAAATGATTGAAAATGAACATTAGCTGGAGTTCTAGATAAAGATACTCTTTTGTCCGCTAAAAATATTTTTGTTCAATGTCTGAATCCGCCTAATTGAAAAATATCATTCAGTAGAACCTAACCTAACCAAAATCATTTATTTAATGAGCATTTTTATGATACAGAAGTCTGATATATTCAATAAAACAAGCTGAAGTAGGCTACACACAAGTTGCAACAGTAGAAGAATGCCTGGCCAAGTGTGAAAGGCTTCAATTTCTTACGTAGGAACAACTACCAGAGGCTTTTCTAAGTGTCTTGTATTACACAGCTACACTGGTCTGAAGGAAAAATTATATTAGCTGATAATTCAAGTAATAAAAGAATTTAATTTAACCATAGAGTCGTAACAATAAATTTAAACTAAACAAAAAGCATTTAGATTGCAATTCTTGAATTAATGACTACGGAAAAAGCTACCACTTCCTGTATTAACTATTTCGTTATGATAAGAAAGATGGAGCAAGTTGCATCATTCTAAGACAGTGAACTTTGCTTTATGTATCTCATCATGATGAAATTCTTAAAAACAAAGACCCAGAAGCAGCTCTTCTCAGGTGAAGTGAAACCTTCTAACCCCACTTCTCTTTTCCTTACAAGAACATAGCTTCCAATATATAAGCTTCTCATATACTGATTATAGAAAGGGAAACAGTGAGAATTGGTAGAATATTGCAGAGACTGAAGAGGAGTGTGAGGAGGAAGCTTTCAGTTTTAAGTTGAAAAATAAAGTTATCTTCATAGTGTAAATCAACAAAGGATTATGGTGAGAAAACTGGTTTGATCTTAATCATGCTCAGTTAAACATAGTTTTCTGCGGCAAGGATGTTTATGCTGTATCAAAGATGCATTTTAAAAACCCATTAAAGCACGATTTTTTAAGGATCCCATTTGTATTTTGTATATGTTCCCAACTTTGACCAAATTTTCTGTGACCAATATTAATGAGTCTTGGCCAATTTTTCAGTTATGAGGAGACATTTTATGGAGATATGAGTTGTAACAAGAAATGCTTAATCATAATATAAAATTCTAAATATTCGTGTGAATATTTCCTTTTATCATGTGACTTCAATAGGCCATGCATACACGCACATTTTATCTTCTTTGAGATGAAGGAGAAAGAAAGGAAATCCACTTACATAGACTTGAAAACCCAACCCTGCTCCATTTCACCAGCTAAAAGGTAAAGGAAATCAAGATAGGAAGCAATATGACATAACTCTTTAAACATTAGTCACATAGTCATTGCCTCTATTTTCATTTTTATTTTTTCAGTCTTTTTGGTTCGCTCTTGCAACACAGGAATTAGGCATAACCTTACACTACCAGTCAAGTTGTATCTTTGCTGAATCTTGAACCTTTAGTAATATAGTATTTGCTTATCCTTTGACATAATGAGATTCTATCTTTTAGAAGACATTAAATGGTGGGGAGCATAACAAACTACCATTAAGAAAAAGCACCTTAAGGACAGATCGATTGAATGACTGGAGATTGTGGGGACCAACAGAGAAAATTGACTCAAAAGATTAGATTTTTTGTTGTAAGGAAATGGAATGGACAATGAGTTGTGTGCAGAGCAAGTCTTTGTGTGTCATAAATTCATGCTAACATGGGTAAGTCTACACTCATAGATCCCTCAAATGATAATTTTTTTTTTTTCTCTTAAAGATTCTTTATTTTTTAAATAATGAAGAGGTTTAATGTGACAGTTTTTTATCGTTAACATTGCTTTTATTTTGTCAGTTACAAAGTTTGGTTCTTGCCTCATTCCAACATTATAGTACAGACCAATGGTGTGGAAAGCAAAAGCGCGTAGATCTCAGTAATCTCTTCGATGAATAGTTGTGTATATTTACTTTTATTTATGAAAATAAAAATATGAACTATTTTCTTTAATTAAATAATCCTTCATTTCTCTTAATTTTAAGCGTAAAACTTCAAATTAATCCTTGAAAAAAAAGAGACACTTTAATATTTCAATCATTTTCCCTCCATTCATAGCTCGTAATTAGTTCATAAAAAGTAAATATTGTGCTAACTTAATCCTTAATAAAGCTATTCACAACCTAAATTGGTCTCGAAAATGTTAATTCAAACAATACAAGGATTAGTTAAAAAAACTAGATGTTTTTTTTAAGTTCAAAGTATTGATTATGTTTTTCGATTTTCAAAAGCTAATTTGTGAATTGTGTTGAAATGCATTAAAAATTATAGGAAGAGGTTTCTTTATTATGTTTTTTAACAAATTAAAATTCAATTTTATTTTCTTAGGACACTGAACAGCATGTACCTTTTTTTTTCGTTAAGTTTTCTATTTACTTTCTTATTTTCCCAAGCCAAGGAGAACATAAAAGCCATTTACGCGGATTCTAAGGCCTTGCACCCATTTCCACGTCCTTAAAAATAAAAGTGGGAAAGAATGATTGAGTCTATTGCCATAAATATTTATTCACCTGCTGAATTCATCTAACTTCCTTGAAAAGAAGCTCAAATTTTATAAGAGTAATTCTAAATCATTATATCATTTATTTCTATATTTTTCTTAATTATTAAATAAAGAAAGTATTTAATATATTTTATATTTTTAAAATAATAAATACATAAATTTTATAATTTGATACTCATTTTATAAAATAATAAAAATATTATGATGATAAATAAGAAGATACAGCAAAAATCACTTTATAATCATTTATTTATCTATTGACTATAAAGTTGAATAGAATGAAATATTTTTCTAGATCATTCAGATGGTAGTAGTGGGGAGCATAACAAACCCCCAAAAGATAGCAAAAGAAGCATAGAAATTGGCTAAACAAGATTCTGCTTTCTGTCGATTGAAAGAGCAAGGAATTGAAATTGGTGGGCCAAAAAAGAAACTTGGGGATCAAGAACGAAACAGTAAGACACGAATCAAAGTACGATAGGGTGTGTAAAATTGATTTTAATAAAAACTATTTTGAAATTTTGAACGTAATTAAGATGAGTGATTAATTTAATTTTAATCATAAATTTATGTTAAAATATTTTTTTTTATTAAAATGTACTCCTTTTCTTATATATTTGTTAGTCCTTTTCTTAATCCTTATAAATAAACTTTAAAAACTAATCAATTTGAAATAAAAGAAGAATGAAAATAAATTTTTTAATTACAAAACGAATAGATTTTATTTACAATAAAGTTAGCCATGTTAATTTTTTTATTTATTAGATTGATTTAAAAAGTAATAATTGTTGAGCTCCATTAATAGAAACTCGTAACAAATTACAAGAAAAAGCTCTTATATTTTCATTAATTAAAAATATTAATAAGATAATCTACACTACTAGAATTAATTGATTGGAGTTGTTTCAGCTTAATTTATAATTTTAAATTTAAATTACAATAAACATAATTATGTTAAATAATTAAAAGAAAGACTTTATTTTCCATATTGATCTACCCAAGTTAAATATTAGTTCAATAAAAAGTACATATAATATAAAATATTTAGTGATTGCAATGAGGTCATTAGTCTTGGTGATAGAGACTCGTAACGGCTTATATACCTAAAGAATGATAAAATATATGTGAAATAAACTTTTGTCCACATCATAGAAAGTGAACCATGCAAGGGTTGTGTGAGGAACAAGAAGATTCTTTTTCTTACGCGGTATTAGTACGGACACTTCACTACGTATATCCAAACAATGCCTAAAAGCATCCCACTTCATATATTATATTAATATATTAGTTTCCTATATATTATTATATTAGTTTTAAGAAAAGAAAAATAGAAAAGGAAAAACAATTCATACACTACAAGACAGTTTCCTATGTTTTTGTTTTTGTTTTTGCTTTTGTATTTTCCAACGATAACTTGTGAGCTAAGTTGATCAACTTCAAAGTCAGCCAATAAATACCTTTGCACTACAAAGGGAGATTCAAGAGCCAATCCACAACACAAACACACACTCCCTTCTTTCACTGTCCCTAGTTGATTGTGTTGATCAAAACAAAAGCAATGGAGAACACAGTTCCCACGCTGGAAAACGTGCCTATAGGATTCAGATTTCGTCCAAAAGATGAAGAGCTAGTGGACCATTACCTCAGACACAAGTTGTTGGACGATGAAATCTGTGTGAACATCATCCCTGAGATTGACCTTTGCAAGGTGGATCCTTGGGAAGTGCCAGGTAATGTACCCTATAAAAATTTGGCCTTTCTGTGGTTTTTACCAATGTTTCAATGTTTTTTTATTCGTTTCAAATTGTGATATCAGCAAAATCAAGCATAAAATCCGAAGACCCAGAATGGTTTTTCTTCAGTCCTGTTGATTACAAGTATTCAAATAGTAAAAGGGTTAACAGGACAACAAAGGGTGGGTTTTGGAAATCCACTGGAAATGAACGCTACATCAAGGAAAAAGGAACCAACAATGTCATTGGGACCAAGAAGACTCTTGTTTTCTATGAAGGCCGCGTTTCTCATAGTGTCAAGTCTAACTGGGTTATCCATGAATATCATCATGCTGTTACCTTTCTTGAAAGCCAGGTTTGTTTCTTTGGTTCAATAAATGTTAAGTTTAACTCTTTTTGGACTTTGGAAATCATCCTTGTAATGATATTTTTTTGTCAGTTGAATGGTTAAAGCATGGATTTTTCAGGCTTTGATATTATTTCTATGTGACTGGTTGTTCTGACATTAGAAGGCTATTGGATCCTTGTTTGAATCCCATGTTTGTATTTTGCTTCGTACTTTATTCATGACCAAAATTCTCAGCTTGATTTGTTTGGTGATGAAATTTACCATCGGTCTTCAAGGAAAACTGTCAATTTCTAATATTTAACTTTTTTTGAGATGACATTTTCTTTGAACTGAACTTATGGTTTTGCTTCATGCCCGTACCAAGCCATTCTTTTTTTCAGTTATTTCTGTGAATAGAACTGTTCAGGAAACAAGTTTCTGATTTGAAGCATTAGCCTTATTTATATTATAAAAATTGTATCAAATAAATGATTATTATTATTCAAATTTTGCAGAGGACTTTCGTTTTATGTCGCTTGATGAAGAAAGATGGCAAAAAAGATGAAAAGGGAACTGATGCATGGATCTGTGATGAAGCTGATCCTAGTAGAAACATGGCTTCCAACTACGAAAATCAAGTAACATCTGAAGGAGTTGCAGATGTAAGCAGAAGCATCCTTGCCGGACATGTTTGCATTTCTGTCGTGTGAAACATGCTGAGAACTTATCTTTGTTTCAGGTAGGAAGTACTTTGCCAGAAATGAGCATGGATACAATCTTTCCGGCGATGCAACAAGCAGAGAAATATTTCCCTCAAGAGCAACTTTCTCCGATTGCAATTGAGCAGAAAGCATCTTTCACAAACTCCCCATTTCACTACAATGCCTATTTTGAAAATGAAAACATTATTATACAAACTCCATTTGAAACTATTGAAGAGGAAAATGATTTCATTAGTTCTAGGTTAGTTGATGATGTTTTTGTTATCAACAAAGAAGATAAAGAATATGTTTTTGTCAACAGTTCTACACAATCAAAGTCATTGAAAAGAGTACACTGTAAAAGCAGTGAAGTGATACAGATGCTGAAGTAGTCGCTGCTGTGGTAAGATAAATTGTCTAAAGTCCAAATGATATTGTAATATATCTGTTTTTTCCTCAACAACTCGTAAATTCTATATGTTAAAACGTACCCAGATGAAATGTCTTGTTAGATTTGGTTTTGATATTTTGTCATGAGTCATGATTCATTCATCATTCATGGAACATTACTAAGACTTCAGTGAATTCATCATCTCCTTGCCAACATACACCCTAATACTTCAAAAGTACTCTTTTCTTGGGTTTGTGAATTTTTTTTTTCTATTTTGAGCACTTCAAGAATTGACTTCATCTATTTAATTTCTTCTGAAATCATTACAGCATGGCAATATTGGCGATACTTCAACAATATGTGATGAATGCCCTAACTCAGGTGAATATCATCCATCAAAAATGTTAAAATCATCACATGGCGCGGTCGATGATGGTGTATATCTTCTATCTTCT